ACCCCTCCTTCACTGACTTTAGATTATGGGTCTTGAAGCAGGTGTGCATGCTACCTTGCCATTTGCTCACACACCTTTCTGCAAGAAGAGGGTTGGCCCTGTCTCTGCCCTCCCCTCTATTGCCCTATCCTATCCCCATCACGCCACCTCATGCCCTCACGCGCTCCCACGTGAACGGCAGGTGGACGATTCGGATCCAAACTCGCAGGCAACGCGGGAGTGTATTGGCAAGATCATCGCCTCATGCAGAACAGAGGGGAGGCTTGTAAGGGGACGCCTGTCAGTCTGTGACAATGCCAAGTGGCGGTACCTATTCTATTTATTCCTCATTGTAAGTTTCCTTTCCTTCCTCCCTTCCCTCGACTGCACGCTCACTCTCTGTCCTGTCTCAGTCCCCCACTCTCTCTCCACCTTTCTCCCTACCGTCACCCTTCCAGTCCCTCAATCATTTTCCCTCCCTCATTTCTCTCCCTCCTTCATTGCTTTCTCCATTCGAGACTCCTCCATTCAGGACCACTCCATTCGCGCCCGCTCCCTCCTCCTCCCTCTCCGTCCTTCCTCCACTGCACCCTTTTCTCTTTATCCGTTCTTCTGTTCACTGACAGAGCTGCATCCATCTGTCATCATTTGCAGCAGAGCTCGCCATAACCGCCACCCACTAAATGCTGGCTTTACAAGTCTGCTCTGTGTTGTGTTCCTCGTTTCTCTGCAGATGACTCTGATATTCTACGTGGTCTCATACTTGAGTAATGCCTTCTCGTAGGGGGGGTGTTTCAGACTGGTGGCGTAACAAACGACACAGCATTTATGTGCCTTACTTGTTACCGTAAATTAATCCAGTTTTTGTCATGAGCATCTCGAGTCTAAAGTTCCCTATTTGCTAACAGTCGTTGAGCGTAATACTTTGTAGATGTGTCTCTTCCGCGATGAGTGATACTCTTGGGCCATACCGTACTGCCAGCCATTGCACAACACGACGGCTAAGTGCACTCAGCGGCAGCAGCAATGCTATGCCATGCATTAACCTGATTACGTATCATGCTCCGACCGACACCAAGCACGTTTGCACATTACAATACATGAACAACATGTGGTACGGATCTATCGCCTTTTTTTGTTCTGCTTTCTCAGCGCCCAACAATAAACCATAGAAAAGTTCAAACAATTTGTGCAGCGGGCTTTATGCAATGTAAGCACACCAGAAATTAATGGAACGGCCTGGGGGAAACCGATATGCATGGCCAAAAGAGGTGATAAATAACTGTACTCCGCTCGCAGCAACCAAGAGAAGGGATAGCCTGGTGTCGATCGAACTAACAAATATATACTGAAGTTCTTGTGCTAACCACCGTAAGCAAATGTATCACATTTTTTTCGGCAGTAAAAGTTTCTTTGCTCCAAGCGCGTTGAAAGTGTATCTTGAGTTTCAAGTTGAATCTTGCCATACGTGAATGGTCACCGACTTTCTCCCGCTGACTCGGACACAAGGAGAAGATACGAGCACCAAGAGCAAGCCACGTGTTTCGCGAACCTTCCACTGATACAACAAGGCGCGAAACCGAAGACCCGTCCGCCGTCGTGCGCCCCCGTCAACTTCCCCGCATTTCCCCCCTGTTGCCCAAAACCGCCAGCCCAAGCCTCGATAGAGCCTTGGGACAATCGCTGCCTTGGGATAATCGATGCCACACTTTGAGGGTCAATCACGACCGAGAACCAAGCCTTCGCCCTCAAAGCCTGAGCATCTGCTTCGGCGTCCGACCTGGACCATCTTTACTGGCGACCGAATTTACTGTATCCTGTCGCGCCTCCCCGCAACCTTCCTTCCCCGAATCCCCGCCCTTGTCTGCGCAACCCACGGTTCCCTCCCGAGCCGAACCCCCCTCCGGGCTGACGATTCAAGGGCAAATGCCCTTAATGCCCTGAACATTAAGGGTTGGGTTTGGCCCAGATTCCGAATTTTAAGGGTTGGCTTTGAGGGCAGCCCTTTCCCGCAAAGTGCTGGTTGTGGGCCTAACCCGGATTTCAAGTGCAGATCCCGCGGCTAGCCCTTATCGTCCCATACTAATACCTCCCTCCCTCCCATTCGCTCACCAGTCCCCCCACCTCCTCCCAGCCACTCCCCTACTTCCTTCTCCCATCCCCCTCAAATCCATCGACATGTTTCGTACCTCAGCCTATTGCCTAGTTGGCTCTTAGTAGTTTGCCTAGGATACGGTATCCTTGGCGAAGTGCAAAAAAGTTGGTAGCCCTGATTTCAAGTGCCAGGTTTGCTCTCAGCCCGGAAATTTCAGGGCAACTTTTGGGGCACCTCAGCCTCTCAAGTTCTGGCTCCAAACCAATCGACAGCCCTCCAGCCCTTCCTGTTCCTGCCGGTTTGCCAGAGCAGATTGGAGCCTTTATTGGCCAGAATCAACGTTTCTTGGAATTTGATCTGGCTCTTCATTCTCCTGGGACTTGCTCCTGGTTCCGTGTTTCTGTGTAATACTAGGTGTACAGAACCTGTAGCCATGGCCAAGTCCTACCCTACCGTCAGCGAGGAGTACCAGACGGCCGTTACCAAGGCTAAGAGGGAGTTGAGGGCTCTCATTGCGGAGAAGAACTGCGCTCCCATTATTGTTCGCCTGGCGTAAGTATTAGCTTGCGCTACATCGATGAGATATTATGGCCTGGCCGTTTAGCAGACCCAATCACATAGGCTGACATAGAAGCTGACGGTGGTCTCTGCATGCAGATGGCATGGTGCTGGCACTTTTGATGTCAAGGACAAGTCCGGAGGTCCCTTCGGAACGATCCGCAAGCCGGAGGAGCTGGCGCACGGAGCGAACGCTGGTCTCAAGTGGGCTGTGGACGTCCTCGAGCCCATCAAGGCCAAGTACAACATCCTCTCTTACGGCGATCTCTACCAGGTTCGTGCTACTGCCTCGTTCCGATCTTAAACTCATTGTCTGCATTCGTTCCCGTCTTTGTGACGTACTCCGGCGTACGTCCGTCTAAACCATGTAACCTGTTTTGAGCAGCTTGCTGGAGTCGTCGCGGTGGAGATCACTGGAGGCCCAGAGATCGACTTCCATCCCGGACGCAAGGTAAGCGACACGTTGCACAAATCCAACCCCGAATCTCATGTTTTTTTCCATATTTGAGATCTGCCCGTAAGTATTTCCCTCGCATAGTATCCTGAGAGTTCATTCCTGTGAATATCCCCAGGATGGGGAGAAGGTCCCGCCTGAAGGCCGCCTACCAGATGCCACGAAGGGCTCCAACCACCTGAGGGACATTTTCTACAAGATGGGCCTCAACGACAAGGAGATCGTCGCCCTCTCTGGCGCCCACTCTCTGGTGAGTAGGGTCTGAGAATTTGGGAGCCACTGTCGACGCCAGATCCGTTTTGCATCGCAACGCAGCCAAATGGGGAAACCATCAGAATAAACAATGTGACGCGTTTATCTCTGGCAGGGGAGATGCCACAAGGAGAGGTCAGGGTTTGAGGGCGCGTGGACCACACAACCCCTGAAGTTTGACAACGAGTACTTTGTGTAAGTGAACAGGCAGTGATCGAATTGAAACTCGAAAGTCCCCCAGTAGGAGTCACAGATAAGGAACGAATCTCATATTTTCCGTGTTTGCTACTGCAGCAACCTTCTGGGCGACAATGAGAAGGGTCTGCTGGTCCTTCCCAGTGACAAGGCCCTCGTGGAGGACCCCGAGTTTAAGAAGTTTGTCGAACTCTATGCCAAGGTGCGTTGTGCTTCTGTAATGAACCAATATTTGTCTCGGCTTACACTGCGAACACATGCCAAATCTCACTAGTGATTTGGGATGTTACAGGATGAGGATGCCTTCTTCGCTGACTATGCTGCTGCCCACCTAAGGCTATCTGAGCTCGGGTAAGCAGACAGAAGAGGACGAACAGGGCACGAATGTGTAACCATCTGTATCATGGGGAGGATGCAATCCATGGTTTTCAGGACATTGTTTTCCGCAGTTGCTCATGCTATTGTTCTTATGGTTTCCCTGCAGGTTCGCCGATGCTTGAAGTTTAAACACCTGAGTATATTATTGTGGATGTCTGCTTTGTTCTCATGGTGTAAAAAGTCCACTGAAGCATTATGTTCTCCCTGGATACATCGTACCATCAGTGAAATGTGTAGGTCAAGGTTCATCTACTTGCTTGCCATCCTAATGTGCCCACCGCCACCTCAGTGAAACGTGTAGGAACACTCACCGAGTATCACTGGGAAATCAAATTCCCATACGGAAGACCAAGGAAAGAACGGAAGAAATTAGTTTAGAGTAAATCCTGGTCCTCGTCTGTGCAATAGGGTACCATCTTTGGTGAGGAAATGTTACTAGAGATTGTAAACTGCAGGGTGGAAGAGATGCAATTTTTACCACCATGAGTAGTAGCATACAAATCGTTTTTTCTACAATACTTCTGACTGCAAGTCAAGCGCTGGCGATTGCCGAAGCTCCTGCAGCTGGAGCGTCGCCAAGATCTTGCGTGATGACTCCCAGAAGAACCAGGGACGCCCTGGACATGAACCAGAGAAAAATGAGGCAAATAGTAAACGTGCACATAACTCTCAAAGTAACTGAGTGGTGCACACACATGTTAGAAAGATGGTAGGTGGTTGGGAGAGAGGATGGGACGGAGGGAGGGTGGTGGGAGGGGGGGGGTTTGGGGTGCATGGAAAATTGTTCACAGGTTTTGCAAATTCAAGGGACGAGAGAAACGACGAGGACAAGAATTGTGGATCCCAGCACAGCCACCGCGATACCCTAGGATTATAGAACATGGAGAATGCTGCAAAGCCACCACCCCGGTCCTAAGGCATGAGCTGAGAACCGGATGAGCTGTCCACGAAGGTCGCAACTTCACATCAACAAGTGGTTTGCAGCGTGATTGCTACTGTGGAAAGCAAATGCATACTGGGGAATGGAGGGCTGCAAAGGTGATCGGGCGGCATGTGCAGCAAGGTGAAGACAGTGTGGTTGTGGGACATCTAAAAACAGAGTGCATACCGGGGAACGGAGGGCTGCACAGATGGTTGCGCGGCATGTGCTGCGAGGTCGGGGCGCAGCGATGGTTCTCGATTCAGCGCATCCTCCAACTGTGCTGCTGGCAGCTGTGGGTGGGGGGAAGGGAGAGGGGGAGGAAGAACAGTGGAGATTTGAAGAGGGGAAGAGGGATGAGGGATGCGGACAGGACAAGATGAGCTTTGAAAGGCAGAGGGGTATGCGGGTGAGAGTGAGGGTGAGGGGAGTGTGAGGTGAGTGTGAAGGTGAGGGTGAGGGTGAGGGTGAGTGTGAGTGTGCGGGTGAGGGTGGCAAGGGAGAAGTGGCAGGCTGTAAGAGGGCTCACTTGTAGGAGAACAGGGAAGGAGAGTGGCTTTGTAACGAGGCAGCACTTAATGAAGCCCAGCCACAGCTGAGGATGCGCTCTCCACACCTGGAGGGTGGAGCGGGAGAGGAGATGGTGAGTCAAAGAAGCGATGAGCTGGCATCATGATGTGGTATTGGATGGCATGAGGTGGTGTGAGATGGCATAGGGGTGGCATAAGGTGGCACGATGTGGCATGAGGTGACAGGCGTGGTCGGCAGAGTGTCCACGTCATCATTGGCACACCACGCGCACAGATGTCATGGTCGGCAGCGTGCCAATACGCACGTAACAGTACGACCGGCCATTAGGAGGAGGAGAACTGACATAAGCACACAAGAGGAGGAACCATGACTTTTCACAAGGCATGACCAAGGCATGAATCTACAAATATGCTTTGGGACGTGTTTCTTATGTGGTTTAGCGCTCACCTGTTTGGTTATGAGACGCGAAAGAATGTCCGCCACAAATGATGCCTGGATGAAAAAACAACACGGCACGAGACAAAGAAACGAGTGAGAAGGTGTGTGTGAGAAAAAAGTAAAAAGTTGCACGAGAATGGAATGGAAGAGAACAGAGTGCTTCATTAGACAGCAAGAAAAGAAAGCAAAGCAGCAAAGGAGGCGGTATGAGAGGGGATAGCGATGCATAAGGGTACTGTGGGAATCTTAATTCTGAAGCAACAAGCAAGGAGGGGCGTGCAGATTGACTTCTTTGATTAACGAAAGTAAATGTGGAAATCTCAAATTTGAAGCAACAGGCAAGGAAGGGAGAGCGGATCCGACAATGTCAGGGAAGGCTGCAACAGACTCCATGGCGGTGCGGAAGAGGAGCATGGGGAGGGGCGTCTGTCCGACCTGCGGCGTAAAAAAAAGAAGCAGGGAAAAAACAAGGAAACACAACGAGTAGTGACAGGAGCTGTGTTGGCAAAGAGGACAAGCTCGGATGCACAGCTGAAAGGGAGCGTAGAGAGCTGGTGGAGATAGTGTGGAGATAGTTCTGGTATTTAAAATGGAGAGATGGCTGCAAGGCACATGATCCGGGTTGTGAATATGCGTGACTGTAAATGATGATACCACGGCGAGCACAGAAGCACCGTCAGGGCGAGCATACCAGCTGGTTGAGCACTTTGGCGATGACTTGCTGTGTGTAGATGGCTTTTAAGTAAACTAAACAACCATTCAAGCACCGTCAGGGCGGGCATATCAGCAGGGCCAGCAGCGTCAGGGCGAGCCTACCAGCTGGTTGAGCACTTTGGCAATGACTTGCTGTGTGTAGATGGCGCGCTGGGAGATGCAGAAGGAACACACGGCCATGATCTGATGGACGCACCGCACAAGGGGTTCATGTGAATCAGAGTAATTTGAGGCTATAGGGAATTTTGAGATAGGGAATTTTGAGGCGCCTCAAAAATGGTCTCGCGTTGGGAGATGCAGAAGGGACACGCCGCCATGATCTGATGGACGCACAGCACAAGGGTTGCTGGAAGCAGGGTGAGTGAGTTCAACATGTGAACAGCACAATGGTTCTCTGGTTTCGAGAATTCTCAAAAACCAGATCAGAACTCAGCTCAGGCGCACCTTTTTCAGCGGCACGTTGTCCCTCTTGGGCTGCACGGCATGCAGTGTTGTCATGAGCTCCACTGCTGTTAGCGGTGGCGGCGTGTGAGGGGAGCCCTGAGAGAGGAGGGAGCCAGGAAAGAGAGGAGAAAGGTTGGTGTGAAAGCAGAACGGAAGGAGGGGAGAGCGCAGCGTGCAGTGTGGTCATGAGTCCACTGCTGTCAGCGGTGGCGGCGTGTGGGGCGAACCCTGAGAGCGAGTGAGGGCGCAAATGGGGAGGGAGGGGAAAATTGATTTCCCTCGCACCTGAACCACTTTCCCTCTCACCTGCACCACTCTCCCTCTCACCTGCACCGCGCTCCCTCTCAGCTGCACCGGTCTCATTATCACCCCCACCGCTCTCCCTCTCACCTCCGCTCTCCTCTCACCTGCACAGCTCTCTCCCTCTCACCTGCACCACCCTGCCTCACTCTCACCTGCAGCAGCCGGTCCTGGGCGATTTTGAAGAGCTCCAGAGGCAGATGCAGCAGGCGGGGAAACACCTCCAGTGCCTGTAGAGAGTTGAGGATGGTAACGTTTATGGGGTATGATGGAATGGGAATGGGAGGTGCACAACGGGGAAAGAAACGTGAGCAGGAGAAAAACTGGACCGGAACTCCCACAAATGTAAGACACACGCCTTCAGTGAAATTGCCGCATCTATGTCACAGGGTAAGAAGCGTCTCAAAACAAATGTGTTAGCACGTGGCTACAGTCACATACACCGCAGCCACATCACCATTCGCAGAGCTGCAGTGGCATGTGCGCACCTCGTTTTTGGAGAGGAAGGGCAGGATGGGAATGAGGAGTTCAGGTTCCTGGTAGGGAGAAAAGGGAACGAGGGGAGGCAAGCGACGTGCATGGTGAGTTGATGAGAGGGAGTGAGAACGAAGGAATGATGGAATGCACGAAGGAATGAAGCCACTCTTTTTAAAGCATATCAGAGCGGAAAGCAAGCCATATGATGGAAAGGAGAAAATGGATGATGTAAATGGAAACAGAGACATGCTGCAGGGTCTGGCACCGGCGAGGGAAATTTTTGGCTTGAAGAGTACGCATGATGACTTTTGAGTCGACTCCTCGTTTTCGAGGCTTGACTTGAAGAGTATGCCTGAAAGGGAAAAGGGACATACCGCAGGCCTGGCAGCAGAAAGGGTTTTGACTGCAGCAATGAAGGGCTGGGGAGGGGCGGACGGGCGCGGTGTGTCCGCCACACAGTGCAGCAGCTGGGGGGGACGGAGGGAGTTGACGGGGCAGGGGAGGGTGAAGTGCGGAATTTGATTCAAAGGGCTGCACAGTACCGTGGCTGGGGGAGGGAGAAGGAAGTAAATGAAAGAGTTGAAGAGAGGGAGGGAGATTTGGGTGGTGGAGGAAGACGAGATGGGAGAGGTGAGAGAACGTGGTTAGGACAAGAGGGATGGGCGCGGCGTGACTGCCACCCAGGAAGAAGGCCTCCCCTACAGCTTACCTTGAATGGCACCTGAATGATTTTTTAGGCGCCTAGAAAATCACCTTTTTGAGGCGGCTCAAAAATCACCTTTTGGAGGCGGCTCAAAACTATCCCCTACCGAATGGCACCTGAATATGTAATAGGACCTCACCTTGAGCAGTAGGCGCACTGAACCCTCTGGGGGGTTGGAGATGAGTGTGAGGAGGTCGGGCGTGGTGGGGGGGAGTGTGGCGAGCATGGGCGGCAGCAGGTCTCTCAGCATGACCCGCTTGGCCACGGGGTTGACTTGCCCGAACACCCGGAAGAACTCCGCCAGTAGGGATGGTCTCTGTTGGGGGAAAAACAGGGGGGAAGGTTTGTGGAGGCAATGGAAGGGAGAGTGTGGTGTGGGGAAGGGTCGCTCTCACCACGGGTATGACCCGCTTGGCCATGGGGTTGACTTGCCCGAATACCCGGAAGAACTCCGCCAGTAGGGATGCCTCTGTGAACGGAAAAGCAGAGGGGAGGTGATGGGAGTGTGACCGGAAGGGAACGTGCGCGAGCAGGGTGGTACACTCTCAACATGAAGAGCAACGAGGAGCAACGACACATGAAAACCTAGCTGGGTGATTCTGGTGTGGGCCCGGTAGGTTTTGGAGGGGGGATGCTGGAAAAAGAAAAAAAAAAAAGAAAAGAAAAAAAAGACTGCAGGATACTGGGGCCATACCCGGGAGCAGAGCGCACAGAAGAGTGCCAGTCGCCTCTCCACCTCGTGCCCCACTGCCTTCTGCTGCTCCCCTGACAGCTGCGCCGCTCCCCCTCCCCCACCCCCACCTGCTTGCCCTGCTGCCCCTCCCTCGCCTGCCTGCCCCGCTTCCCCTGCTACCCCCCCTTGCTCCCCTCCCACTCCTTCCTTCCCATCAGCACCACCCGCACCACCCGCAGCACCAGCAGCATCACTACCACCAGCAGCACCAGCCCCAGCAGCAGAGGCAGCACCGGCAACTGCAGCAGCAGCAGCAGCACCAGCAGGTGCCGGCAGCGCCAAGCCAGGCAGCGACAGCAGCTGCTTGAGCGCATACCGCTCGATGGGCAGGGTGAGGTAGGGCAGGGCGTGCAGGCGGTTGGCCACCAGTGCCACGCCCTTGGAGCGGATGTCCGCGTGCGGGTGCACTGCACACTGCAGCGCCATGGCTAGGCATCGCCTGCGCACGGGCGGGCGTAGGACCAGCAGCCGCCAGAGGACTACGAGGGACTCTTTCACTCGCTTCAGCTCTTCTTCTGATCTTGGTCCCTCCGGTTCGTTTTCTGCTTCCCCTCCCTCTCCCCCATCTCTCCCCTCTCCTGCCTCTCCTCCCTCTCTTCCCTCCCCTTTTCCTCCTGCCTCGCCTTCCCCTCCTCCCCTCTCTCCTCCTCCTTCCACCTCCCGTGTGTTTCCCCCCTCCTCCTCCCCATCTCCCCTCTCTTCTAATCTCCTCTTCCTTCCAGTCTCAGACCCCCTTCCGCCCCCAATCCCCCCATCACCCTCCTTCCGTCCAAGCCCCTCCAATCCACACGCCTGCCCCAGCAGGTTGAGCAGCGCGGGTGGGAGGAAGGGTGCTTCCACGAAGAGAGGCAGCAGGAGGGACTTGAGGCCGCCCGGTGCAGCAGCAGCAGCAGCGGATGAGGGCGAGAGGAGGGATCTCAGCTGCAGGGTGGGTACGGGGGGGGGTATGGCGGGGTAAGAGCGAAATAGGCCCGGGACCGGGAGCAGATGAGGAGTAAAGGGGGATAGGGGGAGAGGAAAGGGAAAGAACGGTGGGGTGGGTGAGCGGGACAACAGTGTAAAGGGCTGGGGTGAAGATCATGGGAGCAAGGTTTGTGAACGGACTGTCATGGGAGCAAGGTTTGTAAACGGACTGTCTGAGTGGCACTCAATCAGAGTAGTGTTTTAAGACGTCTCAAAATATTACTTATCAACTGACTGACTGACTGACACTCACCACACGACAAAAGAAAGACGTGTAGAGAGGAGGGATGTGAGACGATGCCAAGTCCTTGCCTCCTGCTGCAGCAGCAGCAGCAGCAGCAGTTGCAGGTGCACCAGCGGTTGTTGTCGCCGGAACAGTGGCAGGAGTGGCAGCATCCGTAGCGGCACCTGAAGTGGCAGCACCCCCCTGCCCCCTGCCATCCACTTGCATGGCATCGCCTGGTGCTGCTGCTGCTGCTCCTTCGCCGGATGCTGCTGGTAGTCCTGAGGATGGCGCTGGTGGCAGAGGGAGCGCTGGAATATTGGAGGAGGAAGAGGCGGAGGAAGGAGGGGAGGAGTGGTCCAGTGCGAGCGCGTGCAGCACGGAGAGCACAACTTGAGAGCCCTGGTGTGTGGGGAAACGGGAATGACGGGGGGCAAGGGGTAGGAGTAAGAAATAGTCCATATGGGAATTCTCAGGAGGGAGGGGAGGAGAGGTCCAGCCCAGTGCGAGAGCATGCAGCACGGAGAGCACAACAACGTGCGAGCCCTGGTGTCTGAGAAGGAAGTAGGAAGGGGGACGGGAAATAGAAAAGGAAGGGGAGGAGGGATGAAGACAGGAGGAAGAAAATAGGGGCGTGGAGGAACGAAATAATATAGAAACGAGTCAATTGGAAAGGAACATGAATCCATGGATACCAGCTCACCTTGACCCGGTTGTAGTCTAGTCTGCTAGCAAACAGTTCAACAGCGCATCCAGCACCTGCTGCTGCTGCTGCTGCTGCTGCTGCTGCTGCTGCTGCTGCTGCTTGTGTCTTTGAAGTCTCATACGTCAGCTCACCTTGACCCGGTTGTAGTCTGCCAGCAGGTAGTTCAGCAGCGAATCCAGCACCTGCTGCTGCTGCTCCTCCTCCTCTGCTCCTCTCACCATGCCCACCAGCAGCACCACCCACAACCCTGCTTCACCCAGCAGCACCGCTCTGCACCCCCCTCCCACCACTCTGCACACCGCTGCCTGCTGCGCTGCTGCCAGCTGGGGGGGCGAGAGCGGAACGAGGGCAATGGGTGTGCGAGGGACGGAGAGGTAGGCTGCAAGGCGGGGAGAGAGAGGAGTGGCTGGAGGGCCCACAGGGGTGGACGGTACCGGCACCAACGCACCAGAGATAGCAGCAGCAGCAGCAGAAGGAGCAGCAGTGGTAGTAGTGAGCACAATAGAAGATGTATCGGCAGCAGTGGACGCAGAGAGGTCGGTCTGCATGGCGGCGTCTTCTGGTTTGGGGCGGGTGGCGTCTGTTGTCCTGTCTGCTGTCGGATGTAGCGGCGGCTGTAGCCCTTGCTCATCCTTCACTGTGCCTGCTACAGCAGCAGCACCACCATCAGTGTTGTCCTCTGCCTTCGCCTTCACTCTTCGAGGGTCATGGCGACGAGCTGCCCCCCTGCTAGCCTCCCTCTTCCCATCACCATCCACCACTCCCTCCTCACCACCACCACCACCACCACCTGCACCTGCACCATCACCAGCAGCACCAGCACCAGCAGCAGTGCCTTCGGCACCGCCAGCAGCGCCAGCAGCGGAAGCAGCGGGAGGGGGAGAGGGAGGGAGGTGCTGCATGAACTCAATGACGAGGTCGGCCAGCATGCCGGGGGGCAGCGAGGCAATGAGTGCGTCTACAGCTAGCATGCCCTCGCTGCCCCGCGCCACCAGCGCACTCAGTAGGGTTACCAGCTGCTCCACTGGCAGAGTGGCTGCTGATGGGTCCACGGCTACTGCCTCTGCTGCTGCTGCTGCTGCTGCTGCCGCTGCTGCTGCTGCGGCTGTGCTCCCGTCTCCTCCTGCTCGTCCTGCTCCTGCTGCTGTTGCTGGTGCATTACCAGCAGGAGTGGCTGTGCTGGCTTGGGCAGACGTGGACGGTCGGATGCGCTTGGAGTCTCGTGTTGCAGCGTCATCAACGGCCTCTGATGCACGGGCGCCAGCAGCACCACCTGTGGCAGCACCGCCGGTTGTGTTAGCAGCTGCATCTGCCGCAGTAGAAGCAGCAGCAGCATCGGGACCACGGGCACCGGAGGCAGTGCCACCAGCAGCACCGGCAGCGGTGGCTGTGGTGGTGCCTGGTGGGGTTGCAGCAGCCCCTGTGTCAGCAGGTGCACCCCTCGCTCTCTTCACTCCTGCTGCCTTGGCCTGCAGCAAGGATGAGAGACGTGTGCAGAAAGCACAAGGGGAAGCGCAAAAGCGAGGAGATGGAGTAGGGGGAGAAGAAGAGAAGGGTGAGAGACAGGGAAGGCAGAGCATGCGACAACCACCACACACATACACAGATGCAGTTGGAGGCACACACACACACACACGCACGCACACACACACACACGCACGCACGCACGCACGCACACACACACACACACACACACACACGCACACACACACACACACACACACAAAACGCACTCAAACACACAAAACGCACTCAAACACGTATACTCACCCGTGGATCAGCAGGTCGACCAGCAACCTTCCCTGACCCTGCAGACACCTTTGCTGCTGCTCCCTCGCCCCCACCACCACCCCCACCAGCAGCAGTAGCAGCACCACTCCCAGCCCCACCACCATTCCCACCCGCACCAGTACCACCAACAGAAGCACCAGAAGCACCAGAGGGACCATCAGCAGCAGCGGCGGCGGCGGCGGCAGCTGCGGCTGCAGAGGCAGCTGCAGCAGAGTTGCGAAGGGAGCGGTCGATGTGCCTTAGAGACGAGTCGACAGCCTCCCCTGCTCCCAGCGACTCCTTCAGGAGCGACGTCAAGCAGTCCCGCCACTGGTGGTGGGGGAGAGGGAGAGGGGGGGGGGGGACAAGGGGGGGGGGAAAGAAAAAGGGTTCGAGAGATCGGTCGATGTGTCTCAGGGACGAGTCGACAGCCTCTCTTGTTCCCAGAAACTCCCTCGAGAAAGATGTTAAGCAGTCCCGCCACTGGTGGTGGTGGGTGGGAGGGGATGTAAGAAGGAGAGAAACAGAGTGGGAGGTTGCGAAGAGATCTGTTGATGTGCCTTGGGCCACAGTTCTCACTCATATGGAAAGAGCAAGTGCTGGAAAGTACACAGCCACACACCCACTCACATCCACATCCTCCACACGCACCCTTACACCCCCACCCACACCTGCAACCCATCCCACCCACCTTCATCCCGCCTGGAGCGAGCGGCATGAGCCGCAACATGACAAGCAGCGCCGCCCGCACACCATGCCTCACACTCCCCGACGCCTGCAGCAGCTGCTGCACCACCCCACACCCACTCTCCTCCCCACTCGGCACCACCACCGGTGCCGACACTGCTGACGTGGCAGTGGGCGGCACAATCCCCACCAGAGCCGGCACGATGTGACTGTAAAGAGCGGGGCAGCGGCGGGCGATGCCGGCCAGGCTGCTGGTGAGCGTGAGGAGGAGCGGGGGGGAGAGCGAGGCTACTACTGGGGGTTGCAGGAGAGCGGTGAGCGCGGAGAGGGAGGCGAGGGACTGGGCTTTAAGCCACGGGTCGGAGTCAGGGTCTGGGAGATGTAGCACTCCGTTTGCCATGTCTGTGCCATCGACCCCATCCCTTCCGCTGCTCCCGTTCTGCCCACTGCTGCCGTTACCACCACCACCACTACCAGCAGCAGCTGAAGAAGAAGAAGCAGCAGTTTTGCCGCCTGGTCGGCCGAGCAGCACGAGCATCTCTGTGAAGCCCACTGCATGCACGCGCACGCTGTCCGGGTACTGGCCTGGCAGTAGGTCCCTTATCAGCCGCACCAGCACTGCTACCTGCTCCCATGCTTCTGACCATGGCTGGGACTGACCAGAGGGAATGGGAGAGGAGGGGAAACGGAGGGGAGGGGACTGAAAATGGATGAGAAGCCCCCACATGCAGCCTAATGGTGTTGTGTTGGCATAATGACCTGGCACGGCAGGCAGCACGTTGCTCATTCACTTCACACGGTGCTAGTTTCGATTGACCTGAACTGTGACAGCATCGAGGGCTCACCTCGTCTGTAACGGGAGTGACAGCAGCGAAGGCGCCTTTGACGAGGGCGGCAGCAGCGGAGATGGCGTGCTTGACCACCTTGGTGGTCGCCACAGCCGCGGGGGCCAGGCGCGCGGGGAGAGGCGTGAGCGCCGCAGCAGTAGCAGGGGACGGCGCGGGGGGCGCGGAGGCGGCGGAAGGCGCGGGGAGCGGCATGGGCGGACAGGCGCGGATGATGGCGGTGAGCGCGGAGGCGATGAGCGCAGCGGCGTCGCGGTGCTTGATGGTGGAGCCGAGGCGGTAGAAGAGCCTGCGGGAGGAGCGGGAGAGGGGGGGAGTGAGGTTGGGATGGGTAGGTGGCATGGGCGCGTGCGGGGAACGAGGTGGCATGGTAGCCAGCCACGGCAGCACGTCTGGCAATTAGCAGCACATTAGGCGATCAGCAAGCATACTCATCGTTACGTAGAACACTTACTCGACCGAGTTCTTCCGAACGAGAAACGTGGAGTCCGCCTGAAGCTCTAACAGGCGCGGCAGCGCGTCGGGCAGCACGGTCGCGCGCACGTCGGGCGGAAGGCCCGCCAGATACTCCATCGCCGCCTCCATCCGCTCCGCCTTCTCCTCCGCCCCGCTCCCCGCCTGCAGCTCCGCCAGCATCTCGTCCGCCTTCCGTTGCGCCTCCTCCATTGCGCGCGGAGGGGGGAGGAGGAGAGTCCGGGGAAGGGGGGTGGAGGGGGCGAGAACGGGAAGCGAAGCTCCGAGCACGGGCGCGAAAGCAGGCTCGAAGATGGTCTGTTAGCACCGTAGGCTGATAGAGTTCTGACTCCTCAAAACGGGGTAACCAAAACGGGTTCTGATGGTCCGTAAGTTTAACGGGGTAGTCAAAACGGTGAATGCGGGTTGTTGTGACTGTGGGCTACGGCAGAGTTGCAACCGATGTTCTCCTCTCAAAGGCCCGCGCTACGCATCTCCGGAGGTAGAACCTAATCGCGATTCGCGATACGCTACAAGCCTACGGACAGACCACCAAGTGCTTTCAATCCGTTCGCGACACAATAGAATCTCATTAGAATACGCGAAAGATTCGCGAGTGATCCGGGAAACTCGAGTTGCGAGCTCATTAGCAGCCGACAGGCGTCCCTACGTCGGCGATCGTGCGGCTGCTGATACAAAAGCAGCCTCCCGAAACCTTTTTAGTCCTGGCTAGCCCGCCACGTGTTGTTCCTTGTCAAGCTAGGCTGAAGAAATCTTGGAGTTTAGGGAAACAAAGGCGTTCTAAAGCGGTGGAATATTTATCTGAAGCGATGAAGTAAGGTCCCGAGAAATCTTCGAAGTCGCCGTAGCAACACGAAGAAGATCTACCATCGCTTTGAGCAAGTAACGCTTTCCGTCACATCTCAGAATATCGTTGCAGTTCGCAACACTCGCAAAAATAACCCTAAATTCTGGTCGCCCAATCACACTCACGCACTTCATAAATTCCACTCCCTCCATCCCCATACCCCTCCGTTCAGAGTTTCCTTTTGTTTTCCCTTGTCTGGTTTCCGCGTCGCCACTTTCAGGCTTCTGGGCTCGGTAATCTTGTGCAGCTCTCGACGTCTTGATTTATCTAGGTTTGGAACGTCGTAAAGATCTGACTTAATCACCTTGCTTTCGCAATATCTCTGCACATGCGAGCTTGCTAGACATTCCTTCGCGGAAGGTCGTCCAACATGCCAGGCGAGACGCTAGCTCTTCCGGCGCCGCCGCCGGGCGGCTTGAAAGACGCTACGCCGTCAGTTCTGACGGCCGAAGAACGGTCCGGGCTGCAGAAACCGGCAGAGAAGCCGAAACCGGTGGTGGTCGCAACACAGACGAAGACGATCGGCATCATTCACCCTCCCCCTGATATTCGCAGCATCGTCGACAAAACCGCCACCTTCGTCGCGCGAAACGGCCCGGATTTCGAAAAGAAGATTCTCGCCGCCAACAAGGGAAACGTCAAGTTTAATTTCCTCACGCCCACCGATCCTTACCATGCGTACTACCGGCACAAGATCAACGAGCAGCTGGCGCAGCTTAATCTCCCTGCTCAGCCCGAACCTACACCTTCCGAGCCTGGTGCAGGTTCGGCAGCATCAGCCGGAGCTCCGGCCGGGGCTGCTCCGGGAGCAGCCGGAGCTGCAGTTGCGGTTGTCAAGCCTGCAGGGCCGGCAGGGCCTTTTCCGGAGCCTGGCAAGGACGCAGCTGCTGCAGGGACTTCGGCAGCAGCGGCGAAGCTTCCGGATCTGCCCGAACCGGAGCAGTACACGGTTCGGATTCCCGAAGGCATGTCCGGGCAGGATTTGGACGTTATCAAGCTGACCGCGCAACTCGTGGCGCGAAACGGCAAGACGTTCCTAACGGGACTGATTAGTCGCGAGCACATGAACCCGCAGTTTAATTTCCTCAAGCCCACGCACAGCTTGTTCACCTTCTTCACCGCTCTCGCGGACGCGTACTCTAAAGTACTAATGCCTCCTAAGGAGGTATTGGACAAGGTGAAACGCGACGCGGGCCCGGGCGGGCAGGCCGCGATCATGGCGCGGATCCAAACGCGGCTCGACTACGAGAAGAAGCAGGAGAAAGCGCGGAAGAAAGCGGAGGACGAGATCGAGCAGGAGCGATTACAGATGGCTTTAATCGACTGGCACGATTTCATAGTCGTAGAGACGATCGAATTCGCGGACGACGAGGAGGCGGAGCTGCCGGTTCCGATGACCATAGAGGAGGTGATTAGAAAGAGCAAGCAGCTCGGCGCGGACGAGGAGTTGGAGGCGGAGGATGCGGCGGCCGTCGCGGCGGCGGAGGCGGGCGCGAAGCCGGGCACGAAGGCGGCGGCGGCGGCGGCGGAGAAGGCGAAGGGGGAGAAGGAGGCCGCGCAGACGATGGACGCGGAGGAGATGACGCTGGTGGAGGAGGGCATGCGGGCAGCGGGAATCGCGGAGGGGGAAGGAGGGAAGGGCGCGGAGAAAGGGGAGGGGGAAAGGGAGGAGATGGAGATGGAGGAGGAGGGAGGTGCGCCTGCTGGTGTTCCCCCGCCCCCGCCACCACCTCCCCCGCCGCCGCCGCCTGCTGAAGTGGAGGAGGTGGGTGGGACCGTGTGTGCGGGTGGGGTGGGTCAGTGCAGGGCGGGTTTCGTTTGTTGGAGGTAGGTGAGAGGACGCCAGTGAGGAGGTAGGGGTGGGACCGTGCATGCGGGGAGTTTTTGAGTCGACTCAAAAAAGTGGGGGAGGGGGGGGGCAGGGCAGGGCAGGGCAGGTTTCGTTTCTTGGAGATGGTTGAGTGAGAGAGGATGCCAGTGAGGAGGTGGGTGGGACTGTGCCTGGGGGAGAGTTTCACTTGAGTGCCTGCGGTGGGTGGGTGGGATCGTGGCCTGGGTGAGACTGTCAGAGCTTCGGTTGTTGAGATGCCCACTGCCCTCCTGGAAGCAGCCCACCCTCCTTCTCTCCCCCCCTTTTCCCCACCGATGACCCCCCCCTTCTCTCACACCACAACGAGATGGACATGGAGGAGGAGGAGGAGGAGGAGTAAGCGCCGATGCGCATCGTGCGTTACTGGAAGCCCTTGGAGCTCCTCGCTTCCTCCCTTCCCTCCCTCCCTCGCCGATCTTCCCGTCTTTCTGTGCCTTTGGCTCCCTGGCAGAACGAGATGGACATGGAGGAGGAGGAAGAAGAAGAGGCAACGATGTGAATCGTGCACCACTGGAAGCACTTGAAGCTCCTCACTTCCTTCCTTCCCTCCATCCCTTCCCCTCCCTGTTGAACTCTTCCCTTCTCCTCCGTGTTCTCTTCCCTTACCCTCACGGCCAGAACGAGATGGACATGGAGGAGGAAGAAGAAGAGGCACCGATGCGCATCGTGCGCAACTGGAAGCGACCCGAAGAGCGAGCAGCAGCGGAGCAGGACCCCACCAAGGTGGTGGTCTCCCCCATCACGGGCGAGCTGATCCCGATCGCAGACATGGCGGAGCACATGCGCATCTCGCTCATCGACCCCAAGTACAAGGAGCAGAAGGAGCGCATGCTCGCCAAGCTCCGCGAAAATACCCTCGCCAACGACGACGAGATCTCGAAAAACATCGTTGGGCTGGCTAAGACCCGCCCGGATATCTTTGGGACGACCGCGGAGGAGGTTTCGGAGGCGGTGCGGGCGGAAATGGAGAAGAAGAAGGACGAGGGCGCGCCGAGCCGGGTCATGTGGGACGGGCACACCGCCAGCATCGGCCGCACCGCCACCCAGGCGTTGCAGCAGAGCCTGGCTCAGCCGCCCGCCGCGGAGAAAAAGGACGAGCCGAGCCGCCCGGTTTCGGGCCCGCAGGCCCCGGCTCCGCCTCCTCCTGCTGCTCGCCCTGCTGCTCTCCCCCGGCCTCCCGCTGGGGGTCCCCCTCCGGGTATGGGGCACATGCGTCCCGGAGGCAACATGCCTCCTCCCATCGCCACCATGGCTGCTTACGGTATGCCCCGCATGCCCATGCCCGGCATGCCTGGCATGCCGGGCATGCCGGGTATGCCTGGTATGCCTGGTATGATCAACCCCATGCTGATGGCTCAGAACCAAGCTGCTGCTGCGGCGGCCGCTGCGGCAGGGGGGATGTTTGGCATGCGGCCGCCCATGATGGCCCCAGGGCAACCTGGCATGGTCCCGGGAGGGTTCCCGGGGTTCCCAGGGGGAATGCCCATGGGTGTGCCAATGGGGATGCCGGGAGGGGTGCAGATGGGTATGGGTATGGTTCCGGGGGGTATGGTCCCTGGAGGTGCTGCGGCGGCGGCGGCGGGAGGGGGAGGGGGAGGGGAGGATGAGCATGATGCGAAGAGGCAGAAGACGGAGGAGAATTTGATTCCGGAGAATGTCTTTCTCGCACAGCACCCGGTCAGTGGCCCCATGCGCTCGTCCCGCCTTTTCCGTCCCACGCTTTCCCCGCTTTGTTGTAGCATTTGCGTGGCCAACCCGCTTCTCACATCACCACACATCTGATCACAAGTTTCGGGACTACGTTTGACCCCTGTTATGTCTTTCCCAAATTCCCTTATCTTTGTCCTACACAGGGCCCAGTGCGAGTGGCGGTTATGCTTCCCTCCGTGGAGGGAGAGCCGGCTCTCAACGGGCAGAAGGTGGAGGTGCTGGTGTCATCGCTCAGCGAATCAACAGGAGCATTCAAAGAGCACATTGCGCAGGCTCTGGGCGGCAGCGTGCCGGCCAACAAGCAAAAGCTCAGTGGCAAGGCGGGCTTCTTCAAGGATTCGCTCTCGCTGGCGTATTATAATGTTGGGCCTGGAGATGCGGTGGTTATGAGCTTGAAGGAACGTGGAGGCAGGAAGAAATAGGGGATTTGATTGGTATTGGGCAGCGTACAGCTGGATGTAGCAGTGTCCTGTGGTTTTTTCCTTCTGGTGTGGCTAATGGACTCAACTAATGGGGTTGGTGAAATCTAGGTGCAAAAGTTTTCATACCGGTATGTGGTGTGTGAATCTAACTACAACCAAGTGTAACCCATGTAGTCTCGAATTCGCTTGTTCCAAGGACCAATTTTCCGGCATGTCATATCTGGTTGAAAGGATGCCACGCCTCAGCATTGATCCCAAATCTGCGGTAACCACGTCAGCTGTTGTAGCCATGTGCCGCCACGTCAATGCCCACCCCACCACTCCGATGCTGGCCTGGTCATGCGCATCTCACGCACACCAGTCCCCTAGATACAGACCATATCCGTCAACACAGTGCGATCGGCTGTGAGTGGCTGGTATGTCTTTGCGAACAAGCGCGAGCTGCACAGAAACTCGTACTGAGTAACCACGTTCGCCATGACTGAAAAAACATCTGAACAAGCTTCTTCCAGACAAGCGAAGATGAGTTGACTCAATTAGTAACGCCGTACTAGACATGATTGATTGCAGTAGTAGTACCAGATTTCGCCTCAGTTTTGTGGAGGTCTCCAGCACACGAGAATTCCGAGGCTGCTGACTTCCGCTGCCGGTTTGGTTGAACGAGCTCGGACCCTGCGCAGCAATCGCCGAGGCGATATTATTAGACCAATTATCATATTATTTTCCCACTAACCGTGAAGCGTTTCGGCTAATCAGCGCTGCGATGGAGCTCGCCACAAATCAAACGGTGCTAACGTGCAGCATGATAGCTTCCCCGCAATACCGTTGTCCTATTAGAAACCAATCCGGCACCGTTCATTCTCGTCCACGTTCAATGCAACCCGTCGCTTTACCTTCTCACCCCCGATGCGCCTTACGTCCAGTGGACCGTACCCAAACGAGACGCGGTAGTAAACTTATAGCTAGTGCAGGCGGTATTTGTGTCGGCATTACCGGTGCGGCTATCACCAGTGCGAATGGTCTCCAGCGGCGAAGAGACAGTTTCTTTACAGGACATACCCGTTTACGAGCGAATTCGTTAACAGCAGTTCCTGGCTTCATTGGCTCAGACTCACCACTGCGCCTACATGCCTCGGCTTCGGGAAACAGGGAACATGTGAGTCATCCTATGTGCGTCTTTGTTGTGTGAACGTTTTTCTTGTTCTAGTTGATGATTATGTTGCTCCAGTACAGGAGAGTAGGTTTCGGGAAAGCTGAAATGGGCTGTTTAGCACGAAATTAGGAGTGAATTTGGTACGGGAGTGGGTCCAAGTCGACGATACGTTTTTTCATTTGTTCTCTTCATTTCTTACGCTCACATTTCTGCGGTTTCATCTCCTAATCTCGCAATTTTCCATTGCTCGAGTTTTTATTTCATAATCTTATTTTTCTTACTCTCCTTTGCTACTTCCAGCAACCCAAGGCGGTACCGGGAGCAACAGAGGCATCAACATTATCCGGTATCAGCAGCGGGAGTGAGAGTGACAACGGCTGGAGTGGCTCTGCCGCGAGTGACAGCGACGGCGAGGGCAGCAGCAGCAGCGGCAGCGACGGCGAGTGGTTCGTGGTGCGCAACCCGCTGGAAGCTCAACGGCCGAAACTGAAGGGGAAGGCGCGTTGGAGCAAGCGGAAACACCTGTCGCCGTTCTACCTGGGAAGAACGGCGACTCTTCGCAAGGGCAAGACCAGTCGCAGCAGCAGCAACAGCAGTATTGGTAAGGCTGTCACCACTAGCAGAAGCAGCAGCAGCAGCAGCACGGCCGAACTATTAATAGGCGCGTCTGGGTCCGAGGTCAGCATTGTGCGAGAAACCAGTAGCGAGTCCTTCGTAACGGGTATAGAAGAAGAAGGTACCAGGTTCGTTACTACGGGGTCTGGTGCGGTTCTGTCTGAAACTGACAGGGGTGGGGATGCAGGAGAAGGGCTGGGAGGAAGAGCAGAGGGGGGAATGGAGTCAGGAGGGCGTGGTGCCTGGGCTGCTGATGTTGCTGGGTCCACGGAGGAGGGATGGCTGGACACGGGAAATGGAAGCAGCAGCAGCAACATGAGCATGAACGTGAGCAGCACGCTTTCCAGTGTGTCTGGTAGCTTTACCTCTCTGGGAAATGGTGGAGTGTATAGTGACGACAGTGACAGCGAGGAGGGTGACAGTGCTGGTGAGGTTCGCACCTCTCGCGCTGCAGGTTACACTGCAAGCACCCTCAGCGTCGAGGCTCTTAACACCGGTAGCATCAGCAGCAGCAGCAGTACGAGCAGCGCGGACGCTGGCAGTGGCAGCAGCAGTGACTCAGAGGGCGAGTTCATCGGCGGGGACATGTGCGCGTCGGCGACGGGCGTGGTGCGCGTGCAGTCGCGGAGGAAGGCGGAGATGTACCTGGTGCGCACGGACGGCATCAGCTGCACTCGCGAGAAGGTCACCGCCTCCACCCTCGCCTTCTCCCACCCCAGCACGCAGCAGCAGATGCTCATGTGGCGCACGCGGCCTCGGACGGTTCTGCTGCTGAAGAAGCTCGGCACGGAACTCATGAGTGAAGCCATGGAGGTGAGCACGTGGCGTGACAGTGCGAATGGTGGTAGCGTGTCGGAGTCCCAGAGGTCCTCCTCCCCTCCTTCCTGCACCACGTCGAGAGCATGAACGAGAAGCCTTGTATTGCTCGTAACCTCGCCTCAACTCCCTGTATCACATTCCATCCCCGTTATAATGCCACCAGGTGGCGCGGTTCCTGCACGGCGAGGAGGGCATGAACGTGATGGTGGAGCCGGAGCTGCACGACACGCTCTCCCGCATGCCCGGCTTCGGCTTCCTGCAGACCTTCTACACGCAGGACACCAGGTGGGGGGTGCTGCGCCCAGGACACCAGGTGGGGGGTGCTGCGCCCAGGACACCAGGTGGGGGGTGCTGCGCCCAGGACACCAGGTGGGGGGTGCTACGCCCAGGACACCAGGTGGGACCCTGTGGGGGGTGTCGGTGCTACAGCCAGGTCACCAGGTGGGACCTTCTACGCCCAGGACACCAGGTGGGGGGATATGGGGGTGCTACTCCCACAACACCAGGTGGGCGGGGTGGAGGGAGGGGGGTGCTACTCCCAGGACACCAGGTGGGGCGGGGTGGGAGGGGAGGGGGGTGCTACTCCCAGGACATCAGGTGGGAGTGAGACCAGGTGAGGGGAGCGGGTGGAAACCGGTTAAGGGGAATTTAATCGGGAAAGTTCCAGGCAAGCACACCAGCTGTGGGAGGCGGAGGAGAAGTGTGAGGTGGCTGAGCATTACGCTTCTAAGCTGGAGCAGAAGGTCGCGCGGGTAGCCGGTGGTGATATGATTGCAGCGGAAGATGAGCTGGCGGAGATGACCGAGCAGAGGGACCCCATGGAGGCGGAGGCCGACCGGTTGAGAGCATTGGCGGAGAGAGGCACCGGCACAGCCACCTGCTGCTCCAGCTTTGAAGACTTTTGAGGCGCCTCTTGAGGCGACTTTTGAGGCGCCTCAAAAGTATGCTCAGCCACCTCACGCTTCCTCTCTGCCTCCCAATGCTAGTGTGCTTGCCTTACACCATCATCGTTAACAAGATTATGGCTCCTCCTTACCCTCACCACCCTTGCGCCACCCCCCTCCCCGCCTCCCCTCTTTCCTACCTACCAGCAAGCTGCATGAGAAGGTGGACTTCGTGGTTTGTCTGGGGCGGGGGGAACGATGAGTGGCTGTGAGCTGACGTTGTTATGTGCCCTCTGCTGCCTCCTCCTGCTCCTTCCCCAAACCCCCACCCCACCAGCAAGCTGCACGAGAAGGTGGATTTCGTGGTGTGTCTGCGGGCCGACAAATGGATGGGGATTGTGAGCTAACGTTGGTTCCTTGATTCCTGTTTTGACCGTCCTCACCTCTCCACTCCACCCATCCCCACCAGCAAGCTGCACGAGAAGGTGGACTTCGCGGTGTGTCTGGGGGAGGGGGAACGTTCAGTAGCTGTGAGCTGACATTGTTATGTGCCCTCTGCTGCCTCCTTCCCACTACCTCCCTCCCCACCAGCAAGCTGCACGAGAAGCTGGACTTCGTGGTGTGTCTGGGAGGGCACACAGGAACTAGGTCTGTTGACTTACCAACACACTATCTCCCTTTTTTTTAACCCACCACCCCTCCACTCCAATCACCCCCACCAGCAAGCTGCATGAGAAGGTGGACTTTGTGGTGTGTCTGGGGGGAGACGGGGTCATTCTGCATGCGTCCAACATCTTCAGCTCCTCCGTGCCCCCCATCGTCTCCTTCAACCTCGGCTCCCTCGGCTTCCTCACTGCACACCCGGTACGTGCCTGAGCAACGATTTCGACGCACCCATGTTTGCCTCCCCACTTTCTACCGCTCCACCTCTATTGCTCAATCCTCCTCTCTCTCCCATTTCGCTCCCTCTCCCTCTCCCATTTCCGCCTCCTTGCTCACAGTACGAGCAGTACAAGCACGATCTCAAGGCGGTGATTCACGGGCAGGAGCAGACGGCCGGCGTGTACATAACGCTGCGCATGCGCCTCAAGTGCGAGCTCGTGAAGGGCGGGCGCGCATTCTATGTCCACTTCCCACTCTCTTCCGCTCCCGCTCTCTCTCTCACACTCCAACTCTCTCTCCCTCTTCCCCCCGCTCCCCCTCTTCTGCTCCCCCTCTCTCAATTTTTCAACCGCCTTCTTTTCTCACAGTACGAGCAGTACAAGCACGACCTCAAGGCGGTGATTCACGGGCAGGAGCAGACATCAGGCATGTAACGTCTCAGGTGCCAGCTCGTGAAGGGGGCCGCCCAGTGCCGAGCAAGTCGATCCCACAGGCGCATGCGCATCCTCCGCTCACTCACCCTTTCCCTCTTCCTTCTCTGTCCCTCATGACCCTCCTTCCTCCAGTACGAGCAGTACAAGCAGGACCTCAAGGCGGTGATTCACGGGCAGGAGCAGACGGCGGGCGTGTACATAACGCTGCGCATGCGCCTCAAGTGCGAGGTGGTGAAGGGCGGTCAGGCAGTCCCAGGGAAGGTGTTTGACGTGCTCAACGAGGTGGTGGTGGACCGCGGCTCCAACCCCTACCTCTGCAAGATCGAGTGTTATGAGCGCAGCAAGCTCATCACTAAGGTAGGCGAGCATGCAGGGGCAGCGTTCATTGGCGCACACAGAGAGGGGTGTAGGGGAGTGGTAAGGAGAGCGTGCAGAGCTGGAACGCAGGTATCCATTCCATGTGTATCAAGGTGCTCGTGAAGTGGGGCCAGCCGGTCCCAGGGAAGGTGTTTGACGTACTGAACGAGGTGGTGGTGGACCGCGGCTCCAACCCCTACCTCTGCAAGATCGAGTGCTACGAGCGCAGCAAGCTCATCACCAAGGTATGCAAGCATGCAGGGGAGGGTGGAGCGGATTGAGCAGGCGAGCGTGCAGGGGAGTGTGCAGGGGAGCGCGCAGGGGAGTGTGCAGGGGAGCGTGCAGCACTGAGTCAGGGCTACTACCTTCCTGGCTGCACTTCCTGTCTACCTCTCACATGTCATTCCAGGTAATTCTGTCGCTTCTCTGCTGCAGGTGCAAGCAGACAGGGTGATAATAGCAACGCCCATGAGAAGAACCCTCAGCACCTTCTCTCTTCTCACTCCCTCTCTTCTCTGCAGGTGCAAGCGGAAGGGGTGACAGTGGCAACACCCACGGGCAGCACTCTTAGTGGCCTCCCCTCTCCTGCCTCCCCTCTCCTGCCTCCCCTCTCCTGCTCGCCTCTCCTGTTTCCTGCCTCTCGCCTCTTTGCCTGCAGGTGCAAGCGGACGGGGTGATAGTGGCAACACCCACTGGCAGCACTGCTTACTCCACTGCTGCTGGCGGCTCCATGGTGCGTGTCGAGCAGATGTGGGGAAAGGGTGTGGGAGAGGAGATACAGCGGGTTGAGATGTATCTAGGGAGAGGAGTGGGGGGGGGGGGTATGGAGAATAGGTTCTTAGTTTCGCATCTGTGCATGTGTACAAGTGCACCTCTATCTGCGTGTGCGTGTATGCAGGTCTGGTTGCATTTCCCGTTATTCCTCAATCCCTAGGCCTTTTCTGTTGGGTCCTCTTTTTACCTTTTCTTCCTGACCGTCCTCCATTCCCCTTACCTCTTTCTCTCTCACTCCCATCCCTTTTACCCTTCTCCTGATTCCTCCTCAACATTCCTGATCTCTTACCACTCCCACCCCTCCCACCTTTCCTGAATCCCACCATTCGCAGGTGCACCCGAACGTGCCGTGCATGCTCTTCACGCCCATCTGCCCGCACTCCCTCTCCTTCCGCCCCATCATTCTGCCCGACTCCGCCCTCCTTGAGCTCCGAGTGAGTCCGTCTGCACCCACAGGGCCCTTCCCTTCTAGCCTTCGCACCTCCAGTCTCTTACCGCGTTACCTTAAAGATTAACTCAAGCATATCACGGTTCATCTCGCCTTTACCCCTGGCGCCAATGACTCTCTCCTTTGCACTTCCCTTGTTCCTCCTTTTCTCTTCCCTTCTTGGTCCCCTCCAGGTGCCTGCTGACGCGCGCAGCAACTGCTGGGTGTCGTTCGACGGGAAGAAGCGGCAGCAGCTATCTCGAGGGGACTCGGTGCGCATTTCCATGAGCGCCCATCCCGTGCCCACTGTCAACAAGTGTGACCAAACTGACGACTGGTTTGCAAGCCTCGTCAGGTGCCTCAACTGGAACGAGCGCATGGAGCAAAAGGGGTTCAATACTGTTTTTTAGAGGGATGTATGTGTCCTAGTGTGAATGGGGAGTTGTTCATTGTGTCGGGAAGGAAAGGTCCTTCCCCCTAGCTGACTTCCCACGTGACTTGCCAGGTGCACCGTAGAGTATCTGGTTTTGTTTTGCATTGTTTTGTTGTGCATGGCCGTTGTAGTATTGAGTGATACAACGGGTGATTTTGCTGTGGTACCATTGGCTATACTATACATGATTGGATTCAGCTAACTTAGTATTTTGTGGTTCTTGCACACCCAAATGCCGTATCTCATATAGGGTTCCAAATAGGGTTCCGAATAGGGTTCCAAAACAATCTCAAGAGTGGGATATTAGAGCATAGACATGAACTAGATGCTACGTTCGAGTGGAGCACTTGGTGGTCGTAATGATTGTAGCTAGGTGTAAATTATAGCTCTATTCTCTGTAACACAAGGCCAAGTCAAGTTCGCCATTCACGGACACACGCATTGCACTGCGAAACGAGGGAAGTTGTGGTCCACGAAAGAGAATTTCGTTGCACGCGTGAGAGGAGCGGCTGCCAAGTACCGAGTCAGGCAAGCGATCTAGCGCAGCCAGTTTTCGCCTCAAATTTTCGACCTCAATGTAGATATTTTGCTTCGATGATTCTGTGCCACAAACCTCACCCAGATTATGCGCCGATTTTTTTTTTTCCCCATTGTACTGTTGAACCGTTGGGGGCCTTTGAAACACGGGGCCAGAAATGAGCCACCCTGGCGTGCGCTGTCAAATAGAATCTACGCTGGGATGACTCGTCACGTGATGGCAGCTTTTGTTTCACACATGGCCGCTTCGAGGCGCCTAGCGTCCCTCAACCACCAGTGTAGCTCAGAGAGTATCCCACTGGAGCCGACGTGGAAAAGTGGGCAGCTTAAAGTGTTTTTGTGGATACGGTTTTGACTGAGACGGTTGAAGGCGCTCACAGCCACGAGTTTTTCCTCAAAGGACTCATTCTCCCCAAGTTCGCTGGGTGGTTCGCCAGCGAGGTTGATCCCCCCCAGCATGATTGATCTGCCCATTTTCCGCCTTCTACGCGCAAACACGTCAGCTCGAGGAAAAAGCTCCAAGGCGCGTCACAAAAAGGACGCACCCAGCGCTTGCCCTTTTCCGCTTTCCTCCGCCGCATCATCACCGCGCACAGACCTGTAGGGGGGGAGGGAGCCTTTTCGCGCTTCCATGTGCAATTCTCCACCACAAGTCTTCCTCGTTCTGCTCGCTCCTCTTCCGCGGAGGTCCTCATTTCCTCTGCCGCGATAGTTCCACCTTCCGCAATCCGCACATCCAGAAACAAGACTCCCCCCCTCGTCCACCTCGAGTCTGTCTCCCTGAACCTTGGGATTGTCTCGTCTTGCCTCCCTCACCTCGAGAGTTGCGTGAGTCGGGAGGGAGACTCGAGCAATGCTCTCTTGCTATGAGCTGCTTTCTAGTGGTTGGCGATTTCATGTTTCACGTTTGTATGCAGCTTATGAAATGCTCAATGACCAGCTGATGTATCAGCCCAGCCGAAACCCTCCATAATTGCTTGAAGTGGGATCACTTAATACCGATCAGTCATCTAGTTGTCGACCGCTCTTATTACCGTGTAATTCTAAACGCTCCAGAACGCCTGATAATTAAAACAAACTGACAGTTTGTTCATCTTCAGGCAGATAAGATTAAAAGGTGCCTTAGACCGGCGAACAGATATTCTGTTGCTGCTCCTGACTTGTATTATCAAACAACCGCAACGGCAATTCTCAAGTTTAATCTTCCTCACTTTCAGATGGAAAGCCCACCTTACGTAGCTGCAGCTGTTGGGGGAAAGCGTAAGAGAGAGGAAGAAGAAGAGGATTTCCATCCCGAACCCAATGGCTCAATAAAGACCCCAGTCGTTGCATCCAGCTGTCCGTTTGACCAAACCACAACATCATCCCATCCAGTACTCGCTTCTCCTCGCGAGAAAGACTTCCCTCGCGTCTCGCAGGACACTCCTTGCGTAGCTGGCGTTCCAACAAAAGCCGAGACGCTTTTTGAAGATCACGAGAACGCGTCGCTACCGCTATCGCCGTCCAGAAATGTCAGCCAGCTGGTTTCGCCGCCGAGAGTTGTGTCTCAAGAAATGGCCGCTCGAGTCGTGGCCGGGTCTCAGCTAAAAGAGGAAGCTGTTGCAGCAGCGGAAGCCGCAGCGGCTGCTGACGCCGCGGCTGCTGCTGCGGCGGAAGAGGCGACGGGATGCCCTGCGGGAGACAACAAGGCGGTGGAGTTGACCGTTGAGCAGATTGATTCTATCTGCGAGGAAGCTGCAGCGGCTGTAGCGGCTACAGCTGCCGCAGCAGCCGGCGCGCTGGCGAGTGAGAAGTGGGAGGCGGAGGCCAGCAGCGAGGAGACGAACAAACGGAAAAGAAGACGGAGAGTTCACAAGAAGACGGCGGTGGGAAATTTTCCGTCAGCGTCGAATCAACCGGAGGATGGTGGGAGGTCGGACGGAGGAAGGGAGGAGGGAAGCGAGACGACGGAGAGCGACGGTTCTGAGGAAGAGAGAGGGGGGACGGGATTGGATGCGAGAATCGGAGACGCAGCGGATGCGGCGGCGGGAAACACGGAAGAGGTGGAGCTGGATTCGCAGGAGGAGGATGGCGACGACGCGGGTCTGTCGCTGTTCGACACGGAGAAGAACGACTCTATGATGGACATCGATGGCCGCTCGGCGGCGGCGGATGCGGCGAAGAGCTCCAGTCGAGGCCAGGAAGGGATGCAGGAAAGAGTAGAGGCAGCTTCCAGGTTGGCGGCTGTGGATGAGTCGCGGATCGCCGTTGAGGTTGCCGAGGATGACGCCGTCAATCACTCTCGGCGGCAAGATGCAGCCGCGGAGGTCGCGCCGGAGGATGCGGAGAGCAAGCATGGCGCGAAAGGCCGCGCCGGGAAGAGCGCCGCCGTACACGGCCTGAAGGCGACGGGGAAGGAAGCGCGGACGACGGCGACGGTGTCGCAGGTGCTGGTTCGCACGAGCATGGAGTCGTGTCGCACGGTGGTTCTGCGAGTCAGGCCGAGCGACACCGTGGATGACGTGCTGTGGCAGATCCAGTGAGTGACGTACGATGATGTCAGCATCACCACGTCGAACAGTGTGTCCATTACATCGAGTAACAGCTTACCCTTTCCAAAAAGCAGCACTGTTTTGTACCTTCTGCTTTTTCTCTTTCCCTCACAAACCCTCTCGTCCCCTCTCCCTTTCCCCCCTTCCTCTCACCTATAGGCGGAAAACGGGCCTGCCGGCGCACGAGCATCGCCTCATCTACGGGGGAAAGCAGCTCGACACCTCCGCTCGTCTGCAGGACGTGCCTGTGCCGCACGATGCCACGCTGCAGCTGATCGGACGGCTGAGATCCACGCTCTTCCCCGACGTGTGGCTGCTGGTGGCGGAGATGGAGGCGGGGCTGGCGCAGCTGCAGCGCCTGGAGGCCGTGGGCGCGGGCGTGGGGGAGCCTCCGCCGGGCGCGGGGAAAGGCGACGGGGGCGGAAGGGGGGCCGGTAAGGAAAATGGGAGGGAGGGCGGAAGGACGGACGGGGTAGAAGCCCCCATGCACGAGCAGCGCGCGGAAGTGGCGGAAGGTGGGAGGGGAGGCGGAGGAGGCGGAGATGCGTGCAATTGTGCGGTGGAGAGGGGCGGAAGGGGGAGAGGAGGGGGAAGAGGGCGGGGGAGAGGGAGAGGGAGGGGAGGCGGAGCAGCAGCAGAGGGTGCGAGTGGAGGTGCTGTGGAGGTTCAAGCAGGCGACAGAATCGATGTAATGGAGCAAGAACCGGCTCAAGCTGAGCAGCAACAACAAACCCAACAGCAGGACCACCAGCAGCAGCAGCAGGATGAGCAGGAAGCGCCAGGAAGCGGAGGTGGGGGCGGCGCAGTGGTGCAGGAGGCGGGGGGGAAGGGGCGGCGGGAGCGGCTGAGCAAGTACTACGAGGACAAGATCCACTGCGCCATGGCGCAGCTCTTCGTGCGCGCCGTCGACACCATCCGCTCCGGCCACGACGGCTGGACCATCAAGCTCGCCGAATACATCGAGGCCTTCAGGTACACTCACTCAAAGAGTCCTATAAACAGAGCCTTCAGGTGACTTGGATAAAGACTAGTTTACAGGCGAACGCCCTGTTGGTTCACTTCGTGTATTCTTGTTTCTCGTGTCCTGCCCTCCGTCTCTTCTCCCACCCTTGGGCCTCTGGCTGAACGTCGCATTTGCCGTGTGGTTGCCATCTCCGTCCCACTGGCAGGCTGGCAGGCGGCGTGCGGGCGGCCGTGCAGCTGCTGCAGCTGAAGGAGCCCCACCACATGCGCTTTGCCGACCAGACCGTTGCCAGCTTCCTTGATGAACGAGGTGAGAGAGCAGGAGGCTAGGGGGAGAGGGAGAAATAAAAAGTCGAAGGACAAAGAAGAAAAGGGAATATGGGGTTGGGAAATGTATGTGTGGGAAGGGTAAATTACTCACAACACACACTGTAACTGAGAATTCCCTTTACACAACACCCCTTCTCATCTCGTCCTGTTTCCGCCCCCCATTCTCTCACCCCCTTCCAGCCCTGATCACGTACATGCACGACTACGCCTGCCCGGGTAAATTCGCGCCCCCACTGTTGGACTACCTGGGCCCCGTGCTCATGGAGCTGCATGTGCTGCTCGACTCCTGCCGCCTGCGACCTACTCTCACCACCAGGTGTGTGTGCGTGGGAGTTTTGTCGGTTCGCTCCTTCTGTGAGCACCTACGGCGCCCACTGCTGGACTACCTGGGCCCCGTGCTCATGGAACTGCACGTGCTGCTCGACTCCTGCCGCCTGCGCCCGGCACTCACCACCAGGTGTGTAATCGGGTGTCCGTGCTGCTCTGTCTTGCTAGCCTGCACGCTGCAGTGCATGCGCTGGGGTAACTGCACTAGTGAAGCTGTCCGGCAAGGTGCGAGGTGGACCAATGCAAGATCATTATATATTTTTTTCGGCCCTCCATTCATCCGTGCACCTTGGCAAGGTGCAAGTTGCACGGGGATTCTTCAACATCTCATATTGGCCACCGGCATATGCTATTCTATGTCGCTTCAACCCCTCTCTACCCCACCAGGTGCTGGGACGCGTTGGTGAAGCTGTTTGGCAAGGTGCAGCTGGGTCGCTTCTGCCCGCAGCTCAACCGCTCCCCAGACTGGCTCGTGCGCAACCTCGCTCCCTTCCTCGAGAAGGCAGCCGCAGACCTCTGCATAAGCCTGCACCAGCTCACCCTGCTCGCAGCAGCCAAATCCGACAACCTCACCTCCCCCCTCACCTCCTCCGCCTCCTCCGCGTTCAAAACGTTTGCCTCGGCGATTGTGCTCTCGCTGCCCTTCTGCCGCCCGGCCGTGCGCCAGTCCGCGTTCTGCCGCCCGGGGTGGCTGCTGACTGTGTTTGGCTCGGTGCTGAGACACGTGGACGCGTGCCTGGCTGAGTCAGCGCGGTTCGCCAGGCGGCTGCTTCTGCTGACGGAGGGGCCTGCTGTGCTGGCGAGCACTGCTGCTGCTGCCGCGGCTGCTGTTGCCACTGGTGCTGCAAGTTTCTCTAGTTTCGCTGGTGCTGGTGCTGGTTTCGGTGCTGCTGCCGATTCGTTGATACCACCACCAGTCGCTGCCTTCGGCTCCTTCCCTGCGAATTGGCCGTATTTCACCGGCCTCCCTTCCTACACTGCTCCTTCCCCTGCCTATTCGCCTGAAACAGCTGCTGCTGTGGCTGCAGCTGCGGCGGCACAATCAGCCCAGCTGTCCCAATCTGCGGCATCACTGCATGCGTACCATTACCATTCAACAGCTGCAACCCCACCAGCAACAGCTGCAACAGCAGCAGGAGGGCATGCATTCACAGGCGCAAGCCACTATCATGCTGCCTCCGCCCTTCCCCTCCCACACAGCCCTCCCTGGCACGACCACCATCACCACCACCATCACCCCGCCACGCCCATGCACACCTCACCTCACCGCAACCAACCCCACCACTCGCCCCAACACTTAACCCCCTTCCCGCCCCCAGCCTCCTCTCCCTTCTCCCCTCCCTCCCACCCCGCCTCCCCACTCCCGCCCCTCTCTCCCCCTGACCTAGTCGGGCGAATGGCCCTCTCTCTCCTCCCAGAACCCCTCCGAGAATGCATCCCAGCAGTCCTGCAAGGGCTATATCTCCTAGCGGCGGTGGCAGCAGGGGCGGGGAGAGGGGGCAGTGCGGAGCAGCTAGTGGGCCTCCTAGTGAGGCACAGGGGGTGTGTGAACGCGGTGATTCAGAACCAGCACCTGGCGCCGGGAGGGGACCTGGCGTGGGTGTGCGAGCACAGGGAGCTGATCGACATGGATGTGAAGAGACGGTGGATGGGCGCTCTGCTGCCGGAGCCGGCCGAAGACCATGCCAACCGATGCACCGTCATTGTGAGTCCACGTGTGATTGCTCGCCGCTTGGCAGAGAGAGAGTCAGAGTGAGTCGAGGTGATGGCTAAGTCCAGTCCTCTGAGAGTGCTTCATGCTTGTCGGCGGTGAGCTCGTGTCCACAGGCCGGCCTCTCCCCCTACTGCCAGTATCCTCCCAGTTGATTTGATTCTCACCGTTTTTCTCTCTCGGCCACTCTCAACCACACCAACACCCCAGGTGCACCGAGGCCCGTCGCTACTCCACGAGTCGTTCGATCAGATCTTCTACGCTCCCCCAGAGGCCCTCAAGTCCGGCTTACTCGTGCAATTCGTCGACGAGGACGGCTCGGGCGCAGGAGTCCTGCGCGAGTGGTTCATGCTCGTGGGCTGCGAGCTCTTCTCAGGCGTCAACGCCCTCTTCTCCGCGTGCCCGGACGACCACCAGCGCTTCTTCCCCTCGCCCTCCTCCGCCATCAACCCCGGCCACCTCTCCTACTTCCGCTTCTGCGGCCGCGTCGTCGCCCTCGCGCTCATGCACAACATCCATCTAGACGTCACCTTCGCCCTCGCCTTCTATAAACTCCTAGCCGGGCGCGAGGTCACCTGGCGGGACTGTAAAGACATGGATCCGGAGCTGTTTGCGAGCTGCAGAGCGATCATGGCGCTGCCGGCGACAGATGTGGATGCGGATGTGCTGGGGCTGACGTTTGTGTGCAGCGTGGAGGAGGGCGTGGGGGAGAGTCGCGTGGTGGAGCTGTGCCCGGGCGGGGAGTTCATCAAAGTCACCAACAGCAACCGCCACGCCTTCATTGATCTGCTTGTCAAGCGGAGAATTGTTGCGCCCATGAGACTGCAGGCGCTGGCCTTTGCCGCGGGCTTTTCGGAGCTCCTGCACTGCCGTGACCTCCCCATCTCACTCGCCCTCCACACCTCCTCGCTCCACGCCTCCTCCCTCCACGCCTCCTCCCTGCACGCCTCCTCTCTCCGTCTTCCACACTCTGTTCCTGCGGGCGTCAGCATTCCTGCTGCTGGCGTCACTGTGACTCCTGCTGGCATCACTCTGGCTTCAGCTGGCGTCAGCATGCCTGCTGCTGGCGTCACCATGACTCCCACTGGTGTGAGCACCACTAACCCTATCAACCAGGTGCCCATGGACGCAGCAGGGAATGTGGAAGCAGGGGGGCAGCGATGGGGCCGCGCGGCCCCCCCTGCTGCTGCTGCTCCAGCATCAGCGCCAACACCACCAACAGAACTAACCGCACCACCAGCGCCACCACCACCAGCAGTAGTACCAACATCACCAGTGCACGCTACAACCCCTCCCACAGTCCCCATCACACACCCCGCAGCCATTGCTACAACCGCCCTTTCCTGGCCTACTTCAGATCCTAATGCAGCAGCTACAGCAGCAGCAACAGCCGCGGCAACAGCCGCAGCAACAGCAGCAGCGGCGGCGGCTGTAGCAGCAACGGCCCTGTGGGCTGCTGCCTTGCAAGGGACGTCTGGACCCGTGCCTGCTTCCATGCCTGCTTCCCTGGACACCCTTCCAGCACTCATGGCTGCCCACGCTACAGCCGCTGCCACTGCTCCTGCTGCCACCCCTGCCACGGCTGCTGCCGCACTGCATGGGTTCATGAGCACCCTGCCGACAGTAATCACCAGCCAGCCATCAGTCATGGTACCTCTCGCTACAGCCGCAACAGCCCCCATTTCGACATCCCCCGCTGCTACAGCTGCACTACCCAGCATCCTACCCATGGCTACAACTGTCATTGCTGCTGCAGCCGGTCCAGGTGTGCCGACCACTCCCGCCTCTCTTCCATCAGTTGTAGCGCCAATGACGGTTGATTCCCCGATGGTGGCTGTAGCGCCAGTGGCGCCGGTGGTGGTGCCGATGATGAGTCCGGCTGTAGCGGTGGTGGAGAGCGGGTGGGTGATGCAGCAGGCGCTGCGGCCGCTGGGCGCAGGGGACTTTGAGGCGCTGCTGTATGGTGAGGAGAGGGACATTGATGTGGCTGACTGGCGCGCACACACGGACTACCATGGCTACCGGGCCACCGACCCTGAGGTGCGTGAACTCATGAAACCTGTTATGCCATGGCCCCTCTGTCAAGTTTGGTTCGTTCCACAGAAACCGATTATGCATGTGAAATACCGATGTTTTCTGGGACTGCTGGTGGTTATGGGGTTCTTGATGCTGCGTTCTTGACTCGACTCTGCTTCTTGCATGTCCCCTTGTCACTCTGTGGGTGCAGATCGAGTGGTTCTGGGAAGTTGTGGAGGAAATGACCAAGGATCAGCGCAGGCGTCTGCTCTACTTCACCACGGCCATCACTCGCCTCCCTGCTTCCGGCTTTGCTGGCCTGCAATCTAGGTACGAGATGGGCTGTGGAAGCTTTCAGAATTATGGTTTGCTCTTGTCCTGAGTTTCTGTGGCAAGGGGTTTTTTTAATATCCTGAGATGCTTACTTGAGTGTCTTTATGCTGCTGCAGGTTCCACATTCATCTCGCATTGACTGACACCACACATCTGCCGACTGCACACACGTGCTTCCATCAACTTGTGTTGCCACCGTACTCATCCAAGGCGATGATGAGGCAAAGACTCCACACAGTCATCGCCGATCACCTTGTACAAGGATTCGGTTTTGCATAAAAGGCTCTACTACTCAGTTGGAGTAGCCGTTGGCATGCTGCTCTCCCTAGGCCCTTTTTAATGTTATGGTAACAAACTTTTCCTGTAAATGGTAGGTGTGTTGCTTGATGGCAAACGCCATCACCAATTTTGTATAGTGTTGCCATGATCAATGAATTGCTGACTGTTGTGAAGAATAGAGTGCCGTTTTTGTGGTTTGAGTGGAGGAAAGTAATTATAATCGGTATGAAGTTTGCAGGAAGTTTTTGTTTGGAGGAAACTAACCATTAGGCAGGACTAATTCTTGCTGTATGTGGTATCCGACAAATGTATGTTACACTTTATAAGCGGTATGAATCAAATGCTCGCAGTTTTCCCAGCTTATTCTATTGTGCATGAACTGTAGCTCCACATCTGCGGTTTGCTCCAGAAATATCACTCCCTTCTAGAATCTAGACGGCTGCTTCGTTATTGGCGCAGGTAGGGTGTGCTTCGCTTATGTGTGGTGTGGAGTCGTTGGTCCTCCTCCCCTCTCCTCTCCTATCACATCTCCCTCGGGTTTTCCCTGCCTGTCGGTGACTGGTCAGCACGTTTGCACGTACTGGTCCGTGCCTGTTCGCCTTCCTTCACTTCCTTTTATGTCGCTGCGCCGTCGGCGTCCCTTGTAGGTCTTCGTTCGAATCTCGATTCTCGATATCAGTGTTGTAGTGGTGCGATCGTAGTGCGACCGTCGTGCGACCCAGCTCAAGGCTGATGAAGCAGCGCCGCTCCTTGTTCTATTGTCTTCAGGCCTAAGGGACTTAGCTTGAAAATCGTTAGTTTTTAATAGGTTAGGAATCATACGATGAGGATTTTAAACTCGTTCATGCATGACGACGCTTCGTTATAACGCCGAAGATTCGCCATAGCAAGTCCACAGGAACCTAAAATCCTCGTTGATTCGCGTCGACAACACCTGAGAACGCGCCGCTTTTCCTAGTCGCCTATCCGAGTAGGAGCGTCGCTCGTGGCCATGGAGTTTCTGAAGAAGCTTCGTCAGCTGGACGCGTATCCCAAGGTCAATGAGGACTTCTACAGTCGCACAATGTCCGGCGGCATCCTCACGCTCCTCTCCTCCGTCGTCATGGCCGTGCTCTTCATCACCGAACTCCGTATGTCTTTCCCGTTACGATATCCCCTGTATAAACATCCCCACGCTCCTCTCCTCCGTCGTCATGGCCGTGCTCTTCATCACCGAACTCCGTATGTCTTTCCCGTTACGATATCCCCTGTATAAACATCCCCACGCTCCTCTCCTCCGTCGTCATGGCCGTGCTCTTCATCACTGAACTCCGTATCAACATCCTTCCCCGCACACGCATGCCAACTGTGCTTCTTCGTCACGATATTCCTTGTATTGATAACCTCTCGCTAATCTTCTCCATCGTCATTGCCGTGCTCCTCTTCACCGAACTTCGTATGAACGTGTCTTTATGTCGTGCTCACATCGTTCGTTGTGCTCCTCCGTTACGTTATCCCTTGTAATGTCATTTCACTCTGCTATTCTGTCTTCCATCCCCTCTCCGTCCGTGCCATCCCTCCTCTCCGTCCGTTCCGGCTTCAATCAGGTCTTTTCCTCCAGCCGAAGATCGTCAACGAGCTCTCTGTGGACCTGTCCCGCGGAGAAACCCTCAAAATCAATGTGAGCGCCCAGAAATCTACGAATCGTTACAACCTCGCAACTATTTGGTCCATTTGAAGCCACTCTCTCGTGACATCCCGAGTCATGGGCAAAAATGCGTAATATCTGTCAGCACTTATGCCTCGTCCCTCGACCTCCCCCTTTTCCTGCACTATCCTTCCTTCCTCCCAAACCCCCTCCTTCTCCCGGCTAACCCCCTTTCTCGGCAATCCCCCTCTTGCCTCCCCTCCCCCCCGCCCCTCCACCACCACCTCACTCGACCCACCATCAGCTGGACGTGACGTTTCCGCGGCTGTCGTGCGCGGTGCTGTCGCTGGACGCCATGGACATCAGTGGCGAGCAGCACCTCGACGTGGTACGCACACATGCCATGCCATGCCATGCCATGCCATGCCATGCCATGCACGTGCACGTGCCATGAAAGATGACATGAAAGGCCATGGTAGTTTGAGTGTCGCCCGAATTGTATGTTTGTCGTAATTTGGTTAAATCCGCCACTCACTTAGCTGCCACCCGCGACCCGTGTTCTCCGCGTCCCTCCCCCCGCCCCGCACATCCGTTCCCTCCCCCCCACGTCCCCCACGTCCCCCACGTCCCCCACGTCCCCTACATTCCGCACGCCCCCCCGTGCCCTCACCCATTCCCCAAGTCCATCACGCCTTAGCCGTTCCCCGCTCTCTCCCTTCCGTTCCCCACATTTCCCACCTTCCCCACATCTTCCAGGTTCCTCTCATCCCACTCAATCCCCCTTGTCCCGCCGTTTCCCCTCAGTCCCCATGTCAACCCCTGTTCCACATGTTTCCCCCTGTCATGTCAACCAAGCGGCGGCTGACGTCCGTCCAGCTGCCAGTGAAGGGCATTTACCCTCCCTTCCCTTCTCCCTCTTTCCCCCCCTCTTTCCCTCTTCCCCCATCCTATTCACAACCACCCTTCTCCCCCACTCCCGGCCCCCCAGGTGCACAACATCTACAAGCGGCGGCTGACGCCCATAGGCCTGCCACTGGAGGGGAAGCCCCTCATCCACCCTGCACCGCCCCTCCCGTTACCCCCCCGCACCCCCCCGCATCCCCCCTCCTCCGCATCAGGTGCACAACATCTACAAGCGGCGGCTGACGCCCATAGGGCTGCCGGTGGAGGGGATAGACTCGAAGCACGAGATAGGGGCGAAGCAGCACGACGTGCTCAAGAAGCGCGACAAGTTCGGCAACGTGGTGCCCGACGACCAGGACTTCTGCGGTAGCTGCTACGGTGCTGCTGAGGTGCGTTCTGGACTGTGTGCTGCTGCTGAGGTGCGTTTTGGACTGTGTGCTGCTGCTGAGGTGCGTTTTGGACTGTGTGCTGCTGCTGAGGTGCGTTTTGGACTGTGTGCTGCTGCCGAGGTGCGTTTTGGACTGTGTGCTGCTGCTGAGGTGCGTTTTGGACTGTGTGCTGCTGCTGAGGTGCGTTTTGGACTGTGTGCTGCTGCTGAGGTGCGTTTTGGACTGTGTGCTGCTGCTGAGGTGCGTTTTGGACTGTGTGCTGCTGCTGAGGTGCGTTTTGGACTGTGTGCTGCTGCTGAGGTGCGTTTTGGACTGTGTGCTGCTGCTGAGGTGCGTTTTGGACTGTGTGCTGCTGCTGAGGTGCGTTTTGGACTGTGTGCTGCTGCTGAGGTGCGTTTTGGACTGTGTGCTGCTGCTGAGGTGCGTTTTGGACTGTGTGCTGCTGCTGAGGTGCGTTTTGGACTGTGTGCTGCTGCTGAGGTGCGTTTTGGACTGTGTGCTGCTGCTGAGGTGCGTTTTGGACTGTGTGCTGCTGCTGAGGCACGTGACGTGCGTGCTCCATGAGATGCTGAGGTGCGTAACCTGTGCACTCTCTTTTGAGAAGCCTCAAGCAACGTCGTGCCCGACGACCAGGACCTCTGTGGCAGCTGCTACGGCGCTGCTGAGGTGCGTTCCTGTGCCATGCATGCACACTTTGCTTTCCTCGTTTGTGCCCATCTTTTTTCTCTCACTCTCGTCACCTTCTCATTCCGCCCCTCATCCTGTCCTTCCCCATCTCCCCCCACCACCCCCCCTTCGCACCTTCCCTCTGTACCCGCATCAGACGGACGACCAGTGCTGCAACAACTGTGAGGAGGTGCGCGAGGCGTACAACAAGCGCGGGTGGGCCTTCAGCAACGCTGACGCCATTGAACAGGTGAGAGGGCCCGAGAGGGCAGCGATGGCAGCAGTGCGCTGAGAGGCAGCAGCAGGGCAGTCATGGAGCCAACAACTGTGAGGAGGTGTGCGAGGCGAGGCGTGCAACAAGCGCGGGTGGGCCTTCAGCAACGCTGACGCCAATGAACAGGTTCTTGAGCAGCTACGTGTTTCGTAGACCCCTTGTCGTCCCTACATGTCTCATCCTCTCCCAATCCCTACCTGCTTCATCGTCTCTCTCTATGCCAGTGTGTCCTATGTATGTCTTTCATCACTTACCTCTCTGCCACGCCCCACATCATCTCCTCTCGTCCGTCATCCTCTTTTCGCCTCAGCAACAGGCTTTCCTTCCTTCCCCGGTGAAACCATCCTTGCATCCTTGCAGTCTGCCATTTCCTCTTGTTCGTTCAACAGGTATTTTTCTAGTCAACTGAAAAGTCACCTCTGTACGTTCATCAGGCGGCTCGTGCTTCTCCCCATCACCCTCTTGAGTCCATCATCTACCTTTCCCTCGCCACTCACTCACCTCCCTCACTTTCCTTGACCTCCCCTCCTGCTTGTTCAGGCGCCTCAATCTTGACCCCTCTTCCCCCCCTGCCGTGACTCGTGTGTGGTGGGAGTGCAGTGCAAGAGGGGGGACCTGATAGACAAAATTCAGGCGCAAGTGGGTGTGTGCAGTGCATGCTGAAATGCCGTTAACTTCGTCCCTCTCCCCCACATCTCTTGCGTGTGTGGTGTGGTGGGAGTGCAGTGCAAGAGGGAGGACCTGATAGACAAGATTCAGGCGCAAGTGGGCGAGGGCTGCAACATGTACGGCGTTCTCGAGGTGAGGCCAGAGATGCACCAGGTAGGGGTTATTGAGGTCGAGGGGGTGTGTGGCGAGAAACGATCGTCCGTCTGTCTTACTCTCTCCTGCCTGTACCCTTCCACTCTGCGCCTCACACTCTCTCCTGCCTGTACCCTCCCATCCGTCCCTCCCTCTCCGTGCAGGTGAACAAGGTGGCGGGCAACTTCCACTTCGCCCCGGCCAAGGTGTTCTACACGGCAGGCATATCCATCTTCGACCTCGTCATGTTCCACGACACCGTCTTCAATGTGAGTGCCTGGGTTGGGGGCACCGTCCTCAATGTGAGTGCCGGCTGGCTGGTTCTGAACTTCTGAGTCGACTCAAAACGCATCTCCATCTTCGACCATGTCAGTGTCATGTTCCACCACGACACTGTCGTCAACGTGAGTGGTAGCCGCCCCGCCGCGACTCACTACGAACCAAACACATGGCGCCCTGCGCTGTCAGATGACCTTCCCTTCGACCACATCCCTGTTGCTTGCCCCCGCTTCCCTGTGATGCAACACATTCTTGCACCTTGTGAGATATCCCGCTGTCATATCTCTTGTCTTGTATCTATCTTCCCTTTTCTCTCTCCCCACCCTTCCCCCTTCTCCCCACACCTCTCCCCCAAACCTGTGCTCTCACCACACGTGCTCCCTCTCTCGCCAGATATCCCACACGGTCAACTCCCTCTCGTTTGGCGCCAAGTTCCCAGGAGCAGTCAACCCACTGGACAAGGGCGCCCTTTTGATTTGAACCATTCCCACGTCCGCTCCCCCCCCGCCCCCATTCATTCCCACGTGACGCCACACACCCTGCCCACACGCCAGATATCCCACACGGTCAACTCGCTCTCGTTTGGCGCCAAGTTCCCAGGAGCCGTCAACCCACTGGACAAGTGAGCCATTCGAAATCAGTCGATGCACAGGATACGTGGGCCATTCTAATTCGGTCGGGACGTGCAAGCCTTCTCGACAGTGACAAGCAACCCACACCTTGTGCTGTATCCCGATTCCCGCTCGCTGTTCAACCACATGGCTAGCCTCCCTTCATCACTGCTCTAGTCTAGGCCCACGTGTTCCACTTTCCACCCCTAAAGGTGAGACCAGTTATGTTACGGACCTTGTTATTCCCAGTTCTTGTCAAAGCAACTGCAAGCAGTGAGTTCTCACCGCAAGCGACTCATTTTTTGTCGAGGAGTTCGCGCCTCCCATCCCCCAATCACCCTTCCCGCTCGTGCTGCTTCAAGAAGGGTGCAGTGGGTGCAGCAGGGTGACTCAGGCATGTACCAATACCTCACTAAGGTCGTCGTGCCAACCAACCATGTACACCGACTCCTTTCCGCCCCATTCCCCTCCCATACTCCTTCGAACAGGGCGCAGTGGGTGCAGCGGGGCGAGTCAGGCATGTATCACTACTTCGTCAAGGTCGTACCCACCATGTACACCCACTCCCTTTCCCCGCCTCAAGTACTCCCTCCCATTCCCCTCCCGTCTCCCACCCACCCCATCCCGCGCGTGCTCCTTCGAACAGGGCGCAGTGGGTGCAGGAGGGCGAGTCAGGCATGTATCAGTATTTTGTCAAGGTCGTGCCCACCATGTACACTGACTCGCACAACCACACCATCGCCTCGAACCAGGTATGTGCGTTGGTTGTGCAAGTGTTACATACTTGTATGTATAGATATACATTGTTTTATTATTATACTTCGATGTGTGTGTGTGTGTGTGTGTGTGTGTGTGTGTGTGTGTGTGTGTGTGTGTGTGTGTGTGTGTGTGTGTGTGTGTGTCTGTTTGTGTTCATACAATTATGCATGTATATAAATATGTATATAGGTCTGCCTCCGTTGCTCTGCATCTTTCTGCTCTCACTCCCACCTTTCTGCCCTCACTTTCTGTTGTCCACCCCCTCCCCCCTTCCCCCTCCCCATTCTTCCCTCCCCGTTACCCCCCTCTCGCCACGCCTCCCTACTGCCTGCAGTTTTCAGTGACGGAGCATTTCCGGCCAGCACCATCGCACGACCACCAGTCGCTGCCAGGAGTCTTCTTCTTCTACGACCTCTCTCCCATCAAGGCAAGTGCCCTTTTTCCTCTTGATACATCTCAAAGGTACGACCTCTCTCAGGGCCATCTCAAGTGCTCTTCTCTGTTTTGCCCTGCCGTTGAGTTATGGGTTGCTGCTAGGCTGCGTGCTTGCTCCCGCTGCTGACATCACACCCCGCCTCCAGCATGCTCCAGCAGCCCCAGCATGCTCCAGCAGCCCCAGCATGCTCCAGCAGCCCCAGCATTCCCTGCATCCTGCACCTCTTTCACTGCTCACCTGCTCCCGCAATATTTTGCCATTCTTCCTGCTGCTCTCTCTTTCCCGCTGCTCCGCTTTGCGCTTACCTTGTGCTGTGTGCATGTGTTTTCCTGTCTGCCTGCTGCTGTGCCTTGGACCCAACAGGTGCAATATTCCGAACGCTACACCTCCTTCCTCCACTTCCTCACGAACGTCTGTGCCATTGTGGGAGGTGGGTAACAGAGCCTTTGTTTGCACTTCGCCTGTTTCAGATGTTATTTTGGCCGCGTTTCGTTTTCATTCTGAATGTGATACATTTCACTAAGCCTCCCTCTCCCCCCCACGCTTCGCTTTTCTCCCTGCCGTGCAGGCATTTTCACTGTTACAGGCATGGTTGATGCTTTCATCTACCACAGTCAGCGTGCCATAAAAAAGAAAATCGATCTAGGGAAACACAGCTGATCCGTCAACACTTAGTGCCTTAGTAGCAACAATGGTAGTACTTGTGTGCCCGTAGGCACAAATTTAGAAAGCTTCATAGGCGATGCTAGGTTAGATGCTAAATCCTAGGCCTGTGGTTCTACTCTAGACTGTATGACAAAAGGTGGTGCACACTTCCTGCATCAGCTATGATGAGAAGTACTCCCTGGAATTCAATGGAACGTAGCTGAATTATATGTACGAGATAGGTAAGTGCGCAGTGCCGGGAAATGCACATTTACGTAATGTAATTTTCTGGAGGCCTGCCTTTTTTTCGATCGACAGCACTTGAGCTTCCTGCATGGCGAGCGACGCTCGCCACGTGTCAGCAAGTGGTGCCGTGCAAGCGGGGCTTGAGCTGGGCAGCCGAAGCAGTCTCCGAGCCGCTATCATGGACTTTCCAGCATCGCCGATTTTCGCGTCCACTTCAAATTTCCCGCTCTGGTTTCGAACGCTCTCAGGACCCGATTCGCTCTCGCCTATTCCTTCAATAGTTGGTGGTGGTGGTGTCATTGCTTCCGAGCATCCGATTCCGATTTCTCGTTATTCGAGCTGCTGCGCTGTCCCAAGCAGAGATCTGCTCGCGAGAGTTGTGCTACCGCGTCGTGAGCTGTTGCCGCGAAGCACAGGCTGGTGAGACTGTGTGTGTGAAGAGCAGTCGCCGTTTGACCCCGATCGTGAATGAAGGGCATGATGCAGGAGGTGAAGGAAGGCACGAAGGAGAAGGTGGAGGGAGCCAAGGCGGGGCTGAAGGAGTCCGTGGAGTATGCTAAAGCGGACATGAAGCAGACCTTCGAGAAGCTCAAGCACCCCATGAACAGGTGACCTAATGCTTTTCTGTTTTTTTTCTTCGCTATTGAGCCGACTTGCTTTGAGGTTGGGATAAATTTCTGGGAGTTGAGAAATTGATATGTGCGTTGCAGGGAGAAGAATCTGGAGGCCCGTGATGAGGCATTCGAGAGGAAGCTGGAAGCAACGAGGGAGAAGCTGGAGAGGAAGGAGATCGCCCACGAGCGACGCCAGGAGGCCACTGAAGGTCTGTATACATCCCCTCTTTGTATTCTCGTTCCTGATGGCTTTTTATTGACGTTTATGGTCCATTACTTTTTTCCTTCTTACTCAAGTGCTATCTATTGCACCCTGTTACCCGTTTCATTGGTTTTTCTGCAGAGGCGCTTCAGAAGGTGCATGCGTCGAAGGCGGAGAAAGAGGTGGAGGAGAAGGGTACGGCTCAGCACGGAGTGACACCAGGTGCTGCCGGTGCCACTGCTGCTGGCGTTGGCGCCGCTGGCGCTGCTGGTGCTGGCGCTTACGGTGCAACCCACGAGCGCGAGCGTGGAACTGGCCTGGGGACGCATGAGCGTGGTACAGGAATCGGTTACGGGGAGACTGGCACTGGCACTGGATATGGTGCGAGCCAGGAGCGTGGTACTGGAGAAGGCGTGATGGGGAAGGTGAAGCACGCTGTGACTGGAAAGCCCTCTGCTGAACGTCAGGCTGAGAGGGGCACTGGGTATGGCGAATCTGGCACCGGTTATGGTGAGTCTGGCACTGGGTATGGTGCGAGCCAGGAGCGTGGGACTGGAGGTGAAGGCGTGATGGGGAAGGTGAAGCACGCTGTGACTGGAAAGCCCTCTGCTGAGCGACAGGCTGAGAGGGGCACTGGGTACGGCGAATCTGGCACCGGTTATGGTGAGACTGGCACTGGCTATGGTGCGAGCCAGGAGCGTGGGACTGGAGGTGAAGGCGTGATGGGGAAGGTGAAGCACGCTGTGACAGGAAAGCCCTCTGCTGAGACTGGTACTGGGTATGGCCAAACTGGCACTGGCTATGGTGGCACTCATGGCGAGCGTGGGACTGGGACTGGTTACGGTGAGACCGGTACTGGGTATGGTGAAACCCAGGGGCATGGCACAGGAGGCATGATGGGCAAAGCCAAGGAGGCTGTGACTGGTGAGCGCCATGCTGGCACCGGCACTGGCATGGGTACGGGAACTGGTTATGGTCATGCTGCCACTCACGAGAGGGGAACTGGTACTGGCACTGGTTATGGTGCTGGTACTGGCACGGGGTATGGTCACGAGAGTGGTACTGGCACGGGGTATGGTCACGAGAGTGGTACTGGCACGGGCTATGGTCACGAGGGTGGTACTGGCACGGGCTATGGTGCTGAGAGTGGTGCAGCAGGGACAGGAGGTGGTGGTTGTGGTATCTTTGGGACGATCAAGAAGGCGTTCACAGGATCAAGTGAGCCCACGGCAGAGCGTCCTGTTGAAACTGGTCGCACCGGCACTGCCGGGCAGGAAGAGTATGATCCGACGGCTCCTGTTTTCATGAGGAAGTAGTTCGTTTGAATGATGAAAGTTTGTGTGTACATTTGTATAGCATGCCAATGATGAATATGCTTGTAGTGGATGATGTACGTTGATATTACACGGAATTACTTCCACGGTTCAGCGAATATGAACCAACCCAAATCGCCTTGTAAAAACACAGGCTTGGCCCATCGCCTTGCCCAACCTGGTCCAAATCAAACATGCCCAACCTAAGCGGCGCGGAGGGGACCAATACAAATGCTGGCGAAGGCCGCCGCTGGAGGTTTGGGATCGCACGGTTGTGTGATTGGCTTGGTTGATGCTTTCTGGTTGTGTGATCTTCTGCCTTCATGCGCTCAACAGTCTTCACCTTGCTCCCACAGGAGTTCTATTGATCACTGAACTCCTCTGGTCTGATGCGTGTCTGTATGTGTGAGCTCTGGTTGCCAGTTGGGCGCACACTCAAGTTGGGACACCAATAGACTCTAATTTCTAGGCTACAGTCCTTGGTCCTGCAGACATTTGTATTCGTGGGTGATTATTGGCCATATTTCAGCGAAATCGTCTCTCGACAAGTAGTCACCTACTGAGCTTGAACTCCTTCAGGGATCACCTCCTTTGACCACGCAATGGGTTCTCTCGATCTTTCTGGCGGTGCTGCCTGGTAAGAAAAATCGACAGTGGCCGATACTGACTAGATAAAGATTCATGGCATACACATAGCATGATTCGGTTGTGAGGCTTCGGCGAAACGAGTAATTCCGTCTGAATTACCTCTAAAACCCGGTGGTGTCAGTGCTCAATGAAAGGACGGTCTTCTTATGTACCGTGCAGCATTGATAGGGATGTGGCTCCTTTTGTACAACGTCGGTCCTAGTGTTGCGGCTTCTGAAATCTTCATCTGTTTCGTCTTGCTCATATTGTGTCCGTCCTTCTTTCTCTGCTTCCCCGTCTGCTCTTTCGTGTACATTTCGCAGGATGAGCCGTGTGGTAAGCCCGCTCAAAGCTCCGCATCTTTGGCCATGGCCCCAATCGCTTGCCTGATTCCATTTGCCGAGTTTCCCCTTACATCTGTCTGTGCTTCTCCGGTGCTTGAACCCTTTTACGTCTTGCTGGCATCGACCATCCTTTTTCACGAAAATTTTGTGTCAAGCTCTCTCTGTTCTCGTATGCTCATTCTTCCGCCAAAGACAGAAGCCCTTTTTCGTAACTTCATTCGTGACCTACCTTGATTCCAGGCCAGCCTATCCATTGGCTCCCGAGTGGCGGGGTTCGCGGGTCTCTGCGTCGCCTCCAATCAGGACGAGGAGGGCGGTAAGCGTCGGCGACGTGGCGCACGCCGATTCGCCGGACTGGTGCTGGTGTCGTCAGCCGCCGCTACAGCCACACCCGCAACAGCGACCCCTGCTACAGCTGCTACAGGCGAGAAGAAGACCTGTTGTGGAGGGAAGAAGGCGAAGGTTGAGGAGAAGAAGAAAAGCTGGCCCCAGATCATTCTAGGTAAATTCTTTTGCACTTCGAAACATTAAGTTTCGTGGATGTTGAGTCAACTCAAGGCCACGCAAATCCCATATTCCTTCTCTGCACCCTTCCTGACACCCGTCCGTCCCCGTGCCCTTCCCTTCTATTCTCTTCCCTTCCCTTCCCGACTCAACCCTAACAGAGGGAGCAGTGGCAGGAGGAGCAGCGGGTGTGACGGTCGAGACGGCCTTGTACCCCATCGACACCATCAAGACTCGCCTGCAGGTACACAAACCGAACCGAACCAAACCACACCAAACCGAACGGAACAGAACGGAACCGACCGAACCGAACTGAGAATATTGTGTTGTGAGGGGAGCCTGCCTGCGTGCCGCATTGTGGTACTTTTTAGTGTTGGGGACTGCCTGCATTCACAATGCAGTGGTGCTCAGAAGCACCTGCATCTGGCCAGGTGGGTGGGTGGGCGGCACAGAAGGCGGTTTCGAATTGCCCTCACACCTTTTCAGCAAGGGGCGGCATCCTTTGCGCTCGCTCATGTACCCTCCGCGTGGTTGTGTCGTTGTGTGTTCCGCGTGCCATCCATTCATCCCCAGGTGGCCACCTCGGGAGGCGGCATCAACTTCAATTCAAGGGGCTCTACTCGGGCCTCTCTGGCAACCTCGTTGGACTCTTGAGTTGACTCAAAGGTCCTGCATGCTTGCCCCTTTTGCTTGCCATTCATCCCTCCGCAGGTGGCCACCTCGGGAGGCGGCATCAACTTCAAGGGGCTCTACTCGGGCCTCTCTGGCAACCTCGTTGGCGTGCTGCCGTGAGCTGCCCATTCCACACTCGCCTCGTTTCTCTCATGCTTATACTCCTCCTCCTGCTGCTGCTGTTCCTCGTGCTCCTTCTCCTGCTCCTGCTTCTGCTTCTGCTCCTGCTCCTCCTCCTCCTCCTCCTCCTCCTCCTCCTCCTCCTCCTCCTCCTCCTCCTCCTCCTCCTCCTCCTCCTCCTCCTCTTCCTCCTCCTCCTCCTCCTCCTCCTCCTCCTCCTCCTCCTCCTCCTCCTCCTCCTCCTCCTCCTCCTCCTCATGATGCACATGATGCACATGATGCACATGATCCACATGATCCACATGATGCACATGATGCACATGATCCACATGATGCACGATCCACGTCAGCCATGATTCTGGATCTTCAGTCATCAACGGAAGGAACCCTGCACCGCACTGCACCCCGCCTACTCCACTCCTCTTCCCTCCCGTTCCGTCCCTGCAGAGCGTCAGCCATATTCATAGGCGTGTACGAGCCGGTGAAGGCTTTCCTCCTGAACGCCCTTCCTGACAACATCAGTGTTGCCGCTCACCTGGTGAGACCTACCCGTGCCACCCACGTCCACTCCTGTTCGCTTCTCAATCTCACTTCCTGTCCCAGGATTTTATTGTGCGTTTCCTTTAATTTCGTTACCTATAGAAACACACGTTATTGTAGCTATACGTTTCATATCTATGTTGTTACGCCATCGCCCCTGCCTGTCTGTCCTCCTTCCTGGCCCTGTTCCCGTTCCCCCCATCCAGGCAGCAGGAGCTGCAGGAGGCACAGCAGCTTCTCTTGTTCGAGTGCCCACTGAGGTAGGCCGTGCCATCCATGGCTATGTATTGCGTTGTGTCCATGGTCATGGTGGTCTGTAATAGCGCACGCATCATGTACATACATGATATGATGCCGATGCGCCATGCAAGTCCATGATAGTCCACCCACTGTGATGATGCGTCATGGACAATCATGTTAGTCCATCATATGCACAGCACATCCATGGTATGATAGTCTATTATGATCTGCCATGCACATACATTCTACTCCATGATGCCTCACCATGATAGATATAGTCAATGATGATGCAGTCTGGGAGGTGCTCTACATCACTCAAGGTGCCTCTCTCCCTACACCAAAGCATGCTCTCCCATACCGTGCCGTGCCCGCTCACCGACCACCGCCAGGTGGTGAAGCAGCGCATGCAGACGGGGCAGTTCCCCACTGCAGTCAACGCTGTCAAGACCATTCTCTCCAAGGAGGGATTCAGGGGGCTCTATGCGGTACGTTCCTTCTTTTATGCAGTACATTCGCTATTCTATGCGGTCTGTTCCCTCGGCAGCACATTCCAGTTAGATTCCTTTCCCTGAATGCTGGCTTCAGTGTTGTGTCTCTTGTTTGCTCTGTCTGATACGTCCCTAAAAAATGTCCATACATTTGCCTGTGTACCATCTGGATTGTACAATCGGTCCTCTTCTTGAAATATCCTGTTACATGTTTCCTTATAAATCTTGTTACAAATGTGCTGATGCCACAGGGTTATGGCTCCTTCCTTCTGCGAGACCTGCCATTTGATGCCATCCAGTTCGCCATCTATGAGCAGCTTAAGATCCAACTCAAGAAAACGGTGAGCTCCATCTCCCATTCATTGGCTTTTGGTTGCCTGCCACAATGCTGGAATTGTTGAAAATTTACTGAATAGTTGCGCTTTTTTTTGCAAATGTGGTATCCTGGTCTGTCCTCGCTATAACCTCCTTGCTTCCCTCCAATCCGCAAGCCCCATTCTGTATGTGTAATTTTCTTATACTTGCAGTCTTTGTGACGATAATGACTTTTTTTTTTACCTCCATTCGCTTTTTTACGCTGCACGTTTTTGTTGGTGCAATAAATTCAGCTGAAGCGGGACCTTAAGGATCCAGAGATGGCAGTGGTGGGGGCAATCTCAGGTGCCATCACAGGCGCTGTCACCACTCCCCTTGATGTCATCAAGACTCGCCTCATGACGCAGGTGCGTGACGCGTCACGCTGCATGAATGTAATTTCTGGATTCTGGTGCCTTTTCAGCAGAATCTACGGAAGGATGCCGAGAGAAACAGTAGATTTTTCATCAACGTGTGAACTACTGTGTTAACCTCCCTCTCCCATCTTCCTGTCCTGACACATGCACGCAATATGAATGCAGGGGACATCTGGGCAATACAAGGGCATCATTGACTGCATTCAGAAGACAGCCGCACAAGATGGAGCTGGCGCTCTTTTCAAGGTAGGTCTAAGGGAGCAAGAATGCATGCTAGTCATGCTCGCCAGAACCAAGTTTTTGCCTTCTACATTACACCTCGGGTTATGAAGTCCCACACACTTCCAATCCAGCACAAGCATTTCTCCCAACTTTTACTGTACTCCCAACCTACAGGGTGTTGGCCCCAGAGTCATGTGGATCGGTATCGGAGGGTCTATCTTTTTCGGAGTTCTTGAGAAGACAAAGCAGCTTATGCACAAGGCGTACCACACACCCCCCCCATCAGAAGCATATTTCTAACCAGTTGCTGCTTAACCTCACTTCACTTCGATCTTACAATCTTCAGGCTCGTGTCTTCTACAATACCGTAAGCAAGTACCGTACCGTACCATTATTCCGTTCCTTGGTGTACTTGAATATATAGTTTATGCACTGCCAATAGATATGTTTTCAAATGTTGTTAGATCAGAGTCTTCATCGCATTTATTCAAGCCCAGTAGTGCCATCGGAAATGCAGAAGTATGGGAAGGTGGACTTCTAGACAAAACTCATAAGCAGCCTTTGCCAATCTCAGTACACAAGACAATCTACTCTACAGCATTTACTCAAAAGATCAGGAAAGCTGGAAGCAGCATCTAGAATAGCCTCCACAGAGCAACGATACTTGAGTCCCATCCCAGCCCAGCTCCTTTTCGGATTTTGTATTCCTCTAATGTGGAAGCGTTGTGGAAATGGCTTGTTCCACATTAGCGCCACCCACCACAAATCCTTCAAAAGTGGCATTCCCAATGGATTGTTTACATGATACAGCCTCAGTCAGTGCCCACCCAACTAACTAACCCACCACTACCAGTACCAGGTGCGATACTTGCTGCCGGCACATCAGTTGAAACCAGTCTTAAGGCACGGGCATTCAGATGACAAGGCACAAAGCACAACACGCTTCTGCAAGTAAAAGAACAGCCAAATCGTAGCTCGGTGGCCCTAGAGTACAATACAAATGGAGGATAGGGCTTATTGGAACTTGTGTGTGATCAAGGGCAGAAGGATTAGAGCCGCTTGAGAAACCAGAGGAAGTGACTTGCCCCTTGGACGTGAGCGAATGGAGGAGATAATGGATGAGACGAGTGTTTCTAAGGGGTACCGTATTATATAGTAGGGATGGGCTCAGAGACTCAGGGAACGAGTCAGTGTCCCTTGGGGGTGATATAGAGCAGGGAGGAGCTCTCCACATCCGATGCATCACTCCTTCCCGACCGATTCGGCGATGGCGGGCCTTGCCCCGCCCCCCTCTGCATCCCCTCCCACCTCGCCCCACCCTTCTCCCCCCCAGCCCCTCGTCTCCGGAACGACGCCGAAATCACATCAATGAACGACGACCCAGCACTCCGCTTCCCCGCTCCCCCTCCCCCCATCCCCGTCCCTCCCCCAGCAGCATCATCAAAAGCACCGTCATTCGCCAAGGCAGTATACCGGTCCCCGTTGCTGGTGCTGGTGATGCCACTGGCGGTGGAGCCGGGGGAGAGGAGGCGAGTGGAGGGGCCGTGGAGGGAGGAGAGGAGGTCTTCGTCGACCGTGTCCTCGAGGGCCTGCAGCACGTCGAGCATGGAGGGGCGCTGCGAGGGCGCCTGGTGCACACAGTCCCGTGCTATGGAGGCCAGCGAGATGAGCTCGTCCTGATTGAAGTAGCCTGGGGGGGTAGCGCATGGGGGGATGGGAGGATGGGGGCATGGGAGCATGGGAGGATGGGGGCATGGGAGCATGGGAGCATGGGAGCATGGGAGCATGGGAGCATAGGGGCATGAGAGCACAAGGGCACAAGGGCATGAGAGCATGGGAGCATGGGAGCATAGGAGCATAGGAGCATGGGAGCATGAGAGCACAAGGGCACAAGGGCATGAGAGCATGGGAGCATCCGGGCATGAGAGCATGGGAGCATAGGAGCATGAGGGCATGGAAGCATGAGGGCATGGAAGCATGGGGGCATAGGAGCATGGGAGCACACCTGCAAGAGCGCTGTCAGCCATGAGGGGCATCATCTGATCGTCCTCTAGGAAGGGCGCCGCCTGATGGCACGAGCGAGAGAGAGAGAGAAAGAGAGAGAGAGAGAGAGAGAGAGAGAGAGAGAGAGAGAGAGAGAGAGAGAGAGAGAGAGAGAGACAAGAGGGGTGGAGGGGAGGATGGGGGGAGAAAGCAGTACCACACGTTCCACATGCCACGCTAATCACACAACGGAGCATTCACCACAGTCAACCGCACTGAACCATGCAGTACTGTCTTCCCAAGTTGGCTGTATACACATCATGCACGACCGTGTGCCTCATATTACCAGCTCCACCAGCACCATTCCAAACCCATCCACATCCCACATACCCCAGCAGCACACCACCCAGCGCTCCCACCCCACCACACTCCACCACACTGAACCACGCTCCACCATCTTTCACCGCAGCATACCAGGTTGGTGATGTGCACGTCCTGCATGGCCTTCTGCCCCGTGATCAGCTCCAGCAGCACCACTCCGAACCCATACACATCCGCCTTCCTCTCGTCCATACTCGAAATCGTGTTCTCCCGCGATAGAATCGGTGTGCTCTCCCTCTCTCTCTCCCTCGCGAAGTGCGGCGTGCTTTCCCGCGACAGCACCGCCTGCTCCCCATCCGTGTCACTCCCACTCTCCCCCACACCCCCCCGCCTCCCACTCCCAAACGACCGTCCGCCCACGCCGCCCAGCAAGTCGCCACTGCTGCCACCGCTGCTGCCACCACTGCTGCCGCCTCGGAGGTTGTCCAGCTGCCCCGTGCTGCCGATGCTCGTGCCGCGGCTGCGTGAGCTGCGGTGCGCTCGGCGCCGCCTTGCCAGGTCGTCTGCTGCCTGCGCTGCACAGCCCCTCGCCAGCCCGTAGTCCGAGAGCTGTGGGAGAGAGGAGTAACGGGGGGTGGGAAGGGGTTGAGCGGCTGCGTGAGCTGCGGTGCGCTCGGCGCCGCCGTGCCAGGTCGTCCGCTGCCTGCGCCGCACAGCCCCTCGCCAGCCCGTAGTCCGAGAGCTGGTGTTGTGCGGGTGGGGAAGAGGAGGGACGATGGGCCGGGGCAGGGCAGGGCAGGGCAGGGTAGGGGAAGGCAGGGAAGAATTTGCGATTTCTGCTTGTGCCGTGGCTGAGCCCTGCCTGGCAGCCTCCTGGCAACGCCGTGCCAGGTCGTCCGCTCCGCTGCCTGCGCTGCACAGCACAGCCCCTGGGCAGCCCGTAGTCGGAGACCTGGTGTTGTGAGGGGCCCCTCGCCAGCCCCTGCGCTGCGCTGCACAGCACAGCCCCTGGGCGGCCCATAGTCGGAGAGCTGGTGTTGTGTGGGTGGGGAGGAAGGGTGAACGGGGGTGGGGAGGGGTTGGGGGTAGTGCCTTTGAATTCTCAAACATGCCTGCGCCGCACCGCACAGCCCCACTCCGGAGAGCAGTCCGACAGCTGCCCTTGTGCGGGTGGGTTGGAGCGGAGGGGCGAGCGGCGAGAGTGGTGACGGGCTAGGGGGGGGGGGAGCGTGCGCACACACACACCAAATGAAGCAACCTGAAACTGCGCCCGGTTGTTGAGTGAGAGCATTAACGCACCTTGGCGGTCATGTCGGCGCCGAGCAGCACATTGGAGGAGGTGACAGCGCGGTGGGTGAGAGGCGGGTCCACACCGTGATGCAGATAGGCCAGAGCAGACGCCACGTTCACTGCCACGCGCACGCGTGCATCCCATGGCATGGGATCGAGGTTTGACCCTGTGTGGCACGGGTTGTTGCGGGATGGGGAGAAGGGGTGTTGGGGTGACAGCGCAGTGGGTGAGAGGCGGGCACACGCCGTGGTGCAGATAGGCCAAAGCAGACGCCACGTTCACCGCCACGCGTACCCGTGCATCCCACGGCATGGGATCCAATTTGAAGCCAGTGCCATCGGTGTTGGGGGGAAAGGGCGCGGAGTGGGGATGGGGTGGAAGGGTGGGATTCACATCTTAGGCTTCACCGCCACACACACCAGCGCGTCCCACATGGAATGGGATTGGGAACCAGGTTGGATCCTATTAGAGTCGGACAGGGGCAGGTGTTGGGGACGGGGGCAGGGGGAGGGGGAGGGGTTTGGGTTGAGTATTCACAAGTTTAGGCAGTCATAGCCTGCATGTGTGCCCCCAGGCACGGAGCTTATTTGGATCCCAGGGCGTAGGGAGGGTGCGAACAACAGAGTTTAGAGTCCAGAGCGTAAATTGAATATTTGTACATGTGTGATTTGGGGTCGGGCTGACCCAGAAAAAATGGGCGAGCTCACGGTGAAGGCGGTCGAAGAGAGTGCCGTAGGGCATGTATTCAAAGACGAGCATGCGCTCTGTCTTGCCCATGCAGTACCCCAGCAGCGACTTTTGAGACGCCACAACAACAGAATAGGCGGACTTGGAAAGAATGGTTGGACTCACGGTGAAGGCGGTCAAAGAGCGTGCCATAGGGCATGTACTCAAACACGAGCATGCGCTCCGTCTTGCCCATGCAGTACCCCAGAAGCAAGCTTCGAGACGCCTCACTCGACACGAAATGGGTGCACTCGGAAAGGGAGTGTGGGCTCACGGTGCAGGCGGTCGAAGAGAGTGCCGTAGGGCATGTACTCAAAGACGAGCATGCGCTCCGTCTTGCCCATGCAGTACCCCAGCAGCGCCACCAGACACCGGTGCCTTGCCCTCGCCAGCTCATCCACCTTCTCCTTAAACTGCTCCTCGCTCATCTCTGCCGTGGCAGGCAATGGGAGCAGGAGGGGGAGGAAGGGGGGGAGGGGCGCAGTGGGATGGTGCATGTGAGAGGTGCCTCGCCCTCGCCAACTCGTCCACCTTCATTGAAATCACTTTTGAGAATTCTCCAAAGTGATTTCAATATGAGAGGTGCCTCGCCCTCGCCAACTCGTCCACCTTCTCCTTGAACTGCTCCTCGCTCATCTCTGCCTCGCACAGTGGGGGGGAGTGGGGAGAAAGGGTGAAAAGGGGGAAGAAAGGGTGGAAGGGGGTGGGATGGTGAATGTGAGATTCACCTCAGAACAGCGTTCTCCACCTTCTCCTTGAACGCTCCTCGCTCATCTCTGCCTCGCACAATGAGGGGGGGGGAGGGTGGGGAAGGGATGGTGGGGCCTGGAAGAAATTTCTCCTGAGCTGAGCCAGGCAGACTCAAGGCAGGCACAGCGTGTTGCCAAAGCGTGCTCTGATGGGAGCCTCCCATCGGCGGCACTCCCAGCAGCAGAGAGCCCCCCAACGGCACAGAACAACTCACTCTCCGGGTCGTGCGCTCGCTTGATGATGACGTGTGGGTATGAGTGGTCGGGCAGGAAGTCCTGGGCCAGGTACACGGTGCCTTACACTCAGCATGTTTTGACTCAACCCAAGCCACAGCAACTCACTCTCCGGGTCGTGGGCCCTCTTGATGATGACGTGTGGGTTGGAGTGGTCCGGCAGGAAGTCCTGGGCCAGGTACACGGTGCCAGGTGTCGCATGCACAGCATGCTCTGACTCAACCCAAAGCACACGGAAAAACTACTCACTCTCCGGGTCGTGCGCCCTCTTGATGATGACGTGCGGGTTGGCACGGTCAGGCAGGAAGTCCTGCGCCAGGTACACGGTGCCGAAGCTGCCCTTGCCGTACAGCGTGGTGAGGTTCTTGGTGGCGCGCTTTATCTTTGACAGGCCGTACTCCGTCACTGGCACTGGGACGGGGGAGGGGGCGGGTGGGGTGGGAGAGAAAGAAATTCGAGGGTGTTGGAATGCACATCAGAATACTACTTATGCAGCTTATGCATCAGGATCAAGTCTGTGTATGACTTGTCTGACGCTTGGTTGGCAGCATAGAGATCATATGCAAGCATTTGATTGTCAGGATTCGTTTGCGTGTGAGGAACGGAGAGGGGTGACTGCTACTGCAGTGTGCTTACACTCTTCAACGCGTGGGGGAGGCAGGGTGAGAGGCGGAGCAACATCAAGGGAGGAGGAGGAGGGGGGTCTGCGCTGGGTGATGTATCCAAAACACGCAGCCGCAATGGTGATGGCTGATGCGAGGGCGAGAGCAAGCAGGAGGAAGTTGAGCCACCCCCACCCCGCTGCTGCTGTCGCCGGTGCGTATGTGTTTGTGCTATCGGCGCTGCTGCCCTGATCCGCAGCAGCCATTGCTGCTACTGTGGCGTGGGGATGGGGCAGAGGGGATAGGGGGAGATGGGGCGGGCGGATAGGGGGAGATGGGGCGGGCGGATAGGGGGAGATGGGGCGGGGGGGATAGGGGGAGAGGCGTTAAGAGGAGATGAGGGAGGGACAGAGAAAATGGGGGAGGGGAAGCTGGAGAGGGGGGATTGGAAAGGGAAGAGGTGGAGGGCGAGGGGAGAGAGGGCAGGGGAAGGTACGCCCGTGAGAGTAAGGCAAGAAGTGAGGCAATGAGGTAGGAGGCATGGAGGCATGGAGGCACGGAGGAAAGAGGCAGAGAAGAAAAGAGCTTGAACCTCTCCATCTCCCATCCTTTCGTCTTTACATTGTCTCTCCGCCCCTTCTGTCCCCATGCCCCCGCTTCACCCACCTCCCTCTCCGCCGCCGCACCCACCTCCTTTCCTCGCCCTTCACCCACCTCCCTCCCTGGTCCCCCACCCAGCACAGCCAACCAACCCCACGCACCGCCATATGTGGCCTGGGGGGGAGCCTCCACCGGGGGAGGCTGGGCGGGAGGCGGCTCAACCGGTGGGGGTTCAACTGGAGGAGGTTGAACCGGAGGGGGCTGTTGCTGCTGCTGCACAGGTGACGGTGGGGGTGAGTGCGCCGCTGCCCCTGCACCTTTCTGTTTGTCGGTCTGTATGAGGGGGTCCACAGGCCAAGCGCCCTCCTCCAGTGATGGGGTCGAGTTCCAAATGTCCTCCCACCCCGTTCCGCTGCTGCTGCCACCGCTGCTGCTGCCGCCACTGCTGCTGCTGCTGCTGCCGCCAGTACTCCCAGTGCTGCCGGTGCTGCTGCCGGTGCTGCTGCCACTGTTGCGGCCGCCAGTGCCAGGCCATGCGCCCTCCTCCTGGGAAGGGGGTGCGTTCCAAATGCTGTCCCAAGCTGTACCGCTGCTACCAGTGTCCGCACTGCCACCACTGCTGCTACTAGTGCTGCCACCACCAGTGCTGAGACCGGTGGTGCCGCTGCTGCTACTGCCTTGAGAGCCGGTTGAAGGGGTGGGGGAGGCGGAGGAGGGGGAGGATGGGGAGTGGGACCCTGTGGGGCAAGGGGAGAGCTGCTGCGGCGCTCCTTCCAGGCAGTTTCCGCCGACTCGAAAGTCAATGGAGGAGGCAGGAGGGAGGGGTGGGACGGGGCCTGATAGGCGGTTGGACGACAGGTCCCTGCGGTGGCGTGGGTGGGTTTAGAAGGGTTAAAAAGGGTGAGTATAGGTGCAGAGGAGAGAGTTGAGGTGCGGAGGGAGGGGTGGGATGGGGCCTGACAGGCGGTTGGAGGACAGGTCCCTGCAGTGGCGTGAGTGGGTCCAGAGGGGTTGAAAGGGTGAGAATGGGTGGGAGTCAGTTGAGGTGCAGAGGGCAGGTGGGACGGGACCTGATAGGCGGTTGGACGACCGACCCCTGTAGAGTGGCGTGGGTGCAGGGAGATTGAAGGGGGTGGGGATGGGTGCAGCGGAGAGTATTGGGATGAAGAACGGTGAGAATGGGAAGCAGATGATGCTGTAAAGGAGAAAGAGGTACACGGGTTGGGAGAGCTAGCTATATGAGAAAAGGGCCCCTGATCAGTATACAACAACACATGCACCCCTTTCAGCACAACCACCCTCCTCACCACACGCACCGTTCCCAGCACGAACACCCCAGGCATGCTGGGGTGCTTGTGTTGAAAACCCTCCTCACCACACGCACCGTTCCCAGCACGAACACCCCAGGCAGAACCCAACTCGCCCCACTCCTCATCACAAGACTCACAGCGTGGTGATATTCGGCAGTGCAAGCAGGCACGCAGGGATGCCCCCCTCCAGATCATTACACCCCAGCATGACCACGCCCAAGAGGATTGAACCCAACTCGCCCCACACCTCATCACAAGACTCACAGCGTGGTGATATTTGGCAGTGCAAGCAGGCACGCGGGAATACCCCCTTCCAGGTCATTATGCCCCAGCATGATCACCCCCAGCGACCCCAACCCACACAGGTCCTCGGGAATCGCCCCTGAGAGCTGGTTGCTGTTGAGGTAGAGCGCTGTGAGCGCTGAGAGGGAGGCCAGGGAGGTGGCTACGGACACAAGACTCACAGCGTGGTGATGTTGGGCAGCGCGAGGAGGCACGCGGGAATACCCCCCTCCAGGTCATTATGTCCCAGCATGACCACTCCCAGCGACCCCAGCCCGCACAGGTCCTCGGGAATCGCCCCCGAGAGCTGGTTGCTGTTGAGGTAGAGCGCTGTGAGCGCGGCGAGGGTGGCTAGGGAGGGCGGCAGGGCGCCGTGCAGCGCGTTGTGGTCCAGGAAAAGCTCTCGGAGGTTGGGGAGGGATGCGAGGGTGGGTGGGATGGGGCCGGTGAAGCCACATGACTCGAGGGCACTGGGCAGGAGGTGGGTGGGAGGGTGGAAGGATAAGGGGGACGGGGGAAGGATAAGGGGGAGGGGGGAAGGTTAGGGGGGAGTAGGTGGGGTGGGAGGGTGGAGACACAGGGGAGAGGGGGTGGAAAGGGAGAGTGGAGAGACAAGGCACAGGGGGTGGGGCGGGAGGGTGGCGAGACAAGAGAGAGAGGGGTGGAGAGGGATGGTGAAGAGACAATGGAGAGGGGGTGCAACAGAATAATGAATGGGCACGGCAAAGGAAGAAGCGGGGGGGGGGGAAGGGGTCAAGGACGGTGCAATTCAAGGAGGTGAGGAGCAATGGGGCAATGGGGCAATGGGGCACCCTCCATGACCCCTCCCCCTCCCCCCCCCAGCACAATGGGTGTGAGAGGGGCAATGGGGAAGCAATGGAGGTGAGGAGCAATGGGGGTTGAGAGCTTGAAAGGGAACAATGAGTCCATGAGAGGGGCTCACATGGACTCGAGAGAAGGCATGGCGCCAAGGAAATCCGGGAGAGGGCCTGAGAGCTGCAGGTTGAAGCTGAGATCGCTGTAGGGGTGGTGGGACGGGGATCAGAATAGGGATGCGGATAGGGAGGAGATCTGGAATCAAGCATCGACTTGCTTCACGGCATGGTGGACGCGTGCAGTTGATGTGGAGGCGTGCCGATGAGTATCTGTAACTATGGGAATCGAAGGCTTTACTAGGAATTACAAATGCATGGTTTTGACTTGGCATGAGAGTGGAATCATACCATGTGCATGAGTGGCAGGGCATTGATGCATGGCCTGGCCTGAGATGCACGCCCTTCATTTCATCTCACACGCCCTTAAGCTCAATCTGGACTCACATGTACTTGAGGCTTTGCATGCCCCTGAAGGACTCCGGGATGGGCCCTTCTAGGTTGTTGGACACCACATAGCTGCACGCAGGGAGGGGAGGCAGGGCAGGCGGTGACACGGTTGCAAGGGAGGGAGCCATGTCAAACTTGACCACTGGCCTGAGCCCATCAGTGCATGCTGATTTAGGCATGCCCCTGAAGGACTCCGGGATGGGCACTTCCAGGTTGTTGGACACTACATAGCTGCACGCAGAGAGGGGAGGGGAGGCAGGCGGTGACACGGTTTCAAGGGAGAGTGGATGGAGAGATGCTTGGAGAGAGAGGTGAGAAGGGTGAAGGGGGTGAGAGGGGAGCAGGATGGCATGCGGGATTGAGAATGGCAAAGGAGTAATACCGCTTGCACTGCTGCGCCATCTTCACTCAAACGAGTCAAGTCAAGCAGCGAGTGGAGTGTGTGAGAGGCTGGAAGCCATGTCACAGGAAGCCATGTCACAGGGTTCCACCAGTGCGTGCTATGACGGGCAGGGCAGCCCCAGGACCCCGTGCGGTGCAGAGCGTTCAGGGATTCTCCGAATCGTTCCATGAGTGTGGTGGGAGCGTGGTGGGAGTGCTGTCAAAGTGCTGTCAGCGTGGTGTCAGAGTGGTGTTAGAGTGCTGCGGGAGTGTTGTGTGCGGGAAGAGGGCTCACAGGGCTTCAAGGCGCGGCAGCAATCCCAGCGATGCAGGCAGCGAGCCCGACAGTGCATTCTCGTCCAGTGACCTGATGTGATGCACACGGGGGGGGGGGGGTGGGTCGCAGGGGGGTGGGTCGCAGGGGGGTGGGTCGCAGGTGGCATAAGGGGGGAAGGGAATAACGAGTCAGCTCAAAGAATACCAGCGAGCCCGACAGTGCATTCTCGTCCAGTGACCTGATGCAGCCAGTAGGGGGACGAGGGGGGGGAATGGGGAAACGAGGGGGGTCGTTCGCAGGAAGGGCAGGGGATGTGAGTTTATGGTTGCCTTAAAATTCGGCAGCGAGCCTGATATGCTTTCGTGACCAGGGAGTTGGACAAAAGGTGGTTCGTTTTGCGACGTAAAAAGGAATGACTTGAGTCGATTCAGGAGTGGAACAAGAGAGTGAGTAAGCGAGTGAGTGAATGAGTGAGTGAACAGGTGAGCGAGTGAGTGAGCGAGTGAGTGAGCAAGCGAGTGAGCGAGTGAGCGAGCGAGTGAGTGAGTGAGTGAGCGAGCGAGTGAGCGAGTGAGTGAGCGAGTGAGGAGGGGTGCACTCTGAAGTGTGGGAGTTAGCTCCTAGCGCGACCAGAGACTGGCAGCGCGGTCAGTCAGAGACTTACAGCGCGACGAGAGACTGCACGTTGCCGAGCGAGTCGGGGATGGAGCCCGTGAAGCCATTCTTGAAGAGCTCTCTGCGGCAGGGAGAGGAGAAAGGGGTTGGGTGGGTGGGAGGAGTAGAGGGGAAGGGGGGGGAGTAAGGGGCATCTCAGAAGATGAGAGTCGGGGATGGAGCCCGTGAAGCCATTCTTGAAGAGCTCTCTGGCGCGAGGGGAGAGGAGTACGGGGTTGGGTGGGAGGCGAAGTAGAGGAGAGAGAGGCGGGGCGGGGAGGGAGTAAGGGGCAGGTCAGAACATGAGAGTCGGGGAGGGGATGGAGGAGCTCTCTCGAGTGGGGAGAAAGGAGGGTCGGGAGAACGAGGGTTTTGAGACGTCTCAAAACAGAACATGAGAGTCGGGGAGGGGATGGAGGAGCTCTCTGGAGCGGGGGAGAAAGGAGGGTCGGGAGAACGAGGGTGGGAACGAGGGCGAGTGGGGAGGGTGGAGTTAGTGGGGTTAATGGGTAGAGACAGGAGGGCGGGCAAGTGAGAGCAAGTAATGACAAGTGAGGGCAAGCGAAGGCACTGACAGGTCCATGAGTCGCGGCCAGGAGCCGAACCAGTCGGGAAGGGCGCCGTCCAGCTGGTTGCGCGACGCCTTGCTGCCATGGTGTGTGGTGGTGAGGGGTGATGGGGGGTGGTGGACACGGGTAGAGAGGTGGTGAGGGGTGATGGGAGAGGGGTGCGATGGCCCCACAAGGCCTAACCAGTCGGGAATGGTGCTGTCCAGCTGGTTGCGCGACGCCTTGCTGCCATGGGGTGTGGCGATGAAGTGTGATGGGGGGTGGTGGACACGGGTAGAGGGGTGGTGAGGGGTGATGGGAGAGGGTTCGGCTGCGATGGCCCCACCAGTCCGAACCAGTCGGGAATGGTGCCGTCCAACCGGTTGCGCGATGCCTTCTTGCTGCCATAGGGGTGGTGCGCGGCCAGGCCATGAGGTTTAATGGACGATGGTAGAGATGTGGGGCGGGGTGATGTGAGCGGGGCGATGGGGGAGGGGCGATGGGGGAGGGACGATGGTTGAGGAGTGATGGGGGAAGAGGTGATGGGGAGAGGGGATGGGGGAGGGGTGATGGGTGAGGAGCAATGGAGGAAGAGCAATGAATGAGGGGTGATAAGCGATGGAAGCAAAGGCTTGAAAAGCAGAGAGAGGTGTGAGCGAGGCAGACATAGGAACATAGGTCACTGAGCAGAAGGCAGCAGGGGGCAGCACGCAAGGGGGCAGCAGGGGCAGCAGGGGGGGCACTCGGAAGGGAGGCACATGGGGAGCACTTGATTGAAAGGGGGCGGCGAGGAGAGCAGGGAGAGCACTCACAAGTACACGATTTGCGAGAGGGCGGAGTAGGTTGCTGGAATCTTGCCTGTGAGCTGATTGGCTCCCACGTTGCTGGGGGCGCATGCATGTGCGGAAAGGGGAAGGGATGAGGGGATGAGGAGACGAGTGGATGAGGGGATTATAAGACAGCGATTCACTACTGGTGGGAAAGAGAGAGAGTGGCAGGGCGAACGCGACTCACAGAGCAACCAGGTTAGTGAGTGCCCCCAGCGACTCTGGCAGCTGGCCTGAAAAGTTGTTCATCTTCAGGTTGCTGCGGTGCGGACACAAGGGGGATGAGGGGGCCGTTCGGGGTGAGAGAAAGGGAGAGGGGTCATGAGGGGAAGTGGATGTATGGAATGGACCGGGTTTGGAAAGAGGCTCTTGACATGGATGGTTACAGGGCTAAGGGGACATGGGCGCATGGGACGGGCGCATGGGAGCATGGGCGCAGGGCAGGGGAGCATGGGCATGGGCATACGAGGATGGATTGATGGGGCTATGGATTCATACGGTCATGAGGGCAAAGAAACAAGGGACACGTGGTATGGTGCATGGGGAGTGGGGGAGTGGGGGCACTGAGTGGGGGCGGGCTCACAGCAGGGTGAGGGCGGTGAGGGAGAGCAGCACATCGCCTGGGATCGGCCCCTCCACTGCGTTGCCCTCCAGCGACCTGGTGGAGTGGGAAGGGAGAGGGCGGGGAGAGACGAGGGTGAGGGACGCGAGAGGCGTGGATGCGGGAGAGCAGAGCAGCACAGCAGCACAGCAGCACAGCAGCAGAGCAGCACAGCAGCACAGCAGCACAGCAGCACAGCAGCACAGCAGCACAGCAGCACAGCAGCACAGCAGCACAGCAGCACAGCAGCACAGCAGCACAGCAGCAGAGCAGCAGAGCAGCACAGCAGCACAGCAGCACAGCAGCACAGCAGCACAGCAGCACAGCAGCACAGCAGCACAGCAGCACAGCAGCACAGCAGCACAGCAGCACAGCAGCACAGCAGCACAGCAGCACAGCAGCACAGCAGCAGAGCAGCAGAGCAGCACAGCAGCAGAGCAGCACAGCAGCACAGCAGCACAGCAGCACAGCAGCACAGCAGCACAGCAGCACAGCAGCACAGCAGCACAGCAGCACAGCAGCACAGCAGCACAGCAGCACAGCAGCACAGCAGCACAGCAGCAGAGCAGCAGAGCAGCAGAGCAGCAGAGCAGCACAGCAGCACAGCAGCACAGCAGCACAGCAGCACAGCAGCACAGCAGCACAGCAGCACAGCAGCACAGCAGCACAGCAGCACAGCAGCACAGCAGCACAGCAGCACAGCAGCACAGCAGCACAGCAGCACAGCAGCACAGCAGCAGAGCAGCAGAGCAGCACAGCAGCACAGCAGCACAGCAGCACAGCAGCACAGCAGCAGAGCAGCAGAGCAGCACAGCAGCACAGCAGCACAGCAGCAGAGCAGCACAGCAGCACAGCAGCACAGCAGCACAGCAGCACAGCAGCACAGCAGCACAGCAGCACAGCAGCACAGCAGCACAGCAGCACAGCAGCACAGCAGCACAGCAGCACAGCAGCACAGCAGCACAGCAGCAGGGTGAGGGTGGTGAGGGAGAGCAGCACGTCGCCTGGAATGGGGCCCTCCACTGGCGTTTCCTTCACTGGTGGGTGGGAAGGGAGAGGGAGCCGAGGGTGAGGGAGGCGACAGGCGTGGATGGATGGGGAAGGAGGATCATGGGAGGGCGGTGTGGAGTAACGCCTTATCCCGCTGCTGGCGTGAGCGAGATTGCTCGAGGGCGTGCGGGGTGAGTGGTGAGGGGCGTGCGGGGTGAGTGGTGAGGGGCGTGCGAGGTGCTCCGGAGCGTACAAGTGCCTGGCACTAAGAACATCTCTACGTTGAGGGGCGTGCCAGCAGACCTCTCCAGGCGTAAGACTCGGCGCTTACAGGTGCTTCAGGGCTGACAGCCTGGAGAGGTCTGCTGGCAGAGAGCTTGAGAATCTGTTGCCATCCAACGCCCTGTGTTAGAGAGAGGAGGGGAGGGGGAGAGAGGGGGAGTGAGGGGGTAGAGGGGGAGTGAGGGGGGTAGAGGGGGAGAGAGGGGGAGATGGGGGAAGAGGCGAGTGAAGAGGGGAGATGGAGCTGCGAAGCACCTTGATCATTTGTGAGTTCGTCGGATTGAGAAGCGAAGACAGGGTCACATAAACCAGACACAACCAGGCCAGCTGCCGCGCCTGGGATGGGACAGCTCGTAGCATTGCACGCCTACTGTGCTGTGCTGTGCTGTGCTGTGCTGTGCTGTGCGCTTGCCTGCCGGTTCCAAGCACTCGAGAGAGCTAGGGCAGGGCACTGACAGGTAGGTGAGGTACGAGAGCTGGGCGAGGTCCGCGCCTGGGATGGGCCCCGATAGCTGCAAGCTGGATATGTCGCTGGGGAGGGGGAAGGCAACGGGGAAGGGGAATGCAACGGGGAAGGGAAGAGGAAAGGTGGGAAAGGAAGGGGGGAAGGGAGGGCGGACGGAAGGAGGAAAGAAGGGGGGACAGGGTGGTTTCGTTGGGTTTAGGGAGGCATCCACGTGTGAGTTACAGAGTTGTGACACGTGTCAGTGATACCCCTGAGATTGGACCGGATTGGACCCCATAGATATCAAATCCCCGTCTAAGACGGGGTTGAATGTGTGGCTGCGTGGAGGAAGGCGGAACGAGATATCATATCATATCCCCGTCTAAGATGATGCGCGCGAGTCTGGGGGCTGAAACTGAAGGATGCGAGCCAGATACGTCGCTGGGTGAAACGACGGGAAAGGAGGAGCGGGAAAGAGATGCAAGCTAGCAGATACCAGGCGATTCTCCAGGTAGCTATTATCCGGTAGCTGCCTGGGGGGGGGAGGGGGAAGGGCACTTACAGATGGACGACTTGGTTGGTGTCCGGGTCGCATCTCACGTCCGCTTCCCATCCGCCGTCGCACGGACTCGTCCCGTCGGTCCACGACGGCAGTGCGGACCCCTGCGACAGCTGAAGCGTCGCGCGCACGCGGAGAAGAGCTTCCGCTGATGGAACGGACGGAGGGGGGGGGGCCAAGCGCGCGGGGAGGACACGGGGAATGCGCGCGGGAAATGGACGCGGGGAATGCACGCGGAGAATGGGCGTGGGGAGTGCACGCGGAAATGGACGCGGGGAGAGCACGCGGAAAGTGGGCGCGGGGGCAACGGAGAGTTGTACGCAGTAAGAAAATGATGGGAGCGAGAAGACGGCTTTGGGAAAACGACTATGGGGAAGACTTCAGAGAAGGGTACACAGCACAGAAGAGCCTTGTCGAATTCGACTCAACAAGTCAAGAAAGGGTTCCCGACAGAAGCGGCAGAAGTGGCTCAGTTGCGTCAAAAGAGGCCCAGCAACGGATGTGACGGAGGAAAATAGGAGGATGGGGGGAAGGGGGGAGGAGGGGAAGTGGGGAGGGAGAGGAGGGGAAGAGGGGGGGAGAGATTGGGGGGAAAGAGGGGAGGAGGTGGGAAACGAAGGGGAAAGCGAAAGAAGCGAAGAAAAGGGGTCATGGTCGTCAGAGGGTTCCCATTGCGTGGTTACCATCAGGTGAAGGGGCGGCAGAAGCAGGCGAGGAGGCGAGGGGTGTCGCAAGCGTGCAGAGTAGCAGGCACGCGGCCGCGAAAGCCGGAGAACGCGGGAAGCTTAACGAGACACTGGGAGACCGTGTACCGACGCGACGCTTCGGAACTGCCGGACGCCATTTACCCGTCATGACGAGAAGCTTAGTCCGTAACGACGGTTGAGAGCAAGCTGGATCTATGAATTGGAAGAGGTCCGTGCGACTAGTACCTACAATGATACCGTCACACACGTGGCGTTACGAGCCTACGAATCTGCCGTCATCTATAGACACCAGACAGCGCAAATCACGGACTAAGCGGTGTCATCGACCTTCGCGACCGTGACGTGGGAAACTCTCTTCCGACAAGTGCGGCGGAGTGAGAGACGCCACAGCAATGTGAGCAAGAAGGGAGACGTGAGAGAAGGAGGGGCGCAAGCATGCCCCCGCCAGGCTGTTTGCCAGCTAGGTTCAGCAGCAGCAGCGCATCTCCTTTTCCCCTGAGATTTCCGTACTGATGGGAAACGCTGAAAGAAAGATTTTTGTTTCGCAAGCTTTCGGGAATTGCGAGAGAATGGCAAAACCCAGTAGAATCCGATTCGCGAAAACCTCACAGAAGTTACCTTTGTCTGGCGAATTTTACGGCGCCAATCGTAATGATTGCCCAATGTCGCACTTGACCGACATGAACGCGGACATGCGTGCACTGTGGGTCCAGGTCAGGTCAGGTCAGGTGTTTCGGATTCACGCAAAAAAGTTTCCCTGAACAGAAAATATCCACCTTTAGCGCAGATGCCGGACAGCGTGTAAGCATTCGTTCGTGACAGAGCTACTGGCCTCAAGCTTGTTCAAGGCACTATTTGGGTACTCATGTCCTAAAGTATCTGTACTACGTAGTTGACTCATTGCACAAACCGTCAGCTAAAAACCCGACTAAAATAACAAGGCTGATCCTTGTCCACCACTTCATTCCAGAAACCAGGAACTAAGTTGTGTTGGGACCGGCTAGAATGTATGTTAGTGGAGTGGAGGCGATGCAACACTGGATGTAGGCAGGGCGAGGGAGAGCAAGCTATCAAGTGGAGACTCAGGCCTTGAAGAAAACTTCTTTGATGCACTACGTGCTCTCCTGTTGGAACGAAGGTCGTTTGTGAGTCTGAGCGGACTGGCAGATGCTTCAGCCGGTGCGAAGAAATCCAAGACGAAGGAAAGGAGGCCAAAAGCAGCACATCCTTGCAACATTGCCATTGGTGGACCTGCAGCAGCCGAACCAGAAGTTATTACAGTGGATACGAAACAGAAAAGGAGGAACAATAACGTCAAGAGAATCTCAGAAGAAGAGACACAGAAGGCAAGGCAGGATGGCAGGACGATGTAAGAAATCTCAGTAACAGCGACACGGGGAGCAGGCTTCACTAGGATATTCTCGAAATTCACCTGGGACACTCGCTGCCAGTCCAGCTGCACATCCAGCAAGCCCTGGCTTTGCACCTGGTACAGGCAGGCAGGAACATTGGGATATTGACATGGAAGGAAACAACTGAGATAAGGACAACGACTGATCACCGAGTGGAGGAGTGTCAGGAGGGGAGAAGGGGAATGTGAACACAAAAACGCAGGGCTTCGAGTAGAAGTAGTGCGATTGAGTAAGGCATGTGTTGTACGTAGAGCGTCAGCAAGGCACTCACTGTCAAGAAGATCATTCCTCAGGTAATCAATAGCTGCTGTCGTGGCAGCATAGACAGCTGACATGATAGCCACAGTCTGGGAACAAGATTTACATGAGAGGGTGGAGAAACAAGGTCAGTTGCATTTTGCAAACTCCGGCTGGTACACGACATAAATTGTTGGCTCGCACGCATCAACGGATCACACACAGGAGAATTTCGCAAACATCATTCTCGCATACAGCATGGCTCACACATGGGCAAATATTTCCTGACTGGTTCACATTCACTTGTGGAATTACAACTACATCTGAACGGCACTTGTAGGTTGGGGATTGCAAGCAAGGCTACATCAGCCTCAGGGGCTCCCATACCACAAGGTTCAGAACCCCCTTACAGTCAGCATACACTTGAACCTTTACTTGAGAGCCATTCGTTGAAAGGGCGAATCAAGGCACAACAGAGCCAAGACCACGTACCAGGACAGCATGGGAATCATCCGGTTTCCCTCACCTTGAGGCCGAAAGCAGACTCGCGCATGGCTACCTTGGTGCCCTCGCGCGCCACGAAGCCCAGCCCTGCATGGGCGAGGAGACGGCGGACAATGAAGGGGCGATGAGGGAAAATGAGGGGGGCATTGAAGTGGAAATGAGGCGAACTGTAAAGGGGACTATGAGGAAAAATGAAGGGGACAATGAGAGAGAGCGAGGGGGACAATGAGGGAGAACGAGTGGGACAGTGAAGCCTTATGACCCGCAGGAGGTGGCAGGACGCAAAGGAGACAGAATACACCAGGGCCTGGAGACACTAAACAAGAATCGCTTATTTTGAGATTGGAGATAAACGAGCAGCGCATCTCAGCCCAAAATGAGACAGGCGGAACTTGCGAGAGGCCGACAGGAGGACAACTTACCATAAGTGAGCTTGCTAAGGCTTCGCAGACGTAACCAGCCACTTATCGCGTTGACCACTAGGTATTAAGCATTACTTACTCAAAACTAATCGACTTACCAAAGCCTAGAGCACCGCCGAGCACAGCACCGCCAGTGGCGGCCGCAGTAATGCGGACAACAGCCGCTTTGATCGCCGCTGTGGGAGAAACCGGCGGCAAATCGTCGACGAGAGACTCTGGCGCGGGAGGAAGCGACGACGCCATCACGTGGTATTCTATTGGATCGTGGCGATTGAACGCGAACAAGGTGAGCTGGTCAGGAATATGTCAGAAAGGAAATCCTGAGGTGGCGGAGCAGAGGGTTTCAAAAAGGGGAAAGGATGGGGGGGGAATGGCGGAGAGCACAACCGACATACTAGAGGGGTTTTTTTTGTTCCCGACATTAGCATCGTTTACATACCCCTTTTCATGACTTGCAATTAATCCAGGATTAACGTTGCCCGTGCATTAATAATATGTCCATATTAAAAACATATGCTGCAACATATCAAAACTAACCAACATAACGCTCCTGCCCTGATGCCACTTTTGCAAAATCAGCAGTACGTGGATTATGTTATGTTTATAAAACTTAATCACAGATATCCATCAGAAAATTAAGCTTTTTATGGCCACAATTTTTTACGAGTGCACAAAGTGTGGGAAAGATTATTGAGCTATACTTATAATATAAGCTTCCGTCATAAAATGACTGGCTAACTGGACTTTGTTGGGAACGGCTGTTACAATGCGTTGAAGGTTCGCTCGTTAGTCGCAGAGTTCGGTTTGACTCCTGCCGACCTTCTACGCCTTCGCCAATGATTTCATCGCCGCGAATTGCGCTTTCTCATCCTTGGCCTCGGTCCCCAGCTCGACTCCACACAATAATGCATTTGCGAAAGTCGTCCTGGGACGATTGAAGGTGTCGCAAAGCTCCACCACGGAAACATTGCGACACACTGATGCAGAGAGGATACTTGGAGCTCGGAAAGTCTCTTGATTTTGTCAAACGTCGCAGCATGACAGATTCTCGCCCTTGGTCACTTCCTCTCCCTGATGGCACCACGTTCTCGCCTTCAGCCAGGACTGATGTCAAGCAATGGCTGACTGAATGTTTGCAACGCGTTTCTGATAGAAACGGCATTTCTCAAACCAGAATCTGCAACTTCTAGACTTGTCTCGCGATGCACGTCGGATGTTCCTAGTATTGAAGAAAATGTTTGCTATATGAGGTCTCGCCTTTCCTGTCGGCCTGCGAGACAACTTACTTATGTCTTCTTAATCAGCAGGGAGTGACAGATACTATTTTTACGGCTTATACCAAGATAATTCAAGATACGGCTTATACCAGCTTATTTGACCGATCAAGCTCGAGAGTACAAATGCCACGTTCATTTTTGTAACTTAATCTACTCAACGGGTCATCAACTTCATATACCGGACCCGACATTTTATCAAGATGCAAGGAATCTGGTCCATTCTCGGTATAGCCGCCGCTGAAAGGCCTGTGGATAAGGTCGTGCCGGATGAATGGCACCACAACTATCACTTCAGGTCAGCGACGCTTTTTTCTAACCTGCCTGACACCCTGCAGATCAGCTGGTCATCACAAACACTGAGTCACATATGGATTGTTTATCAGAATGTGGACCATTTCGTTGTCGCTCGGATGGTTTCATTTTTTTCAGCATGCATTGACAACGGGCAATCAAGCTTTCCGTTTTCATCTCCTCTACGAGTTCCATTGGTTCAGCCTTCTGGACATCTGTTATGAATATATTTATCGCTGAAAACCCTGTGATTACCACTTCCCATCAGGGATGATGACGAAAACGAAGCTGAGTTAAAGCGTCTGCTCTGGGTGTACCTTGCAAGAAAGGAACAGGTTTGTTTGCGTAATCATATTATTGGTTACTTCGCCAGTTTCTTTTTCGTGTGTGGGCTGAACAGTCTAAAGTGCAGGTTTTTTATTACGCAATGGAAGAACGTTTACCTTAACCTGGCAACCATGTTTATTGAGCAGTTTTTATAAAGTCGCGCGAGAATTCTGACACTAGATGTGTTATTTCTTGAATTTTAATGTCGCATGTCCTGCGATGGCTCCACACAGGACCCGACACGTTCTGCAGCCAGGAAATTGATTGACTTATTCGTGGAAACCTATGACGATTGGACACCTCCAAGCTCTTCGTCTCCAACAGAACCACATGAAGGTTTCGAAAACAAGGAGGACGTTTCATCTCGCGAGGCTCATCCCTTGGAGATGATTCGATGCGTTGTCAGAGAGCTGGTGTGGCTCTCTGATCTCGCCCAAAGTGAGCCTCTTTCGTCATATTGACCTTAGTTCTGCATCACCTACATACATACTAATTTCACGTGTGCATTCAGGCCTCCTTGTGCCCGTAATCAGTTACGAAGCTGCAATTACAGTACTTCGCACTTAAATCTGTGCCATATTTTCCTTCATAACTGGCATGACCTGTCAGCTGCATCAACCAGGCGGAAGGATGAAATTGCTAAAGAAAGTCCTGCCGTTGTTGGAAGTGGGTCTGAGATCGAAGACGAACGACCAGACGAAGGCATTGAATTGTTTCTGCCAAAGCGGGACCTCGAGCATGCCATCAATGTCCTTCAGGCTGCAGCTATTATCACTGAAAGTGCTGAGAACCGCAAGCGCTTTGTTTTTTTCCGTGGAATCGTCACTTCCTTGGATGTGCTGAAAGGTGAGCTGCAGAGTGACTTCGTTAACCCTGAATACACAAACAACCGCAAATTCATGTCCACTTCTGCTCAGTTTCAACCTTTGAAATGAGAGCATGTTTCGTCTGCTAATTTTGCTCTTCTATTCCACGTTCTGCAGGCATCACCATGGATATCGATGCCCACAACGCATCAACGAGAACTCGAGCTAGCAAAACACCACCTTATTCCGAGCCAGTGCTTGAACATGGACCCCGAAAAGCTGGTGCTCTGGGCACAGAGGATACGGATGATGGTGATTGGAAGAGTGACGGAGGCCACAGCAGCGAGGTAGCTCCAACACCAAAGTCGCAAGCGCTGCAGTTCCTTCTCTCCGCCTCGCAGCTCATCTTGCAAGTCGTTATCAATTTTCTGAAGCCTGCCATTCAGCGCAAAGGACATCTGGTTCCCAAGGTTGTTATTAGTACGGGAGGAAGCAAGAGGTCTGAGATGCTCAAGAAAACCAAGCATGGAGAAACGAGTTCTGGCGGTGGCCCTGATGGCCCAAAAGAAGGGTTCTCAAAAAGGGAAGACTCTGGCCAGAAGCCAGAGATGGCATTGGGGACGGAAGTGTTTGAGGCGTTTTCTGTGACTCACGAGATGCTTGCGCCAAAAGGAAAGGTGGTGAACGAGGAAAAACGGATGGCAGAGTTCAGAAAGCTCCTAACCAGTGTGCAAGACAAATGCCATTCTGTGCTCCTAGGTGAGTCTTTGAGGAGGTTCAGATTGCATGCATTGCATTCTTATGGTGGCTAACATATGATACATTTCGCAGTGCCTTTTTCCATCAAACATCCTTTTTGTTTACCCGTCTTCCAAGTTCTTACTCTATGTCATTTTCTCCCACTTTCTCCTGCTCTTATTCGCTGGCCCCTTCCAGCCTTCATCCCTTCGGTCCGCTACCTTCAGCAGACAGAGACGTCCCTGTCAGACCAAGCACAGGACGCACTGCTGCAGGGAGTGGAGGCGGTATGGGCGGTGGTCACTGCGCTCCCTCAGTCTTGCTCTGCCTTCATCGCCCATGAAGGGTTGCAGGTCACTCTTGGGCTGCTTACCTGGCCTTCGTGGCTCCTGCCCTTGATCCCGTGAGTCCGCGTCCACTATTGTGCCACTGAGTTCTGCTTTGCCGCAGTGGACCATCTGCTTTTCACTCCGTTAACCATTGCCATTGAAATGAACTGTCTTTTGTTCTGTTGTGACTGACCATGATCTTTGTGATGGGCAGTTGCATGGACCGCACCATGCTTGCAAGCAAGTTGCTGAAGGAGTACAGCCTGCAGTTCTTGGCTCTTTCGATTATCAAAGAATCTGTGTAAGTCAGCATGTGAACTCATTCCTCCCATTCCATTTTTGTCCATCTCGCTCTGACATGTGCTTTGCACTGTTCGATACCTACTCCATGTGCTCTGCTAGATTTGCCAAGAACGAGATATTGTGTTTTCTGTTATTTTAATTTGCCCTGTCAAATTCGGCTTCACTTCTCAGCGTCCGCCTCATTCACTCTTTCTGTCGTCCTCCAGATTCGGCAATGTTCCAGCAGCCCGAGCCTTGCACTCTCTCAATGCTGTGCCACACATCGCTCAGTTCATCCGGTGGACTTCCTTGGTCTTCGCAAAATCCGGTTCCCTCGAGTCCACCTCTCCCAGCAATGTCGCCTCCAAACCAAGCAGTGCTGTCGATGCTGCATTCCCCTCTCACCCCGCTGAGCGCGGCGACCCATTTACAGACATGACAAACTCTGAACAGACTGGCATGGGGATGGGTATGGATGCTCTCTCTGCAGCCATGAACGAGCACCTGAATATTGGCGGAGAGCTGGCAGCGTGGAACTTGAGGGCGGCTGCAGCTTGCAACTTAATAATGTCGTTTTTGTGGGATGGGAACGAGTGGGTGCTTGCTCCTGTTCTCTCGGAGTCTCAAACAATTGGATCTCGCCGTAGGGGTGCAGCAGCGGCAGGAGGCGTGGTTCTAGGAGAGGTTGGAAAGCTGGATGCAAAGAGGGCATATGGAGAGGAGATCATGGCAGATGTCATTTCTGTGTTTCTGCACGCCTTCCACCCAGTGAAAGTGGGAGACACTGACTGGCTGGACGATGCAGCAATACTGATGTTCCAGAATTCCTCGACTGAGCTTCAGCGCTATGTCGTGCGTGTCCTGCGCTTCCTTCTGGGGTCACATGCCAACGCGCTTAGCCACTTCCACACCGCCAACGTCGCGCCTGCTCTCTTCTCCCGCCCTTTCTTCTTCTTCGACTCCGTTCTTCTCTCGGAAAAAAACACAGCTTGCACAACAAGTGGGGCTGCTGCTGCAGGAGATAGTAAAGCAAGTGGCGCAAATGTGGGGGGAGCAGCAGGTGAAGGCGCTGGAACGCCTCCTCTCTCCATCCCCATTCCATCTCCAGGACCCATTCTCCGCAATTCCTCTGGTCTCAGAAATGAGTTCGGCTCTCCCAGCATTACAACCCCACACAACCCAGCTGCATGGCTGAACCCTCCCAAGCTGTCCACTGCTTCACCTCAAGTCCATGCATGGACCCCTTCCTCCATTGCTGCTGCACGAGGCAGTCCTGCTCTTTCCACCCCAAAACTCCAGGGTTTAGGCAGTCAGGAGGAAAGTACAGGTTGGCGAGATTGGCAGAACGCGCAGTCATCAAGGGCACAAGCTGGGGGGGTGACACTGGTGAAGAGCACGGGGTCGGGGGAAAGCCACTTGGTCACGCTGCAACCTTCAGGCGCTGGCAAAAGAGAATCCAAAGATTTGGATGCAGACGAGGAGTATGTTGCTCTTTCCATTGATCGCAACGCTGAGGATCTCAGGAGCAGCATTGTCGCACTCGTTGAGCTCTCTGCCTCCCTGGACTGGCAAGAGGACCTCCAGCAAGAATTCCATGCTGTCCTTCATGCCCTGCGCAGCTGCTACCGAGTACCATCCGAATCCCAGCTGCTGGCTCATGCCCTGCAGCGCATGCTCCAGGGTGGAGACCGAATCGTGCCCTGCCTTCTCTCCACCGAATGCGGCGACCACATCGGGGAGGTCATTGAACGGCAGCAGGCTGTTTACCTCCGCATGGATGCTCAAGGCTTCGTTCTTGATTCCATGCATGCAGCTTCGAAAGTGGCTGACGGTGTCGCTGATGCTGCTGACACTGCTGGTGGTGTAACTGCAGTAGGTAGAACTGAGTCAGTGACCCCTCAGTCAGCTCGTCTGGTTCTTGACGTGGAAACGCTCAGGGAAGAGTGGCAGCAGGCGAGGGAGGTGGTGCTGAAGCTGCTGGAGTCGTACCTGGAGTGCTCGCCCTCTCTGCTGGCTCAGGCTGCCACCAGCCCACAGACGTTTATGCCCTTGCTATGGCTACTGCGGGAGAAAAGTTTGCGAACCTTGGCTCTTCAGCTCCTTTCCTCGCTCATGAATGTGAGTCGAGCGTACGGATGCAATTGAAGCCTGGATTGTGATTTTGTAGTCTTTTTCTGCAGAGTTTATGTACGTGAATGTGGCTTGTGCTTGTGTATGTAGCAGCAGCCCCAACGCATGCTTCAATGTTCCTTACTGCTTTCGTAACCCCTGCACAGGCCCCGGTGTCTGACCCATCGGTCAAGTCAACTCTGTTCAAGCGGTACTTTGAGGCCATGACTGTGGCACGCAGTGGCAAGAAACTAGGGGGCGCGGGTGGAGGAGGAGGAGACGGGCGTGGTGTGGGGAGAGGTGGAGCTGCGGCTGGTGGCACAGGGCTCAGTGCGGCAGACGCAGCGGAACAGCTACAGGCGATGCTGGCAGTGGTGCAGGAGGTGGTGAAGGAGGATGAGAGCTCAGTGAACCAGAACCTCTGTGTGAACGTGGACGCCTTTCCTCGCCTCATTGGTCTGTTACGGGTGCAGTACGAGGAGGAAGCTGGCCGCTCTCTTGCCATAATGATCCTGCGCACTCTCACCCTCCTGTCCGTGTGCAATGAAGCTGCCAAGGTAAGGGTTTGATCAATGCGTTAAATCTGCACTTATGCAGCATTTTTTCCTTTGTGAACCTTTGTATTCATCTCTGTGATGCTGGTCCAGTAATTCCCTTCTGTACTTCGTGCTCGAAATTCTCGTCCTGCTTCCTTCAACCCTCTGCTTTCTCCTTCGCTCATTCTCCTTCTGCGTTTTGTCCCTGTCGTGCCACTCTTCGCCTCTCCACAGGCTGTGCTGGTCAAGCATGCTGGCCCAGGCTTTCGTTCCTTTGCGCTGTACCTGCCCTCTCATTTCGATGGAGCCTGCCCGCCAGTGCTGCTGAGTGCGGTCATGGATATGGCCATGGACTGCCTAGCTGGGGACCAACCCCAGGGCAGCATCCACTCTCCCAATGCCGTCATCCTCTGGCTCCACTTGCTGCACAAGGTGCGCCTGGTTCAAGCGCGGCATCATTTAGCTTCCCCGATTCTTAATTGCTATGTCACAGGCGTTAGTCCCATAGCTCCTATGTGAACCACATAGTCTCAGTCCCAGTCCAGACTCATAGCCTCTCTGCATCGCCTCGCCTCCCCAGGTCTCTGTTTCTGCCATTCGTTCCTGGTCTTTACTTTGAAGCCCTTTGTGACATCATGCACCCCCCTCCCTCCACTGATCCCTGCACTCCTCAGGCCGACCCTCAACAGATAGTGTCTGGTCTCCAGTCATTGCACAACCTGCTTGACCGCTCTGCTGGCAACTGTGCTGCCTGCTCCCGTGCTGGCCTCATGTTTGACCTCCTGGAGTGGCTGGGAGAGCTGGAAGGGGAGCATCTGGACGGCACTGAACCCAAGGAAGGCGTCCAAATCTGGGGAAAGGGAAGGGAGAGTTATAGGAAGCGCGTGGATGAGACAGGGGAGCGTGGGTTGGAGAAAACGGATATGGTTAGAACTGAAGGTGATAACAATGAGGGGGAAAGCAGAGGGCAGAAGGTGAAGTTGACCCGAGAGAATGTGGAGGCGATACTTGCGCTGCTGTCGAAGCTGATAGCAAAGCTGGGGCAGCACAGCATCAACGGTAAGGAGATTGCTGCGATATTCAAGCTGATGAGGAGCACCGCCGATGGATGCCGACCCAAGAGGGTGTCGTTGCTGCTTCGCACACTCGTGGGCGTGCTAAGGCATGATGGCCCGGCTTCTTACTTCGAGATGGACGGGTCTGAATCGGTGAGTTAAAGAACCCGGCTATCACCGATGATGCCTGTTTCTTATCTTATCGCAGCATTTTTTCTTATTTCCTCCCTTGAATCTTCCCTTCACCCTCCACCCCCTCCACCCCCCCCCCCTCCTCCAACTCATCCCTTTCCCTTTCTAATCCGCCTCCTCCCATGATTTACCCCAGGGTCTTGAGATCCCCACTGACTTCCGCTTCCCCTGCACTAAGGGCTACACCTTTTGCTGCTGGGTACGCTGTGAATACTTTCCAAGCTACGATGCAGCCAGCATCGCCAGCAGTGGCGGTGACAACAACATCAGCACGGCGCGGGGCAGCAGCCTCAGAAAGAAGGGGCCGGAAATTAGCTCAGAACCCAAGGAGCCAAGCATGAGATCGATCACACGCAGGGGACATTGGCTGGGCGAGTCCTTGAGTGTTAGTGTCCGAGACGACAGCCCCATGACACTCTTCAGCTTCTACACGGACCAAGGCAACGGCTGCAGTGGCTTCCTCACCAAGGATTCCCTCCTTATCCATGTGAGGCTCATGCCACCTTCCAACATCCGTTGATGCATATATACATGTATGCATCCATTTGAGTATCTTCCAGCCAATGACCTGGCCCTGTGTTACACAGTTGATTGCTGGTAAAATCTTGACTGCCACGTTGCCTGCAATTCATTGTTCTCCTCATCTGCCGCTCGTATTGCTCCTCTCTTTCAATGGCAGGTGGCTGGATCACGGGACGTGATAGTGGAGGTGCCTCACAGCATGGCCCTGCGCCACTGGCATCACATCGCCATCTCCCACTCCACCGCAACCTTCTCCTCCGCTAGCATGATCCGAGTCTACATAGACGGCGTTCTGGTAGGCAAGGCCAAGTGCAGCTATCCGCGCCTGCAGGACCCTCTGATTCGCGCTACCATAGGAGCTTCTGCTCCTCTGCCCCAGTCGGATTCTCGCTCCTCTAGATTGTTCCAGACCTCGCATCCTTTTCAGGGTCAGATTGGCCCCATCTACCTTTTCAGCGAACGTCTCTCTTCTCCTCAGCTCTCTTGCATCCACAAGCTAGGCCCTGGCTACAATCACACGTTCCAGCCCACGGATGTAGCCCTCCTGCGTACCCAGGTAGACAATGCAATTCTCGCTCTTTTCGACGGACCCGACTCGCTCAGCTCCCGTATCGCTCTAAGCTATAACGCACAAGCATATGCCGCCGGTCTGGTTCTTGACACCTCCCCTGCCTGGCTGCTGTCCCAGCAGCAGGCTGCTAACAGCGCTGCCGCCGCAGCTGCTTTGGCCCGTGCGAGTGTCTCCCCTGTGCGTGTGTTTGACGCGGCAATGCTTCCAGGAGTGCAGCGGTGCCATCGGCAGCGGCTGCAGCAGGTGTTGAGCACAGTGGGCGGCGTTTCGGCCCTCTTGCCTCTCTTCACGCAGTTAGATCTGCCAGTTGTGGGAAGCGATAGCAGCATGGGGGAGGGAAGGGTGGTCGAAGGGGATGGGCAGTTGGCAGTGGATATTATCAACCTGCTTACAGAAATCCTGGCTGGGAGCACGGGCAGTCAGCAGGCGATGCTGTCTATTGGAGGTTTTTCTGTTATCAACTTCTTGTTGCAGCATGTCTCACCCACACACCTGACAGCTAGTCTCGTGCTCACGCTGGAGAACATGGTGGACTCATTCGCCGAAGAAAATGGTAGGTTGATGCAATGCAGCTGCAGAATTCTTGTACACGTTTCCCTTTCTACCTGCTTACGGGCCCACCTGTCCTGGTACCTCCATAACTCATCCTTCCATTCTGCCTCTCTCCCCCCCCAACTGCTCCCATGTTCATAGAACAAAGCCTTCGCGAGCGCATGGTTCGTGGTGTCATCCTCTCTCTATACATGGACGCCTCTCTCTGGATCTATGCGCCATACATCGTGCAGCGGGAGCTCTTTGTATCCCTCCAGCGCCACATGGAGCGGCAACCCTGGCTCGTGCCCTCCGTCTGCTCCCTTCCCCGCCTCCTAGATATAGTTCGTCGGGTTTACTGGGACAAGCCACAGGGCCGACACGCCATTGGGGTGAAGCCCCTAGTAGAGCCTGTCACCCGGCGTGTGCTCGGCACACGCCCGCTTCCTCAGCAAGTGGCCAAGCTGCGGCTGCTGGTTCTAAGTCTGCTGCAGCACGTTCTGAAAGGCGGGTTCACAGAGGCAGATATGAAGGCGCTGGTGGTGTACATGGAGGCGAGCAAGGACGCTGGGGCAGTGAAGGATGTGCTGCAAACAATCTTCGGGCTGATTGCACAGCCCAACCTTGCCAAGTCGTTTCTGGAGCACATATCAGCACTAGCTGGACCGCAAATTTTTGTTGGACTGCTTGCTAGGTAAGGCTATGGAACTTCTTACTTTCTTACTTTCTATGAACGTTGAGAGTAGCCTGCTTCGCATCTCGTTCGCGACCACGTCATCTCGCCCCTCCCATGTGTTGCTTTTCCTTCCTTCGTTCACGCATTGTTCAGGCCGCAGGAAGAGATTCGCCTCCTCGCCCTGTGTCTCATACTCACTCTGATGAACGAAACCAAGAAGCAGGCCCCAGCAGCCAAAGCTGGCACCAAGGGGGCATCCGGCAGAGGAGGCTCAAGCCGAACTCGAGGCTCAGCGCGGGCAGGAGGGTTAGGGAGGAATTGGCTTGGGATGCAGGAGGAGGAGGAGGAGGGGGATGAGGACGATCTTTGGGAGGCGGAGCAGGATGAGAAGATGCTTCTCGACCTTGCGTGCCAGCATCTGATGCCTTACGGTCTCTCTCCTGGGCTTGAGTCTCTGCTCTTTGATCTTCTGCTTGGTGGAGCGCCCACCGATCACCGGTCGGTTCGCACACACACACATGAGGCCATGGTTCACAAAAAGCTTCCACTCAAAACCTCTCATGCCGTTCCTCCTCGCATGCCTATGCCATCAGCAGGACATTCGGCACATACTACTGCAGCAGCACCGGCAGCAGGAGCAGCAGCAGAAGCAGCAGAGGGAGCAACACCAGCCTTTGGCATGCCCCGCAGTGCCTCTGCCCCGCATCCCCCTGAGCCTGAGCCACAAGGAGCAGATAAAAGCAGAGCTGCGCAAGGAAGATCTCATGGAAAAGATGGAGACCAATCAGCAGTCAGAGCAATAGAGTCAGATCCATTGCCTGCATCTCCAGGCGTATCCACCTCTTTTAGTAACTTCACGTCTGGAGGCAAGCCGTCCCCCTGGGGCCTCCTTCCTCGCAAGGGCGGAGGTGATGTAGGTAGCTCGCGCAAGTCAATAGTGAAACCTGAGATGCTAAGGCTGCTGCTGCCTCTTATGGTTGGACAGCTGAGGCTGGCGGCCAGCTCGTCTGGAGGAGGTAGCAGAGGGGGTGTAGGCAGAAGCGGCTCAGGCAGCAGGCCGGGAAGTAGCAGCAGTGGTGCTGGGGAGGGTGGTCTGTCAGGGCGAGGAGTGAAGGTGGTGGCGGATATGCTGAAAAAGCTGGGTGATTTAATCTCCAACAGCAAAGCCAATAGACTTAAGCTGCTGGAGGTAAGAACTGCGCTGCTGCCATCTGCCAGAGGCAATTCGTCGATGCTCCTGCTAGCTGATAGTTATTATCTGCGTTCTGGAGTTGCCAGAGGTGATCATACAGGCATTCAGGCTGCATGTGCTCACACTCACCGTTTTTATTGGCCCCATATGGCCCTATTTTCCCTCATAACCTGCATGTGTGCATCTTCTTCCGAAACCCCTACCTGTGCCCTCCAACCCTGCCTGTGCCCTTGCAGCAACGGGGCTGGCAGCAGTGGTTGCTGGATATTGTGGTCACTGGTTTGGACCTAACAGCCCCAAGGAACTCCAAGTCAAATGCTGAGGATGCAGCCCAAGGCAGAGACACGGCAGAACAGCACACTCAGGGAAGGCTCTCAGTTCCAGGAGCACCAGGGGGAGGGAAGGAAGCAGTGAAGGGTGAGGAAGGGCAGCCACCACGGCCTCTTCAGCCAGGGGGGGGGTTGGAACTGGTGTGGGTGCATGTGCGGCGCATTTTCCTGGCGGCGCACTCGTTTGCAGTGCAGAAGGTGCAGGGCGGGTGGAGGCATGTGGCGGAAACTGTCAACGCGTTGCGCATCTATGGTGAACGGGTGAGGCTTGGACGGGCTTATGGTATGCGAGTTTGGCAAGAAGATGCGTGCACCTTGTCTCCACTCACCCACTCACTGAACCCCTTACCACTCTCCCGGTATGTCCATTGTTGCAAGCAAACCATTTCAGTTGAAGGATTGACAAGGTATAAGCCCGACCGACATATGGTACATCCCACCCCCAACATCTCTCCTCACCTCGACTGTCTATCCTCCCCCCCTAACCCAACTTCCTCCATCCACCTCTGTCGCTCTCAGGGCAAGCTGCCATATGCGGGTCTGCTGCGTGTGCTGCTGGGCGAGTTGCTGGGCGTGGTGCCTCTGCTGTGCTCCACGCGGGACCATCTGCTGGAGCAGCCTGTGCACGCCAACCTGCTCTACCTCTTCGTCCTCGTGCAAGAGCTCGTCATCCGTGACTCCTGCTACATCTTCCCTGTCAGTATTCCGTGCCTGTGCAGTGCAGTACCTACCCTGGCACTATCCCTGCCATTAGTTAATTAGCACATGCGATATCCCCCTTAAGGGTACCCTCCCTGCCAGTTTCCCTGCTGAACGTTTTCTTTTTTGCGTTGCTCCTTGATGAAATCCATGGGCCGCGGCTGATGTCGGCCATCCTAAAGCCCTCTCTCAACAATTGACACTAGCTGCATTCGTGACCACCTTTAGCCCCCCTCTGTTGGCCCTCTGTTCTTCTCTCCTTATGCCTAACTCTGTCAGCCTCGGCACCTGCCAGCGGAGGACTCAGGGAAGGCTGTAGATCCTTCCAGGCGGAGTGCCACTGGTGATGCTCTTGACAGGGAAAGTGATGGCAATAGTGCTGCTGGCGATGGTGGCATTGAGGATGGCCACAGGCAGAACGGGGAAGGGGGTCGAGAAGAGGATGCGGAAGCAAGAGGAACAGGCGAAGGCAGGCAGGGGACATGGAACAGAATGGATCGGAGTGCGCTTTCTTCTATCTTCCAGCACATGCTTCCTGATGACGATGTGGGCCCTGCTGCCGCCAGTGCAGAGCTCTCATGCAGGTATGTCGTTTAAAAATACACCCCTCACTCTTCTTTCTTACCAACCCCATTCCACCTCCACTTTCCTCCTCCCTCCCTTTCTCCCTCACCCACCACCTCACTCTCTCGCATCTCTTCCTTCAGCTCATGTATCTTCTCTTTGGCGAATGTATATACCGTTTCTGTTTATTATCTTGAAGTCCGTCTTCCTCTCCTGGCCCTCCCTGTTCCCGAACTTCCTGAACCTCGCTTCTGCACTTCCGTTTTCCCTTACCTCACTCTTTCAGCATCTTGGGCTCCAAGGTGGTTGAAAGCAAGTGGCGGGTGTATGAGCACTTTTGGACGGTCATTACCATCATGCACAACAAGGCCGAGGCAGCAGAGGCCCTTGCTGCAGGCATGCTCCAATCTGACTATGATGACCCCGACACACCTCACCTGCCTGTCCACCCAGCGTTCCTCCCGCCTCCCCAGCCGCCATCGCCTCCCCACCGCTCCTTCCTCCAGCCCAAACCCGATTCCTCAGCTGCATCTGCCGCCGCGCCGCATGGGCAGCAGGGGAGTGGGAGACATGGGAGCGACAAGGGGAGCGGGAGACAAGGGCTGTTGCGAAGCCTAACAGTCACAACAGAGACTGTAGAGAGTGAGAGGTCAGGCGAGGTGGCATTGGAGGAGGTGGGGGAGCAGATGCTGGACTTGGCTCGGCAGGGGTGTCCGTGGTTTGTGCTGCGCCTGGTGCTGATCTACATGTTCGAAGCTGAGCTGCCTGCGCTTCATCGCTGCCTGAACCACTTCGTGGTGCTCCTGCCTGTTGTCTTCCCTAATGATGATGACAACCGCCTGCACAACCAGGCGCACCTTTTCCTCTGGTAATTTGCACTTCATCCTCCCTGGTTGTTGGAGTAGTTTTCATATTCTCATGTTGACACTGTTCTCCCTAACGATGTGCCTATCCAGCGTTTCTTCTTGTGACTGGCTCTTGAATATAACCTTGTTGGTGGCAACCAGCTCCAGATATCATTTCCAAAGTCGCCTTCCCTCCGTCTCCACTCCCTCGGCTTCTCCCCCCTTTCAGGGCACTTCTTGAAGCCAGGGCGCTAGTGGGTGACATGAATGACGGGGCTCGAGGTCACATCATAGCCCAGTGCACTCGCGACGTCTTCCTAGCGATCATGCCTATTCTGGCGCGCTGCATCGATGAACGAGGCGGCCCTCCCGCGTACACCCCTGTCGACTTCTCTCAGATGACAGGAGGCATGCTGGATGATGAGGGGGAGGAGGAGGAGGAGGAGGAAGATGATGAGGATTCGAATGAGGAAGTTTTTGCTTCTGGAATGGGGAGTAACAGCAGTGGCACAGGGCGTGGGGCAGCTGAATCTTCTGGGCTCTCTGAGGCAGGGTCGCAGGGTGCGGCAGGAGAGGGGGAGCAGCAGAAGCATCCTCTTTACGAAGTGATCCATGCCGACAGAGTGCGCAGCGCAGTAAGTTTGATTCTGATAACCCCTTTCTGAAGGTGTTCGTTTTGAAGTTAGCAATAGTCTGCCTTTCGAACCAGAAACGTTTAGGAGTCATTATCAACCCTCCATGTTATCCAACTAATCATTCTCCTGTACTGTGTGTTGTTGTACAGTCTGATAAACAAGTAGCACATTCCCGCTCCCTGCTCTTCCTTTTCTCCTCATACACGCGGCGAGTCAGCTACATGGCGCTCATCTTTCGTAGAGATGTCTCAGTCACGTCTTCACCCCTTGCGCCTTTCCACTGTGCGTTTCCCCAGGCGCGCACTGAGTGCGACCACGTCATGTTCATCGTGACCTCTCTCAACGACAGCCTGGTGGACATCCAGCCAGACATAGAAGCATGGGAGGAGGCCCAGAAGGAGCGGCGGCAGGAGGTGGAGCAGCAGCGGCGGAGCGCGCTCGGCGGGATGATGGAGCAGGAAGCGAAGCGACGAGCGGTTGCGACCCTTGCGTATGCTGAGCAGCTGCAGAACGCCAAGGCAGTGTGGAACACCCTGTACCGGCAGATGACCAGCGAAAGGGGCCCTTGGTACTCTGGCCCATCGCCTGACGACCCTCCACCCCGCTGGAAGCTGGATAAGGCAGAGGACCCTCGGAGGCGTCGATTCCGCATGCGTCCAAACTACCGGTTTGATGAAAACTTTTGCATTGGTAAAGGCGAGGAGCGGAACTTGGGTGGGGGAGGGAAAGAGAAGGGTGGTGGGGGTGAGGAAGGTAAGGGGGCAGACGGGACGTCAGAGGGCAGCTGGTTGGATAAGTCTAGTGCGTCGGGACCGGATGCCAGGAGCTTCCGCAGGTACACGAGTGACGCTGGTAGTTCAGTGGCGGGAGATGCTTCGGCATCTATTGGCGGGAGCAGCTTTGGCATGGGGGATGGAATGATGCGAGCAGGATCAGTGGGAGGGGATCTGCAGCAGCACGGAAGGGTAGTGTCGGATGTGAACGTGGACCGCGACTTGATGGAGGAGATGGCGCTGCTGCAGCAGAGCAACGAGCAGAGCCAGTCAGGGCAAGGAGGGAAGAAGGGCATGCAGGAAGGGGAAGTGGAGGGGACAGGTGTGGCAAGTGCGCATGGTTTTCCGGCAGAAGGCATGGCAGGGGTGAGTGAATTTGTGAGAACAAGTTCGTAAGTGTCGACCTGTGATTGAGGGAGGTCTGGTCCTTTACCCCAACTCTACATCATGGTTTGTTTTTTTCAGCAGCTGCATCTTGCTGCTGCGCTGATCCAGCACTGGCCCAATCACCCTCCTTCCCCTCCACCCCCTTTCTTCTCCTTCATGCCACCCAATGTTGTGGCCCCTTACCAAACATAAAAACTTCCTACATACTTTTCCTCCCCTGGTGCCGCAGGTTTTGGAAGAGATCCCCTGCATCCTCCTGACCACCAAGCGCAAGCTGGCGGGCCGTCTGCACATCTCCCACACAGAGCTGCACTTCTACGTGGACTTTGCCATGGACAGCACTGAAGATTTCCTTCGCTTCCACCCCGACGGCTCTCTCCACAACCCCCACTCCGTCTCCTCTGGCTCCGTTTCTGGCGGAGAAAAAATCCCCCCAAAGGAGCGATGGAAGCGTGTGATACAGAAACTGCTGTTCGTAGCTAGGTTCCAGCCAAACGAGAAGACTCTGGAGAAAGTGACAGTGAGGATGCGCAAGCTCACGGATATTCTGGACGATGTGAAGATGCATCGAATGTGGTCGCTCTCTGAGCTCGCTCGCATCCGCATGACACGCTACCTCCTCCGCCCATCCGCCTTCGAGCTCGAGTTCTCCTCGTCGCTGGCCCCTGCCTTCTTCTCCTTCTCCTCGCCTCAGCTAGCTGACAAAGTCGCCCACCGTATTCTGGCTATCGCCAACCGCGGGACCACGGCTCGCAGCAGCAAGCTGGTTGACTTTGTGGACAGGAAGAGAGGGCAGGAACTGGCAGAGAAGGCGAGGTCCCAGTGGAGCAAGCGGAAAATCTCCACCTTTGATTACCTCATGATCCTTAACACCCTGGCCGGGCGCACGTACAACGATCTGATGCAGTACCCTGTTTTCCCGTGGGTTATTGCGGATCATACCTCGGCCAAGCTGGACTTGTCAAATGGAGAGACGTTCCGAGATTTGAGCAAGCCGGTTGGGGCACTGAACCCCAAGAGACTAGAGGTATGTGTCAATCGGGAATTTGGGTGGGAGTTGTGGCAGGAGGCTGGAGGTATGGCTTGAGGCGAGGTTCATTATTGCTTATGTGTTCTGTGCTTGTTTGTGTACTAACTGCCCTTGACGAGGGTGTGTTTTATCCACTGACTATCTCTGTCCATTCTTCTCTACATCTGCTGCTTTTTGCTTCCACCCACCTGCTGCAGCTGTTCAAGGAGCGATATGACAGCATGGATACAGACATTCCAGGGTACGGCCAGCGCATGTGTCGCTCACATTTTCTCACTGCATGCTTTTGTCATCCTTCCTTGCTCTTGTTGTTCCCGTTGTTTGGGAAATTGGGGCCAACATTCAACCCTACAGTCAACGCCTCCATATTAGTGGATTCTGTTCCTACTGACGACATTGTTTTCAGCAACCATGCGCTGTATCCTGTGGCCCACATCCCACAACCCTCTTCGTCCTTTCCCAACTCCGCATGCATCATCCCTCGCCCCCCACCTCATCCCTCCGCCAGCTTCCTGTACGGATCGCATTACTCCTCTGCTGGCGTTGTTCTCTACTTCCTCATACGCATGGAGCCCTTCGCCACGCTCCACCGGCTGCTACAGGTGTGAGCATACCTGCTCCCCCACTTCTTACCTCAAGGTTGTTCACTTTGACATGTGAGTCCTGTTGCACACACCACCGCCCCTCCAAGCTCTCCTTCATGTTCCCTCACCATTCTTCGAAAACGTTTCTGGATAAATCCAAGCCAAGAGCCGTTTGCAAGGCAGCGTCGTTTTAACAAGGGGCAACAACTGAATTGCGAGCTATTGCTGACTTCGTTATCCTTGCCTGCCCTCTCTCCCAACAGGGGGGGCGCTTTGACCAGGCGGATCGTCTGTTTGACAGTGTGGCGTCGGCGTGGGACAACTGCCAGAGCAACACGAGCGACGTGAAGGAGCTGCTGCCGGAGTTCTTTTACCAGCCGGAGTTTCTGCGCAACAACTGCTGCTTCGACCTGGGCCTCAGGCAGGACGGGCAGGCGCTTGACGGCGTCATCCTGCCTCCCTGGGCCAAGGTGTGTGCGGCTCTTGTCTGAGCGTTGCTGTTAAGGTTTTTGAGTCGGTGCAACAGTCACCTCTCTTAGATGACCTCAGCAGCCTCTGACCCATCTAGTGCACTGCTGAAGCAATCGTGGGAGCAAGGCTGTTCGGTGTGAGACTAGCTGTACTCCCCTCTTCCCTGTGATCTGGCTCACATGCCACGTGAATCCTCCAAGGAGCCTGCACGAGTGCAGCAGAAGGTTCTTGAAAGTCCATGTCAGTTAAGAAGTGTATTTCTATCCATTCAGGCTGGCCCTTCACCCTGCGTGCTGCTGGAGTCCTCAAAGAGGTTTGTGCCAGTGCAGTAGGAGGCCCTGGGGAGCCACCATGTGAGCCATGTTGTATGCACCTGACCCAGCTGTACCAACCCCTCTTCTTGCCTCTCACCCTGCTCGCTTGCTAAAGGACTCCCAGGAGGAGTTTGTGCATTTGCAGCGAGAGACCCTGTAGTGCGACCTAGTGAGCCCAGCTGTGCCCGTGTTACCTGTCTGTCCCTGCCTGCTTGTGGTCTCCAGGGCTCCCCGGAGGAGTTTGTGCGACTGCAGCGAGAGGCCCTGGAGAGTGAGCACGTGAGCGAGAGGCTGCACCACTGGATCGACCTGGTGTTTGGCTACAAGCAACGTGGGGAGGCGGCTGTTCAGGTGGGCTGGGCATGTGCGCAAGTGGTGTGGGCGTCTGGGCATGTGGCCGTATGGGCAAGTGATGTGGGCGTCTGGACATGTGGCCGTGTGGGCATGTAATGTGGGCGTCTAGGCGTGTGGGCACGTGGGCATGTGGACATGTGGGCAGGTGGCATGTGGGCGTGTGGGCCTGTGGTTGACTCAGCTTCGTCCCGTCATGCAGAAAAGCGCTCAAATGAGATGCCATTATGGAAGAACGAAGAAAGGTTGGTGGTGATTCTGTGAAGGGTGTGCCTGGGCTCTGAACTCCGCACCCACCCTTGCATGAGTGCCTTGGTGAAGGGCGCCTTGAAAGCAACAAGCTAGATGACATCACACTTAGAACCCCCCACCCACCCACGCCTCCCACCCCTTACCTTCATTCAGTGATACACACTTCTCGTTTGCCATCTCTCTTGCCAAGGCGTTCTCAATCTCACTCTTGTAAGCCAAGATCTTCTTCATCTCCCCTCCCGTTTCTCTTCTGTCCCACTGCCCTCGGTCTCTCCCTCCAGGCGGACAACGTGTTCTACTACCTCACCTACGAGGGCGCTGTGGACATTGATGCAATCACCGACCCGACCAGGCGCACAGCCATCGAACAGCAGATCGCCGCTTTCGGCCAGACTCCCATCCAGCTCTTCACACGCCCCCACCCGGAACGCGGCCCCCACGTCCAAATCACCCGCCCGCTCCGCTTCTTCCCGTCGTCAATCTCCCTCTCCGCCATCATCCCAGCTCCCCCCACCCCGGCTGTTTCCTCCACTGTGGTTCCCGCTTATGCTGCGGGCGTGGGGAGTCCTGGGGGGAGGACGAGGGGGGGGAAGGGGAGGTCGGAGGATGATATGGCTGTGGTGTTCATGGGGGTGGTGGGTCGCACTGTAGTGAGTGTGACGAGGGGGCAGGTGCTGACAGTGCGCTCGTGGAATGCTCCAAAGAAGGGCGTGAAAGTGGGCACGGTGAGTGTGGTGATGGGTGGATGAATGCAGGGCTCTGGTTGGGTGTTTGGATGATTGCTGAATGGATGCCATGTTATGCGATGGATGCGGATTTGCCGCTGAGGGGAAAAAACAGTGTTCGCCAGTGACCTCCCTCCATCCGCACCTCGTCCTTCCTATATCCAAAACTGGATTCACCCAAGAGCCTTGCCTCACCCTCTCACCCCCCAACCATCCGCCCTCCCGCCCTCACGAACCAACAGGACTATAGTATCAGCATGGGCGAACCAAGCCGAGTGTGCAGGATTGGAGCGCCTCTCTCTGCTCCCGGAGCTAGCAGCTACGGCGACTGCTTCGGGATCGTACCAGGAGCCACCTCAGCATTCCTCTTCTCCGGGGGGCACTGGGACAATGCCATTCGCAGCACGTCTGTGGATGATGCTGCCACTGTTCAGGCGCTGCAGCAGCACAGCGACCTTGTCACTTGCCTTTCAGGTGCGCCTTTGTTCCTTTGTTGTCTGCCTGCTTTGTTTGTGGTAACCGTTGCAGCACAGAAACCCTAACTGCACACTCCCATCAGCATTTCAGCTGCCTCGAGTCCCGTTTACCAGCAAGCCATTCACTCTATTCCCTTTCGTCCCCACTGCCATCTCCCCTTTCCTTCGCCCACGTATGCTGTCCCAGTGTCCAACGACGGTAACTGGCTGGCCACAGGCAGCCGAGACACAACAGTCATGATCTGGCGCATCGACCACCTGGGTGCGCACACACACGAGCAAGGCGACCCCTTCATTTCCTCCAAGCCCCGCGCAGTGCTCTGCTCCCACGACGACGCTGTGACAGCCGTCATCGCCTCTTCCGAGCTAGATTTGGTTCTCTCAGCCTCTCTGGACGGCTCCCTCGTCTTTTCCACTCTCCGTGCCGCCCGGTTCCTGCGGTCGCTGCAGCACCCCAACGACTGCGCAAATGAGGCGCTGCGCATTGCCCTCTCCGCGCCCCTCGCTCGTGTCGCAGTCTACTCCGACGCCGCCCGCATGCTTCATGTGTGCTCCATCAACGGGGGATGGCTGGAACATGCACTAGTGGACGAACCGATCACGCATCTTACCTTGTCTCGTTGTGGAGAGTTCCTTGTCACGGCATGCAGCGCAGGGTGGGACATTGGAGGAACGGGTGGCGGAAGGGGGGGGAGTAGCAGTGGTCGTGGAGGGGGAGGGTCAGAAGCTGGAATGGTAGTGGTGAGGTCCATGCATACGCTCGAGCCACTGCTGCTGTTCGATGGGGTGGGGTCGCCTGCAGCATCGATCACAACGACTGAGGAGGATGCCATCCTTGTGGGCCTGGAGGATGGCAGGATGCTGCTGTATGCTCTCAAGCTCTCCTCACATTAGCCATCCCTCCACTATCCAATGCAACGAACCTGTACATCTCCTCCTCACGCCAGCTCTCAATCACATTCGCTTATCCTCCCTACTGTTCAAAGCCACTTTGCCTGTTATCCATGCATGAAGCTCCTCCTGCCCAGACCTTTTATGGCGTAACAGAACGTTGACTTCAGCCGTACCAGCTACAGCTCTATCCTCGTGTTATATCATTAGTTGGATGTGGCGACGAGGATGGAAAACACCAGAGGTGGCAGACAGTTGACTGGTGGATTTGTGTGAAACTTTTACTTGCCCTGTGTTTTCTTTTTGCTTCCTGCTTGGCTTGGTTCCATCTAATGTGTGCTGGTGTGCCAAGGCCAAGTTTGTGATAGAATTTTGGAGGTGTAACTGCCACCAGCTGTGTGGAAGTAAACTCCAGATACGGTACTCTACTGCTAAAGCTTGTGGCATATTTAGGCCCATCGTGTGCTAGTGCCTGAAGTGTTTGAGGTGCCATACAGGTGTTTTCAATCAATATGATTGATGACGGACTAGCCCCATGTGGGGTTGGATATAATCAGCATTGGTGTCAACATCCGGCTGCTGTAAACACAACAGCCTTGGTATCAATACTTCACCTGTCTGTCACTTAAGCATTCGTATCACTCCTTTTTCAAGCATTTCCTGATAATAGCTGGCTTCAGCTGCCCTTGGTACACCACAACCGCAATAACAAGTGTGAAGAGCGAGCAGAGGAAGCCACTAGCCATAGCGACCCCCACCTCCCTGGACCAGCTACCCTCCCCTCCTGCAACCGACCACCAGTCACTCTCCCCTCCTCTCCTCAACCCCACACTGGACTCCGTCTGAAAGCTGTGGTGGTGAAACCACACCACGGAGCCATGCAGGCCCACTAACCCGCCCTGCTTCACCAGCTGCATGTGGTCTGCTACTGGGTACACAGCAGCTCCAATGATTCGGTTTTTGTATGCATGAAAGACTAGGTTTATGCGGTTGTTCACTCTGAGTATGTCCTTTACTGAGCTCGCCGTGCCAAGAGATACTGCACTGGCCCCAGATTTGCTGCTCCTGCTGCTGTCACTGGTATTGCTGCTGCTGCTGCTGCTGCTGCTGCTGCTGCTGCTGATGGTGCCGCTGTTGCTGCTTCTGTCTTTAACCTTGTGATAGGAGCCCATGAGGAGGAAGGTAAGCGGCACGTACGATTGGTTCCTGGGATCTGCTGCCACGCGGCATTGCCACGTCAATTCCTGCTGCACCAACTGCGCTAACCGTTCGTACTCTGACGGAGTTCGCACCTCGAGGCTGCAGTAACGGTAGATGTTGACGCCAACGAAGACGGGCAATGGACGGCCGGATTCGAAGCACAGGGGTCCTGGACCCCAGGGATCGGACGGCGAGTGGCGGCACTGGAACACCACCTCGTCGCCCTCCTTGTAAACGGACGGCACGGATGGGTCTACGTGAGATGCATGCCTGCCTGAATGATGGAATTTTATATCAGATTTGCCGTCTTGATCCACGCCGCTGTGCACATTGCGAGCTTGGACTAAGGCTAACGGGAGATGCCTTGAAATAGCGGGGTGAGTTGATGAGCGAGTATTTGAAATGCTGGGGACAATGATAAGGGTAAGGATGAAGGCGGGAAGTGAACGGATCAGAGATGCGAGGGCGGAGGACGGGGATAGGCAGCGACGCGACGGTCTGACGTATGGTGTGAGCATCGTGGTCGTGTGAGGTGCTCCTCTGCCGAGTCACGACTTCCCTATTGCTGCGACCGTCCTGTCAATGCTGCTGATAATAGGATAACGTTTTACTGGTCGTCCCAAGCTTCCGCGGAAGAAGCTACAATGCCTGAGCACGGGAACAAGCCATGGAAAGATTTGGGTGATGGTCGCTGGGGATCTGCATGGGAGACGAGTGCAGCTTGGTGTGGAACAGCCAGTTTTGTCCTACAAAATTCGCGAAAGGTATGTGCTAGTGTAGAAAAAAAGGCGCACGAGAGTCACTAGGTTTTGCTGCCTTTCAACGGGTTCTATCGGGGATGTACGGGAAGACTCATCACGCACTATGGGTCTAGCTGGTGTTGAATGTGGGAACTAGGAGTGTACCACAATCAAAATTTCTTACAACGCGTATGAATCGTCTGACAGCTGCTTCAGCAGCAGCGCCACATGCATGTGCGCTGCCGTTTCCCGCCCAGCTCGCCCTCTTCCCCCACCCACCCACCACTCCCACGCAACTAGTGCTGGTGGCATTCCGAGCGAGCCGCGTGGTGTTCCGCCCCCACCCACCCACACATCTCCTGCTGTCGGCATTCCCAAGGTCACTACCAGCGTCGAGCGAGGAATTGCACAGGAAAACCAGTAGCAGCCGAGACGCGACGTGATAGAGGGACCCCAGACGAATTCAAAACAGGCTATTCAGGTAACCTGTCACTGATTCTTTTCCTCGCTCCTGCGCCGTGGATAGTAGCATCGCCAGCGTTCGGTGTTTTTGCGCTTTCGGCATTACTTATAATTCTTGTTCTCGAGTTATGAACGCTGGGCGAGCGTTATAAGAGACTAGATATGTACCTCTTTCCGAGAGTTTGATGTCTCCAGCAGCAAGACCAGCGTTGACCTTACCTTGTCCCTTAGCCAATTCCGCCTGTTCAGCACAGAGTTTTCTGACTTGTAGCTTACCGTTCTCGTCCCAAGTTACGAAGGAAGCTAACAAAGTCCAAGGTTCGCTCCCGACAGATTTTAGGACTCACTCTGTCCGATGAACAAGCCGACATTGCTTCTAGAAGCATGCCGTCTGCGCCGGTATCATAAGGTCGACCTTCATACAACATCGGTTATGTCCTCGATATCGTTGCCGAAGCATCACTAAGCTAGATCGGTAGCAAGACGGAGCACCAGATGAACCAAGAGCCAACGCGTCGCGGCACCATGGCCCGACAATTGCAGCCGCGCTTCGTCTCCACGCCGCTGATCGTGTTCAGCATAGCACTCTCCCTCACAATCTCCTCACTCATACTCAGTCCTGCAACAGCAGAGTCGATCCATGTTTCTCCCAAGCGACGCATTAGAGGGCTGCTCGACCTAGTCAGTACCCCCCTCGACGGCTCCATCCCCTCCTTATTCCTCGGCGCCTCGCCGATCTCCGCGGCAGCGCAGCGCGTGCTGCTGGGTCAGGCCCTACTAGGCGCGGAGCCCGCGGCGTCGTCGACGCAGCTATCGTCTGTGCAGCCCTCTGTTGTGCTGGCGACCGATCAGTCATTACGACAGTCGCCAGAAGAGTCGCTAAGACAATCGTCAAAACATTCGCTAGAACTGACGACAAAACAGTGGCTAGAACAGTCATCAGGGCAGTTGCCAGAACAGTCGTTTGAACAGTCGTCGGGACAGTCGTCTGATGAGTCGCCTGTCGTGCTCCCTGCAGCATCCGCAACGAAAGCTTCAGCAGTGAAGCCGCACGACGCCACGTGGACCGCGCTGCACAACAAGTACGCCAGAACTGCCGATCTGCTGCCGTCAGCTGACGTCATCTTCTATGGCGATTCGCTCACAGAGGTACGCACCAGGGCGGCCGTCGAAATCGAGGCGCTGATGATCTTGGCTTGCCTCCGCCAGTGGAATCCCAAATCATTGGCGAGCCGGGTGTTGTAGCCATGATGGTTCTCGTGACGAGAGCCGAGACCTTGCAGCCCACTTCATGGTCTGACGAATTGGTCTCGTAAAGCGTGTATTACTTTTGGAAAATTCTCTTACAAGCATAGACTATTTCATGGTAGCACGCTCAATCGCGCTGGTTTCGCGTCATTCCCCGTGTTTGTCGCTTCCACGTGGGCAGGGCTGGCTCGGCACGTTCAAGGGTGCGTCGACCGGTCTCTACGCGGGCGTGAGGTCAGTCCCCTTGTCGCCTGGTCGCAGTCGCACAGCCTCCGGATAGTCGTCGTCATCGTCGCATGTCGCACGGATCGTCGCAGCGAGTGGTGGATATCGCAGAGATAGTTTGTCCTCGTTTGTCTAGATGCGAGTCTGTCTTGATCGTGCTGGCAAGTCGCAGCGAATGCAGGATCCGATACAATGCTCACATCACTCACAACCCTTCATCCTTCACCCATTGCCGTCACTGTTCTAAAACATCTGATAACTTGATTCAGCGAGATGCTCTCCTCACTCCCACCAACCCATCCGGGCCCATTTTCCAGCCTTCCTTTCTTCCGCCCGTACCCGCTTATCGTCTTTATTCTCTTATCCGTGTTTTTGTTTTTGTTACTTTCGTCCTCTCGTTCGTTTGTCCGCGCCAGGGGCGTGTTCGAGTCGGTGAAGGCGGCGGTGGGTGCGACGGCCGTGCAGGCGTTCGGCATCGCAGGCGACACTGTGGACGACGTGCGCGAGAGAATGGAGGTGCGTGTGTGCGTGAGCGTGGGTGGGTGTTCAAGAGAGGTACGATTCCTGAGTCGATTGAATCGCAGGCGATTGAATTTCCTTGGGCATTGCAGGCGACACTGTGGACGACGTGCGCGAGAGAATCGAGGTGCGCTGACCGCCATGTGCGTGCGCGCGTGTGTGAATCTGTGACTGCGTAAACTTGTGAATGTTTCAGTGCGGTCCGGATGTGCCGGCTGCACTTCTTGACTTGCCCCACCCGTCTCTCACCACAACGCTGCGCTACTATCACCACCACCCTCCCATGCTTCCACTTCTCCTCTCCTCATATTCATGCCCTTCACCATTCAGGGCTGGGAGTGACGTTTAAGTCGGCCCATCAGTCACCCTGCGCTACTATATCACCACCACCGCCTCGCCTCCCATGCTAACAACTCTCGTCCTCTCCCCTTCACATGCAGGGCGGCGAGTTCCCCCTGATGCGATATCGCTGCAGCTGCGCGTGGCAGTGGAGTGTGTGTGTGGCACCAACGACGAGCTGCAGTACTTGGGTCGACTCAAAAGTCAACTCAAAAGTCGCCTCCCATGCTTCTAACTCACCTCCTTCTCCTCCCATTCAATCAACACGCAGGGCGGCGAGTTCCCCGCATCGCTGCAGCTGCGAGTCGCGGTGGTGTGTGCGGGCATCAACGACGTGCTGCAGGGGAGAACCAGCGCCAGCACCACGGCTAGCAAGGTACGCATGCAGCCACACGCCTTTGCAGCCACACGCCTTTGCAGCCACTCGCCTTTGCAGCCACTCGCCTTTGCAGCCACGTGTCTTCTCCATCCCCCCTCACATTCCTGCTTCGCCCATCGTTTCCTTCTCTCCCCCTCCATCCCTCCCCGTGCTTCTCCCATCCTCCATCCCTCCCCGTGCTTCTCCCATCCTCCATCCCTCCCCGTGCTTCTCCCACCCTCTATCCCTCCCCGTGCATCCCTCCCCCTCCGTCCCACCCCGGCCGTCCCTCCCCACGCCCAGGTGGCATCGCTGGCGATCAGTGTGCGCAAGGCACACCCCTCCACCTCCGTGCTCGTGCTGGGGCTGCTGCCCGAGGTGAGAGCACCGCACACTGGGGCTGCTGCCAGAGGTGAGAGCACCGTGCGGGGTCTGCTGCCCAAGGTGAGACCACCGCACTGGTGCCTCTGTTCATTGATCTTGAATAACGTTACACCGTTGCTGCGTTTCCCCGTGAATTCTTGCGTGCCATCGTATCATGAGCCCTCACGAGTCCTCCTCTTCTATAGTGTTCCTCACCAATCATCGCACCTCTGTTGTTTTCTCCTGGTCCACCGGTTCAGGCGGCCACGAGCAAGAACGTGTCACTGCCTGACCCTGTGCCGGCTCAAGTGAACGTCCTCCTCGCCTCCGCTCTCCAATCAGGTACCACTTGGGTATGACGTGGCACTTGCTGATTTCGTGGCTTGCAGCATTGCCAATAGACTCACCGCAAGCTCTTTGAATTGCGTGGGGCAGGCAGAAAACTTGTGTTGCCTCAGAACACGGCCAGCATAAGTGTAGTATCCCCTGCCTATCCCTCTCTTCTCACTCCCCTCCTCCCTTCCTGCCTCCTCCCCCCCTCTCCCTTTTGTTCCCCCATCGCTCCATCGTTGCTCCCCCGCAGTGGACGGGGTGTCGTTCCGCGACTGCTCATCTGCCTTCACCAACCCCGGGGGTTCCATCAATGCAGCAGCCTACGCTCCTGTGAGTTTTGTGCTTTGAGTTCTTCTTGCGTCAGATGAGCACCCGCTAATTTCCCCACGCCCACCCCTCCCTACTGCACTGCATGCTTCCCCACAGCACCCCTTCCGCTACCTGCACTTCTCACCTGTAAGTCGCAAGGCACGGCATGCTCTTCTGCCGTTTATGTCGCCCATGCCCAGGCCACCACCCGCCTCCCATCCCCACCCCTCCTCCGCCCTCTTGTGCCGCTCTGCACTGCGTGCCCTGCCCCCCGCAGGACTCCTTCCGCTACCAGCATCTCTCAGCCGCGGGCTACAAGGCTTGAACACCCTCCCCCCGCCCCCCGCCCCGACCCCACTTTCCCCTACCTCTTGCTGCACTGCGCGCGTGCTGTGCCCCCACAGGACTCCTTCCGCTACCTGCACCTGTCAGCCGCGGGCTACAAGGCATGGTCGGGATGCTTCTCCCCGCAAGTGAAGACCATGCTCAAGTGAGATGGAGAGCGGTGCTGGTGGGATACCGGGGAATTGTGAAGGGTGGTTGTTTGTATGTGTGAGGTGACTTTTGAGTCGACTCACATGTCACCTCGGGGAACTGTGAAGGGTGGTTGTATGAGTGAGGTGGGTCTGTGGCATGCTGACGTGGGTGTGTGGCCTGGTCAAGGCATGGTCAAGGCATGGTCAAGGCATGCTCTGGGTGCTTCACACCACAAGTCAAGGCCCTGCTTTAGTGAGATGGGGGGCGGTGCTGTGGGGTGCCAGGGAGGTGTTACTTTTGAGAACTCTCAAAAGTAACACCAACGGGAACTGCAAAGGATGGGTGTGTGAGTGTGGGGGAGGCATGGGGATATAATGGAGATTGGCACTGCCAGCAGGAGTGAATGCTCGCAGTGTTCAGGCGCCGCTCTTCACTCATTCCCTCATCGCGCCTTCTCTCTTCCCCATCTCCCTGCCTTCATTCTCCTCCCATCCCACCCCATCCCAACCCACCCCGCCCCACCCCACCCCACCCCACTCCACCGCACCCCATCCACAGAGAAGCATCAGCAAGCCCCGCCGTACCCACGTCCCCCATCCGCACGCCCTCCACCCCTCCCCTCTCCAGCGCACCTCCCTCCAAGCCCTCGCCTCCGCCTCTCAAGTCGCCCCCCACCACCTCGCCACTGCCCTCCGACTCATCCCCTCGCAAGCAGCCCTCGCAGCAACCACCAAAGGATAAGGCACCGTCCGCCAACTCAACAAAAACAAAGTCACCGCCCACCAAAGCTTCTCCCTCCAAATCTCCTCCCTCCAAAACTTCTCCTTCCGTGTCTCCTCCTTCCAAAGACCCTCCTGCCAAAAACACTTCCGCCAAAGCACCCCCGTCCAAAGCCCCGCCCTCCAAGGCACCCCCATCCAGAGATCCCCCGTCCAAAGCCCCTCCCCAGCAATCATCCCCAGTCAAGCCCCCCCCAGCTGCGCCCTCCCTCCCAGCCCCTGCTGCTCCCTCCCTTCCCCCTCCTTCCCCTTCCAAGCTCCCCGCCGCCTCCACACCCAATCACACTTCAGACACTCCTGCCAAGCTCCCTGCCAAACCCTCTGCTTCCAAGAGCCGTTCCCCTCACAAGTCATATAAGCAGACCCCCTATAAGCACGTCCCGTCAAAGGAGCCACCAGCAGCTGACCTTCCTCCGCCTGCCTCTGAGCCTCCTTCCAACAAAACGGGTAACTCCAGTAAAACCACAAGCGCTGGGACTAAACCCGCAAACAACCCGTCCGAACCTGCTGCGGAGCCCGGTCCCAAGTCGTTCAAGCCTGGGCAAAACACGTCCGAGCCTGAACCGAGCCATTCTGATCCCGAGCCTGGCGTTTCAAAGCCTGCGGGGGGTTCCTCCGAGCCAATAGGCAGTCCATCCGAACCTGAGCCGGTTCCTTCCGAGGCAGATGGTTCGTCAGGTTCGGGGATCAAGAGGATAAAGGGGCGAGACCCTGAGCACCCGTATGAGCCTGGGGGAAGGAGCAGTGGGGGTGGGGTGGACAGGGGGAATGGAAGCAGTGGGACCAGTGGCAGTGGCAGCGACAGTGGCAGTGGCAGCGGCAGCGGCAGCAGCGGTGGTAGTGGTAGTGGTGGCAGTGATGGTGGTGGCAGCACTGGCAATGGGACGAATGGGGATGTGACACGTGGGAATGTGACAACTGGGAATGTGACACGTGGCAATGTGAAAGAGGGCAACGTGACGGGAGGGAGGAGAGGGCCTACAATAGCCAATCCAGTGGAGAAGCAACCAGCCGCTGACACCGTGCCGTCTGCCTCGGCTAAACTGCCCCCTGCTGCGGTGAGTTTTGATTCGCCTCAAAAGTCGTTTCTCTACCCGTAATCCAGTGGAGAAGCAACCAGCCTCTGACACCGTGCCATCTAACTCGGCTAAACGGCCCCCTGCTTTTGTGAGTGCCGTGCCCACCATGCATGCTTTTATGAGTGCCGTGCCCACCATGCATGCTTTTGTGAGTGCCGTGCCCACCATGCATGCTTTTGTGAGTGCCGTGCCCATGCATGCTTTTGTGAGTGCTGTGCCCATGCATGCTTTTGTGAGTGCTGTGCCCATGCATGCTTTTGTGAGTGCCGTGCCCATGCATGCTTTTGAGTCGACCAGAAAAAGTAGCTGTGCCATCCGCCTCGGCTAAATCGCCCCTTGACACCCCATGCATGCATGCTCCCACCTCAGCCGTTTGCTTCTCGCCTGCAGCCATCCACGGCCGTGCTCGTCACCATGCCCTTGACCATGCCCATGACCATGCCCATGACCATGCCCATGACCATGCCCATGACCATGCCCATGACCATGCCCTTGACCATGCCCATCTAACCATACCCATCTAACCCATGTCCATCCCCCGTTCCGTCCCCATGCTCTCCCGCAGCAACCACAGAGGCCGCTTCCATCCGCCACGCCGTCACTGCCTGTGAGTCCCAGTACCTCTCGCTCTGCACCCCTTGGGCACAATCTATAGTACACTCTCTCACCCCTTGGGCACAATCTATAGTACACTCTCTCACCCCTTGGGCACACCCCATTGCACACTCTCTCGCCACTCAAGCTTGGCAGTACTTTGGCGTTCTTCACCATAAGTCTGTATCCGAGTGCTCTGCCCTTGCGTTGCCATCAGCATCAGCATCACCATCCGTCCACAAAGAACCATGCTACTCATGCACTTCAGCAGCCCTCTCGTTCTCATTTTCCCCATTTTCCCCTTTGTCCCCCTCCTCAACAGGTTTCGCTGCCTCCCCTGCCTCCTCTTCCCATACCATCTCCTCGCCCCAAGCTGCTTCCTCCCGTCGCTACCCCCTCGTCTCCATCCCCCTCTGCACCTGCTCATCCCCGTCACCCAGAGCTTGTGGTCCCTCCCCCAACACCAGCGGCACCCGCATCAGCACCAACACCAGCACCAGCAGCGGCAACACCAGCACCAGTACCCACGGAAGCACCAGCATCAGCACCCCTTCCTGTCATCCCTGTAGTCCCACCTGCCCCGTCGCCCAACCCGCCTGCCTCTGCTCCCTCATCCTCCCCAGCCCCCACACCCGCCCCCGTGCCCAAAGCAGCGCCTACCCCTCGTGTCCCTCCCACCCCCCAACCACTACCTGCTAGACCTCCTATCGCATCTCCCAACCCCACTCCTAATCCAGTTCCCACTCCTAACCCGGCTCCTACTCCTAATCCTGCTTCTGCTCCTAGTGCTCCTTATACTCCTAATGCGGGGACTCGAACACCGCTCGCTGTGCCCACCGTACCAACTGCGGTTGGATCAAACCCTCAAACGCCAACTACACCCGCCACGAGAGATGCGGGAATGCCGGGATTTGCAGCTGTGAGCAGCTCTGCACCGCCCGTCGTCCCGTTCTGGCCTCCCAGTAAAGGAGCAATGAATGTACTACAAAGTAGCAATGGCCTGTACACGTTTCTAGCGATTCTCGTTATGTCGATCCTTTTGAGTTGAGAATGTCTATGCTGGTAATATTTTGGATCGTCTACTAAAACTGGCACTGCCTCTGTACTTATATAACCATATTGGTATAATTTTGTGTATTGCATCTTCGAACCTAATCCCGGCTCGTTGAAGCGAGCAACATTCTATCGCAGCATCTCAAGCAACGCCTCGGAGCAGACGGGACGGGACCCGCCTCATACGGGAAATGCTGGACTGACTGACAGCAGCAACGCATACAAAGCATGAGCCGAGCCGAGCATTCACGAGTGAGAAGATAGAGAGTGTTGAGTAGCGCGTGCAAGTTGGTCGTGAGTATCCAGTAGTGGGCACTGAGGGGGAGGACAGTTTTGAAGCCTCTCACGCATGCTTGCGGTGTTAGAACGCGTGGTGCGTCGCGCCAGTCTCAGCGACCCTCGCAGGCGGGGCGTTGCAGTCGTCCGTTAAATTGTCTCTTAATCGGCAGTCCCGGTGGAGCCTCGTGTCTCGTCCGTCCACAGCGTCGACCTCGTCAGCTCCGAGACTCTTTCAGCTCATCACGGCTCCACGGCCCGACTGCACGGCCTCTCTCGTCTCTTCAGGTCTCGACGGGCTCCCTCGACGGGCTCGTCAACTCCTAGGGTTTAACTCTCTGACCCAGTAGCTGCTCCCTTGTAGGACGATTCAGTCTGATTCAGTCCCTCCCGCTCTCTGACCTGGTTCAGTGCGATTCCGTGCGGTCGAATTTGATCTCGGGATTGTATTTTATACATGGCGGCATCCGCGGCGCCGTCGCCGCGGTGGCTATGTCAGAGGTGCGGCACGCGGCTCGAGGTCACGGGGCTGGACGGCCTGGCTCTCAGCGCGTCGTCGCTCAGCCAATCAGCGGTGGACGCGCTGGGCGCGTCGCGATGCGGCGCGCCGCACGCCGCCGCGAATTCCGCGTCGATGCTGGATCAGTCGTTCGTCGTCCTGCCGCCCAACTCCTCCGCGTTTCACGGCGCGTCTTACGGTGGCCCTCACGCGCCTCGTCATGGAGCCGCTGGTGGGGCGATCCGACCGTCAATTAATCCCGCGATCTGTGCTCCGCCGTCGATTCCGCGTCCCCTTATAAGCAGTCCCGTTACTGCGAGTCCTGGTGCTGTTCCTGCCGCGTCTGCCGCCGTGTCTCCCGCTGCTGGCCGAGCTGGTGCATCGAACCCAGCGTCCATCCTGGAAGAGCAGCAGCCGCGACCACAGCCGCAGGATCAGACCCAACGGCATCCCCAGCAGGGACCATCAACGGCTGAGATTCATTCTCAGAGCCAGTCTCGATCTCAGCTTCATCCGCAGCAGCATCAGCCGCCGCCAGCCAGAGCCGCGCTTCCGCCAACCGTTGGTGGACACGTGGCCTTGCAATCACACGCGGCCTTTCAGTCGCCCTCGGGTCGCAGGGGTGAGTGCAGCGAGAAATAGTGGTTTACCTGTGTAAGAGAAGTCAAGACTCTCACTGTGAGTGCAAGTGAAGGTGCGAGGAACACTGCACCTCCCGTGTTACATTTCGCAGCTGTTTCTCTGGTAACACTCATCACCTCTCTCTGTTCCTCTCCCCTGCGCCCTCCAGCACCCCCCTCGCGTCTGGACGAGTCGTTCGTGGTGCTACCCGGCTCAGCTGCTTCTCTCTACGCCGCTCCTCCTGCCCTCCCCCACGCGCCCTCCTCCTCCTCCTCGCACGCCCGCCTCTCGCCCCACACCCACCCCTTCCCCCTGCCGCCCACCATGTCCGGTGCTGCTGCTAACGCAGCTGCTCCTGCTGTTCTCCCTCCTGCTTCATACGCTGCTGCTGGTGGCGCCGCTGCTGCTTCTGCTCGCCCAAGCGACTCTGCGCGCTCCCCATATCCCTTGGCTTCTGAAGGAGTGGTCGCAGCAGCTGTAGCTGTCACTGCTGCTGCCGCTGCTGCGGCTGCTGGTGGTGCGTGTGGTGGTGCGTGTGGTGGTGATGCCGCTCCGTCCCCTGCCTCTGAATGCTTGACCCACCAAGGCGAGAGCTCAGGTTCGAAGCAGGTGCAGCCGGAGAACGTGATGGTGGAGAACGGTTCAGAGGGGTCTGCTGTTGATGAGGAGAGAGGAAGAGGAAGGAGTGAGGAAGAAGAAGGGAGAGGGATTGCAGAGGAGGAAAGGAGAGCGAGTGTGGAGGGAGGAGGTGAAAGAAGGGATGGTATGATGGGAGGGTTGGAGAGACGAGGTGATGGAGACGAGGAGGAGCGAAATGATGGCGAGAATGACCCTGGCGAGAGTGGTAACCAGCAAGAGAAAAATCAGCAGAATCAGCAGCAGCAACAGCAGCAGCAAGAACAACAACAACAGGAACAGCAGCAGCAGCAAGTCAAAGAGCGAGGCAGTGAGAGGCGGGCACGGGACGTGCAGGCAGGGGCGGGGGGCCTGGCGGGGCAGATAGAGGCGGTGGACCGCGTGTTTGACCTGGTGGCTCTGCGCACCAAGGTGGAGATGCCCCTCTGCTGCCACTGCGCCCACCACGTCTGCCAAGAGATCGACGCCCAGGTGCGGTGGGGTGCGGTGGGGTGTGGTAAGGCGGTGGGGTGGTGGGATCGTAATTAATATGTGGTGAGCACCATCAACACCTTCACCTTCATCTTCTGTGCTACCTGCAGGTGAGTAGAGGACAGAGAGGGCAGAGAAGGGCCTAGGAGGAGGAGATGCGGCATGTGAGCTGATGAATTTTCAAACGCAAGGTGAAGGCAGAGCAAAAGCAACAACGGGCAAGCAACATGAGCAAGAACAGGAGTAGGCGAAAGAGTGGAGAGTAAATGCGAACAACAGTAAAACGAGGCAGCGAGGGTTGAGTGAGGAAGAGAGGGAGAGATCCACCCCAAGCGCATCAGGGCTGACTCATTTTCTCACTCGCCACTCGACTTACCGTGTGGATGGTTGTGCGCACGCCTGCCAGACGCAGTAAATGCAGGCGTGGCGAGTGAGAAAATGAGTCAGCCCTAATGCGCTTGGGGTGGATCGCTCCCTCTCTTCCTCACTCAACCCTCGCTGCCTCGTTTTACTGCTGTTCGCATTTACTCTCCACTCTTTCGCTTACTCCTGTTCTTGCTCATGTTGCTTGCCCGTTGTTGCTTTTGCTCTGCCTTCACCTTGCGTTTGAGAATTCATCAGCTCACTTGCCGCATTTCCTCCTCCTAGGCCCTTCTCTGCCCTCTCTGTCCTCTAAGCACCTGCAGGTAGCACAGATGATGAAGGTGAAGGTGTTGATGGTGCACATGCACACACGCCATGGCTGATTCTGATGGCGCTTTGATGTGTTTAGGGGTGAGCTGCATCCATGGGTTGTGTGCATGTTTGCATCTGTGCATGTGCATGGGGGGTGTGCACCTGTGTTCATGGATACATCCATGTATCCATCCATGCATCCATCCATCCCTCCATGCTCCACCCTATGCATGCGCACAGGTGAGGGAGGCAGAGGAGGAGATAGCAGCGTACGAAGCAGCGCTGCACTCCATCCTCGCCACCTCCCCCTCGCTCGCCGCCTTCCCCTCCTCCCTCTCCTCTGCCTCGCACCCATCCTTCCCAGTTAACCATCCGAACACCACTTTCACCCCCGCTGCTGGTGGGGCGCCCATGGGGGAGGAGGCATTCCGGCAGCACATGGCTGAGGTAACAAGGCTCAAGCTCTTGCTCTCCCTACCACCACGCTTCTGAGGTGATTTTCTAGTCGACTCTGAAGCCACCCCCTGCCAGTCAACCATGCTATTACTGCGTTCGACACCCCCGCTGCTGGTGGGGCGCCCATGGGAAAGGAGGCATTCCGGCAGCACATGGCTGAGGTAAAACGGCTCAAGCTCTTGCTTCACCTGCCATGCGAAGGCTTGTACGTACTTCTGCCGTGCCGTGCACCGTGCTGCAAGACACAACCCGCCTCTTAACTGCATTCCACACACCCGCCATGAGATTCAAAACCCATGTCAGGTCTATCCCATGTAAACATCCCATCCCTTCCCATCCCATCCGATGCCTTCTCATCCCTTGCCATCCCTTCCCACCCCTTCCCACCAACTTCCCATCCCCTCCATCCCACGGCACGGCAACAGGTGGAGGAGGAGGAGAGGCGGTTGCAGCAGGAGGCGGCAGAGTTGGAGCAGCAGAGGGCGCAGCTGAGGACGCAACTGGGGGAGGTGGAGGCGGAACAGGCTGAGCTGGACGCTGCTGAGGAGAGGTGCGTAGGGCAGGGGGTGTGAAGGGGGAGTGTTTTTAGTCGACTTAAATCACACCTGAGCGCACAGCTGGGGGCGCAGCTTAGGGCGCAACTGGGGGAGGTGGAGGCGGAACAGGTTGAGCTAGATGTTGCTGAGGAGAGGTGCGTAGGGTGGGGGGGTAAAGGGGGAGTAGTTGACTCAAAACTCAACTGAAGGCGCAGGTGGGGGAGGTGGAGGCGGAACAGGCTGAGGTGGACGCCGCTGAGGAGAGGTGGGTTGGGTAGGGGGACTCAATACACACTTGAGAGCGCGCTGAGGGTGCAACTGAGAGTGCGACGTGCATCTGGGGGAGGTGGAGGCGGAACAGGCTGAGCTGGACGCCGCTGAGGAGAGGTGCGTGCGGAAAGGGAAATGGTTCAGGAAGGTGGGGGGAAAACGAGCTGGTAAGAAGGTGTGGTGTAGAAAGGGGGGCAGTGGTTGCGCGCCAATTTGCACGTCTATGTCCCGGCTGGCAAGTTGACTCACACAATTTAGCTGAAGTTTCTGCCTTTGCCCTCCTTCCTTCCCTGTCCATCCTTCCCTATGGCAGGTACTGGCACGAGTTCAACGAGTTTCAGTACCAAGTGTCCGTGCACCAGGTGGGGTGGTCCAGGTGCAGTGCACCAGGTGGGGTGGTCCAGGTGCAGTGCACCAGATGAATGCTCGATGGCCCAGGTGGTCTAGCAGCTGTCAGGTGAGGTGAGGTGCATTAGGTAGTTTCTCAGGTGAAGAGCAGGTGAATTCACATCTAGCCTCCCCAATTCCCATCACCTGTAAACCAGTTAGTGAACTTGGCCCCTCCTGAAAGAACCACTTTGTGTGGATCCATCCATCCCGTTGCGATCCCTTTCCTCCCTCCCCCCTCTCCCGCCCTTCTCCCTCCCCTCTCCTCACCTGCGTCCCCGTATCTCCCATCACAGGAGGCAAGGGACGGTCTGCTACCGTCTATAGAGGCGGCGGCAGCACAGTCAGACGCGTTGAGGCGCAGCTTCGTGTTGAATGACGCCTTCCATATCTGGCACGACGGGGACTTCACCTCTGTGCCTTTGGCATCCAAATGCATCCCTATCCCCCCGTCTCCCCGTTTGTCATGGCCATCACAGGAAGCACGGGACGGTCTGTTGGCGTCTATAGAGGCGGCAGCAGCGCAGTCAGACGCGTTGAGGCGCAGCTTTGTGCTCAACGATGCCTTCCACATCTGGCACGACGGTGACTTTGGCACCATCAACAACCTGCGCCTCGGCCGCCTTCCCTCCGTGCCCGTGAGTGTGGTGTGGTGTGGTGTGGTGTGGTGTGGTGTGGTGTGGTGTGGTGTGGTGTGGTGTGGTGTGCTGTGGTGTGCTCAACGACGCCTTCCACATCTGGCACGACGGTGACTTCGCCACCATCAACAACCTGCGCCTCGGCCGCCTGCCCTCCATGCCCGTGAGTGCTATTTCAGTGACTCTGTGAGTTTTTTTGTGAGGATTTCACCCCATGTGCATCAATCCTTTTCACTCCTCCCCGCCAAACCCCCCGTTCCCCCTCCCCGCGCTCTCTCATTCGTCTGGTCCGCAGGTGGAGTGGGAGGAGCTGAACGCAGCATGGGGTCAGGCGTGCCATCTGCTCTTCACACTCGCTCGCATTGCCAACTGCCCTGTCGCGTACTGCCCTCTCCCCTCCTCCCACATGCTTCTCGCTGTGCTCGCTCTTGGTCATTGTCCAGTACTGCCGATGCCCATGGGCCCGCATTGCCCCACAGCCCCGCTTAGCTAGCCCCATGGGCCCGCATTGCTCATCAGTCACTGCCATCAATACGATCTCGCCTAATGGTTTTGCATTCAAAACGTGTTGCTTACTAGCCCTGGCTGGCTTGGCTCTGCCATCACTCGTTTGTGGTCTGTGTTTGGCCTGTCTTTTCCCTCACCCACGTGAAATTTTTGAGTCGACTCAAAAGTAGCCCTGGCTGGCTTGGCTCTGCCATCACTCGTTTGTGGCCCGTGTTTGGCCTGTCTTTTCCCTCACCCGCACGAAATCTCACTGGCTTAAACCAATGTTACAAAACCCGTTTCTTGCTTCCCTGTCCCCTTTCCCTCGTACCCCTCCGCCTGCTGTTCCCAACAGCCATCGCATTATCCCCATGGGCACATCTGGCTGTTGAGAATCCTCATTGCTCCTAACCAGGCAACGTTTCCTCCCTCTTCCCTGTCTCACGTCGTGTGTACCGCTCCGCCTGTTGTGCTGCCCCCCACGTGCCTACAGTCATCGCATCATCCCCATGGGCAGCTTCCCTCGAATATCTGACGGCCACAACCAGTTTGAGCTGTACGTGCCACATCAGGGTGCCGCTATTGCCATTTTCTGTGCTGCTGCTGCTGCTGCTGCTGCTGCTGCTGCTTGCATCTGTAGCACACCACAAATATTCTGCTGAAACACACGCAGCATACACCACACGCAATAACTCTTACAGTCCTCCCTTGTCCGTCCACCGGCTTCGCCCCTGCCACCCACTTGCCCCTCCTTCCTCCTCACCACTTGAATTTTGTGAATTTGTTGTGGTGGGGCATGTGCACTCACCAACTCTTCCATTCCTCCCTCATCTCCCGCCCCACTTCACCCTTGTCACCCCACTTGATCTGTTCCTTCTCCTTCCCCCGTCCCAGCTTCGGCCCAGTGAATCTCTTTTGGAGCACGCGCTACGATCGGGCGATGCTGCTCTTCCTGCACGCCCTCACGGAGTTTGCCGCATTTGCCAATGCACACGACCGCACCAACCACCTGCCGCCTGAAAAGTCCTTCCAGCTGCCCTACAAGTCAGTCTCACACATCTCGAATGCTTCCTTTTTAGGGCACAGCAACCAAGAGTCTCCACGCTGCTCTCGTTATGCCAGCTGTCTCTTTCTGGCTGCTGCTCGTTCACCACGTTTCACCACCCTGCCGCCAGGATCGAGGGAGACAAGATCCAAGGGCTGACGATGAAGCAGAGATTCAACCGCGGGGAGCGGTGGACCACGGCTCCCCTCCTACCCTCCCCACACTCCCGTTCCCCATTCCCGGCATCTTCCCCAACCCTGCCGCCAGGATCGAGGGCGACAAGATTCAAGAGTTGAAGGTGAAGCAGAGTTTCAACCGAGAAGAGAGGTGGACCAAGGCTCTCCCCCGTCCCTCCCCTCCCCACACTCCCATCCCCTCTTCCCCGCATCTCCCCCAACCCTGTCCATGCAGGATCGAGGGTGACAAGATCCAAGGGCTGACGGTGAAGCAGAGTTTCAACCGAGAAGAGAGGTGGACCAAGGCGCTCAAGTATCTGCTGTGCGATGTCAAGTGGGCGCTCGTGTGGACCATGACCAACTTCCACCCTCCGCTGCCCACGCCTCCCCCGGCTATACTGAACCTCGTCTCGCATCTGGAACCCCTCGACCCAGCCTAGCCTCGCATCGCAACTAGATTAGACAGAGTTCAGTACCATTGTACAGTGTGTAAAACGGACACCGATTAGACCATGGTGGTGCCAGCAGAGCAGAGCATCCACGTGTCTGCAGAGGTGATGTGTGTGTGTGGATGTACCGACCCAGACAGGATGCTTGCTTCCATTCCATGTGAGAAGCATGACTGTCAGTATTTGTACGGTATGTGTTACCATACATGTACATATCCATCATTACCCTTATTCCTTGGGTATCAGAGAATCATTTGTGCGTAGTACGATATGCCACATTCTACTACACCCATTAAACATCTTCAACCAAAAAGGTAGGTAGGCCCCTTTTCTTTAGTCATCCTACACCACAAAATCTTCGACTTTGTTGGGCTTGGGATCGTCAGTGCGGCACCCATCAATACTGCCCATACTGCGTGATGTTGTAGTGTCGTTCGAACTAACACCCCACTGTGTTACACACAATCCAGTCCATCCCACTCCCCATCCCCAACCAACCACCCTCCACCCCCCACCTCACAACCCACAGCACCCTATACAGCCGTGGCAACAGGGACCTCCACCCTCTTTCCGCTCCTTCTGCAAAAGCTCAACCTCTGTCTTGCACCCCTTCTTCGACTTGTAATACACACTCTTGAACGTGCCCACTGCATTGCACACGCTCCGTCCCCTCCCACCCCCATCCCCCAACATCCCAACCCTGAACCCCCACACCACAGCACCCCCAGCAGCCACGGCACCCTAAGCAGACTCCGCAATGGCAACCTCCTTCTCCTTCCTCTCCTCCTGCATCACCTCTGCCTCTGTCTTGCGCCCCTTGCCCCCCCCTCCCACACCTTACTACTGTGCACAGCACCCTAAGCAGACTCGGCAATGGCAACCTCCTTCTCCTTCCGCTCCTCCTGCATCACCTCCGCCTCTGTCTTGCGCCCCTTCTTTGACTTGTAATACACACTCATGAACGTGCCCACTGCTTGGTACTTCTCCCGGCAAGCGGCATAGAGCGAGACATCAAACATGCGCCAGAAGTCCCTCTCGTTCAGCTCTGTCACCGCATACAGGGCCTGGTGGGGGAAAGGGGGGGAAGAGGGGGGTGGGGGGGGAGGGGATGCAGGGGGGAGGTGGAGAGAAGAGATGGATACTTCTCCGGACATGCGGAAGAGAGAAGACATACTTCTGTGACAGAGCTGAATGGTAACCAGTGCTGCCAACAACTTACCTGGAAGGAGGCGTTTTCGATGAGCCATTTCTCCATCCTCTGCACCGCCGCATTACGGTACATGTATGAAGTAGTGTTTTGAGACGTCTCAAAACAACTCACCTGGAAGGACGCGTTCTCAATGAGCCACTTCTCCATCCTCTGCACCGCCGCATTACGGTACGTGTATGAAGTAGTGTTTTGAGACGTCTCAAAACAACTCACCTGGAAGGAGGCGTTTTCGATGAGCCATTTCTCCATCCTCTGCACCGCCGCATTACGGTACGTGTATGAAGTAGTGTTTTGAGACGTCTCAAAACAACTCACCTGGAAGGACGCGTTCTCAATGAGCCACTTCTCCATCCTCTGCACCGCCGCATTACGGTACGTGTATGAAGTAGTGTTTTGAGACGTCTCAAAACAACTCACCTGGAAGGACGCGTTCTCAATGAGCCACTTCTCCATCCTCTGCACCGCCGCATTACGGTACGTGTATGAAGTAGTGTTTTGAGACGTCTCAAAACAACTCACCTGGAAGGACGCGTTCTCAATGAGCCACTTCTCCATCCTCTGCACCGCCGCATTACGGTACGTGTATGAAGTAGTGTTTTGAGACGTCTCAAAACAACTCACCTGGAAGGACGCGTTCTCAATGAGCCACTTCTCCATCCTCTGCACCGCCGCAATACGGTACGTGTATGAAGTAGTGTTTTGAGACGTCTCAAAACAACTCACCTGGAAGGACGCGTTCTCAATGAGCCACTTCTCCATCCTCTGCACCGCCGCATTACGGTACGTGTATGAAGTAGTGTTTTGAGACGTCTCAAAACAACTCACCTGGAAGGACGCGTTCTCAATGAGCCACTTCTCCATCCTCTTCACCGCCGCAATACGGTACGTGTATGAAGTAGTGTTTTGAGACGTCTCAAAACAACTCACCTGGAAGGACGCGTTCTCAATGAGCCACTTCTCCATCCTCTGCACCGCCGCCACACCATCAAACTCCTCCCCTCGCATTACAGCCCCCGGCGCATAGTAGAGGCCGATGTCTGTGAACATCTGCGCTGCTGCTGTGTCGCCCTGCTGCCTGTGGTCCCACCGACTTACCTGATACAAGCCACTGTTGCCAGCAAACCGAGCCCACCTGGAAGGACGCGTTTTCGATAAGCCACTTCTCCATGTGCTGAACTGTTGCCACGCCATCAAACTCCTCTCCTCGCAGCACAGCCCCCGGTGCATAGTACAGGCCGATATCCGTGAACATCTGCGCTGTCGCTGTGTCGCCCTGCCGCCTGTGGTCCCAGAAGCCCGGCTCGGGGTTGATCATCTGCCGCATGGGGTGCATGAAGAGGCGGTGCGGGCACAGCCAGATGGGGTACACCTGTTGGGGGGGGGGGCAGGGAGGGGAGGTGGGCGGGGAAGGGAGGCAGGGAGAGAGGAGGTTAATGAGAAGCCTGGCTCAGGGTTGATCATCTGCCGCATGGGGTGCGTGAAGAGGCGATGGGGGCACAGCCAGATTGGGTACACCTGGGGGAGGGGGGCAGAAGCGGAGCGGGTAGGGGGGCGGGGAGCGGAGCGTGGAAGGGGGCGGGGAGAGCAGAGATCAATACGAAGCCTGGCTCGGGGTTGATCATCTGCCGCATGGGGTGCGTGAAGAGCCGGTGGGGGCACAGCCAGATGGGGTACACCTGGGGGGAGGGGGGCAAGGGAGGGGAGGTGGGCGGGGAAGGGAGGCAGGGAGAGAGGAGAGAGGAGGTTAATGAGAAGCCCGGCTCGGGGTTGATCATCTGCCGCATGGGGTGTGTGAAGAGGCGGTGCGGGCACAGCCAGATGGGGTACACCTTTCACCATTTTTTCCCTTTCTCAGCTGAAACGCATCCCTGGTTTCTCCCCTGACCAACCTTAAACGCACCTCGAACTCCAGCTCGTTGAGTTCGAGCGCGTCCGCCACCTTGTACAGCGGAACGAGCATGTCCTGACACACTCAACATCCCCCTACGCCATTTACCCTCCCCTTCCCTCCCCTTCCCTCTCCCCCCAGTCCGCACTCGAACTCCCGCTCGTTCAGTTCGAGTGCGTCAGCCACCTTGTACAGCGGCACCACACTCTATCGCACGTTACCCGCAATCCCCCTACGCCCATCCGCCACCTCTCACTCCCCCTCACTCCCCCCCACAACGCACCTCAAACTCCCGCTCGTTCAGTTCTAGTGCGTCCGCCACCTTATAGAGCGGCACGAGCATGTCCTGACACACTCTATCCGCAATCCCCCTCCCTCTTCCCCCACGTTGTTCCTTTCTCAGCTTCCCCCCTCCCCAACCCCAAACGCACCTCGAACTCCCGCTCGTTCAGTTCGAGCGCGTCCGCCACCTTATAGAGCGGCACCAGCATGTCCTGACACACGTGCCGCTCGTGGTAATAGTTCCGAATCGCCTCGCCCTGCGTGAGCTTTAAGAACGACACCTTAGGCGGCATCATCCACCCCAGCAGCACCCTGAACCACCATTGGTCGCCGAACGGCAGGATCAATTTCCCCTCCCAGTACAGGCTCCGCGTGTGGCGGTGGTAGTACTGGCGCGTCGGGATGTATTCTACAAACTCGCCGCGCGTAAACGCGTCCGTCGCGTGCTGGTAGAACCACCGCGTCCACCACCACCCGCAGTTGTTAATCACGTTCCCGGGCCGCGTCGCCTCCTCGCGCGACGCGTACCTCCCGGTCATCATGACCCCCTCGGACCGCGTGTACACCATCCCCTCCACGAAATCCGGAACCTTATCCGGATTGTCCTGGTCTCCATCCCGCGGGCAGAACGAGTCGATATACGCCTGGGTCATTTCGCGCAGCGTGCCTCTAACGGGCGTGTAGGTAACGCGCATGAACTCTTTAACGGGAATGAGGCGGATCTCCGCGGCTACGAGAAGCCCCAGCGTGCCCTGTGACCACGGGATCGCGTAGAAGAGATCCGCGTGCTCGTTGTCGCGCGTCGCGCGCACCAGCGTGCCGTCCGCCAGCACGATCTCGTACGCCTCCACCGTGTCCTGCGGGGAGTTGGAAGCACGCGGGAGGAGAGAGGGGGGGGAAGGGGGTGGGGGGTGGAAGGAAAGGGGGGGATTGCTTAGTTGACTCAGAAGGCACCAGCGTGCCGTCCGCCAGCACGATCTCGTACGCCTCCACCGAGTCTAGCGGGGGATGAACGCGACACAGGGGGCGGGGGGGCGGGGAAGGGGGGTGGAAAAGAGGGGGGTGGGGGATGGGGGGAGGAGGTGCCAGCAGCGCGTCTTTTGTCGATGCCATATGGGGCAAAACGAATGACGAGAACATCGGCGGAAGCAGCGGGACCGGGCAGGACGGAAAGGGGTGGCACCTGGAAGAGGCCGTAGATGTGCGACGAGCCCTCGATGCCGTAGCCGTTGATCAGCCCGCCGACGGTGAGATCATCCAGTTCCGGGACCACTTCTAACGCGTATCCCAGCGGCACGGTCACGGCGCTGAGCTGCCCCATGCTCACGTACGGCTCGCAGCGCGCGATGCGGTTGACGGTATCGACGGCCAGGATCTGGCAGAACTCGTTCATGTCGACCTCGAAGCGGCGCGCGCGCTTGTAGTCCGAGTTGCGCATCGACACGGACAGCCATGGCTTGCGCGACGTGCACACCAGCCCGTCGCGGCGCCGGTCGCGCGATTTGAGGCGATTGACCAGCTTCTGCACCGCGGCCTGGTGCTCGCGCTCGCGCTGCGCGAAGCTCTTGCGGTTCGACCACCAGTCCCAGAAATCCTTGTTGCACTGGAAGGCGAAGGAGACGGGCAGCACGACGAAGATTACGAGGATCCAGCGGAACTGCACCAGGAAATCCACGATGGACCATGGGCGCTTCTTCCGCGGCGTCGCGGAGTTCCCCGTCAGGGGCTGCTGCAGCGACGGCGCGTCGTCGGCCATCGGGAGAGGCGGTTTAGAGGGGACCAGCCAGTCTGAATGTGGTGAGAACGTGAAAATAAAGGAGAATGAGAAATTGGAATGTCCAAATGGAGAGGAAATGGTGGTGAGGATTGAGAAATTGAGATAGGCAAGCTGGGTGTGATCTGAAATGGCGCCCCTACCCTGCTGATTCCCAACCCAATCTTCCCGCCTTGGCAGGAGCTGCAGTATACCGCAGTTCACCGTGTCGCAGCGCACAAAACCTATTTACAGGAAGAAGTCAAAGCTGCAAGTGGGGGTCTGGCCTATGGGAGGGGGAGAGGATCCAACCAATCCCTGGCTGTTGCAGCACTGGAGGGTGCTGGGCTGGGTGGCACTGGGATGGGAAGAAGCGGGGGAGAGGGGGATGTTGCGGTTGGGGGGGTTGGTTGCGACGATACGAAGCGCGCGTCGGGCCTGGGATTTGGGAATCCCGAGACATGCCGCCGCGCCGACCGAGGATTCTGCGACAGGACGGAGGAATCGCAGATGTCGCGGAACGTCGTTGTAAATCAACCAATGTCAGATCACGAATGCACCAGATGGCGTGGCGTGATTCGGTTTCACCTGCGTATCTAGTGGAGCCTGTCAGTTCAAATGTAGCCGCTGTGACCTGATCCGATATTGTGCTTATGCATAGTAGCAATTCGGCTCGTGTACATAACAACCACTAGACCCAATTAAAAGTCAGCTCCCTCACAGACGCAGCAAGCTGTTGGATACAATCGGTGGTATTCCACCTTGCTTCGAGGCTTGCTGGACTCAATATAGCCTTGACGCACTTTCAGCTTGCGTTGTGCAGCTTGTGGAGGGTACACGCGTTCACGATACATGCTAACAGTTGCATTTCAATCCACACGACACCACCACCTCGTCCCTCCGACACACGACAAACCTCGATTCACCTCAGCTTCCCTCCCCTCCTCCCGCTTCCTCCTCCTCCTCACTCCCCGAAGTCCCTCCCGACCATCTCCTACATCCGCTCTAAGCCCCTGTCTTAGCTTCCTTTTCTCCACCTCTAACTGGCACACCTGCCTTACCCCCTTCCCTAGAACCAGGATAGCGTCGTGCAGCAGTCATGGCTGAACAGGTGAACATTCTCCTTGCAGAGTAGGAATCTGCAGTACTTGCGCCTTCGCTTCGGATTCTGGTCTCTGAAGTTTCCGGGACGGTTTTAGGTCAGAACAGCGAGGTTTACGGGATGAACTCCCGCGTCGCATCCGCTGTTACCATAGTTGTTCTTGATTGTTTTTTTTGAGCGGCCTAGCTAGTGAATTTCCGCTAGCTTTGTGTCTTGGAGCCCCTCCTTTCAACGAAAGACGCGCTATTAGGGTTTGCAGAAAATCGTGACGACATTATGCACCCGATTGCTCGTCGTATCCTTTACGGAAGTCTCATAGTCGAACGCCAAGATTCCCTTGGCTTGTTGCCTGATTGGATTCGTACAAAGAGAGTGCATAGTCGGCAAATCAGATCGCTAATACAGTCGTGCTTTCGTGTTTTCTCGTCTTTGCGCTTTCTCTGGGTTCTACTCTTCTAAGTACAGACGGAGCGCGCTTTTCAGAAGCAGCAGGGAGTCTTCCTCTGGTACGTAGATTCTTGGACTAGGTTACACCATAAATTTGGTTGTAACAAAGACTCTATATAACATTGTGGGGCGTGGTTACACCATGGGCTTGGTTACAACAGAATCAGCGCATTATGGTTAGGAGATTAATGACCAAGTGTTATGAGCGTCATTGCGGTTCCTTCGATCGTCGTGTTTTGTTGATAACTGGTTAGAAGATTATTCATTTCTGCTGGGCTAGTTATTGATTGTTGTCAGTTATAGTCAGAAAGCGTGAAGGTGTGATCAACATTTAGTCCTATAGTTTTGTAACCGAGGTAACTCGGGACTTGACTCAATGTTAACCTCGGGGATGATGTAGGAGCGCGGTTAAGTGATGGGATCGACCGTTGCAAAACTGTGTTGGAAGGTCGTTATGAGAGGGTCCCTCTGCTGTCCATCGATCTGTTCACTTGTGTTCTCTCTCCCCTCTGGCCTTCATCCCTCTGCGTCGACCCACTCACCTCGTCACTCCGCCTTTCCCCTTTCCCGATCCCCGTTCCCCCCTTCGCGCCCGTGCGTGCGACTGGCAGCGGCGACTACTCAGCGAAGAAGAAGCTGAGGACCCCGGGCAAGGCGGGTAACCGTTACTACAAGAACGTGGGGCTGGGCTTCAAGACGCCCCGCGAGGCCATCGAAGGTGCGCTGGATTCCTTCGACGCACCCTAATTATAACTTGGATGGACTATGGCTTGCCAAAAGGGGTCAGGTGGGGTGTCTGTCTCTGTACGCGTGGGGTGTTAAACGGAGCGAGGGAGGGAAACAGTACGCACTAAAGTGTCGTCTGCATTCTGGAAGGCAGTTTCGAGGAGCCGAGACCATCATTCCACCTGTACTGGCCCCTCGCTGGGCCCTTCACGTGTCCTCGATTGCCCACCTGCACCTCCTCCCTGTTGTAAGCGTACCTTCCCCCCAACCTCTCCCCCCCCCCCCCCCCTCCTCCCTCTCCTTCCGCTGCCTCCTCTCCCCTCATCCCTCTCTTCCCCCCCCTTCCCCCTCCCCCGCGCCAGGCACGTACATCGACAAGAAGTGTCCGTTCACGGGCAACGTGTCCTGATTTGTCTCTAACTTGTCTCTTCCTTCCCCGTCCCCCCTTACAGGCACGTACATCGACAAGAAGTGTCCGTTCACGGGCAACGTGTCGATCCGCGGGCGCATTCTGTCGGGCACGGTGCTGTCGACCAAGATGAACCGCACCATCACCATCCGCCGCGATTACCTCCACTTCGTGCGCAAGTACCAACGGTGAGTACCAACGGTGACTTATAACGAGTACAAATGGTGGCTTTTAGCGAGTACCGACGGTGACTTATAACGAGTACAAACGGTTCTGTCGGGCACGGTGCTGTCGACCAAGATGAACCGCACCATCACCATCCGCCGCGACTACCTCCACTTCGTACGCAAGTACCAACGGTGAGTTATAGCGAGTACGATTTATAGTGAGTAGCAACGGTGAGTACCGTGATTACCTGAGGGAGTACTAATGTTGAGTCATAGCAAGTACCAACAGTGAGTTAGAGCGGGTCGACTGTAGCATCACACTATATCCGCTTCAAATGCACCACATCAACTAACCACCCAACCACCCTTCAGTATCAGTGAATTTCATCCTTTCGAAACCCGGTCCTCGTCCCCACTTCCTCCCCTGCCACCACTGCCCCCGTTCTCCACCGCGCAGGTACGAGAAGAGGCACTCGAACCTGTCGGCGCACGTGTCGCCGTGCTTCCGCGTGAAGGAGGGGGACCAGGTCATCGTGGGGCAGTGCAGGTCAGTGCACGGGGGGGGGGGGGGGGAAAGGGGAAACTGGCGGGGGGGATGGGGGAAATGACACCGATAGTCGGTCAGTGTGCTGTGCTGTATGGTGGGGCAATGCAGGTCAGTGGGGATTAGGGCGTCGTGGGGCAGTGCAGGTCAGTGGACGCAGGGGTGGGTGGAGGGTGGGGAGAGGGGGTGAGATGACACTGATAGTCGGTCAGTGTGCTGCATGGTGGGGCAGTGCAGGTCAGTGCACGCACAGTTGGGGGGAGCGGAAAGGAGGAACAGAGCGAATGGGGGGAGACGACCCTCATAGTTAGTCACTGTGGTGGAGTAATTGTCAGTCAGTGCAAGTCAGTGGGATGAAGTAAGGGGAGGGGGGCCTGGTTGTGGCCCTGAATCCCTGATCGTAGGCCAGTCCTGGGGTGTGGAGAGTGTAGCACGCCTTTTTGAAGTGGAGCAAGTCAACAGTCAACGCCTGAGCAAACGAGTTTGCCCGTCTTGGTGTGTGCCAACGGATTTACATCTTGGTGTGTGTAAACGAATTCACCTGTTATGTGCAGGCCGCTGTCGAAGACGGTGCGGTTCAACGTGCTCAAGGTGATGCCCCACGGCTCCGATGGTGGCAAGGGCAAGAAGGCATTCGGCGGCATGTAAAGCAGAGAAAGGCAATTATATCACAATGACTAGAAGGAGCTTACCATATTGAATTTGGAGGCTAGTCTATGGTGGTCAGTGCATAGTTCTGTCCTTTTGTATGTGTTGTTTTCAAAGGCAATATTGAACGCTGCACTGAATATTTATCTGGCAGTGAAGGTAGGAATGCCAGAAAAAAATTAGCAGGCCCTGCACAAAATAACAACTGAATACGCCTGCCAAAAAGTTATGGTTAGAAGTTTTTTTTTGCGACATGTACCGTATTTGCTCTAGCCATGAATATACGGTAATACTGATTCGATACCAGGTCAGTTTCAAGAATTCGGCCCAGTTTCAGGACTTAGGGCGCGTGTCCTTATACAGTATATTGCAAAACTCGTATTTTTAGTTGAACTTCTAGCATTTGATCCTAGGTCGACCTAGAGTCGACGATATCGGCTTTTGTGACCCGAGTCGCTGCTCCTCGCGTCACAAGAATCACATGGCACACAAAAGTTCGACTTTCGAAGTTGAACTTCTTACGGTTACCAACGAATCGCGACGGTTACCGTGTGTGTTTGCGACGCCGAAAACCTGATTCGCAGCAACCCTAGTTTACGCGATGTGTTCTGTAACTGTCGCGAGTTTCGCAGATGCGTCATGCATGCTCCAAAGGACACACGAGTGACTTTTCGAGCACGCATGGTTTATGCCGAAACCTCGACCCAGGTTTAGTGTCCTCTTCTTCAACAAAATTTGTAGCAGGACTCACGATTTCCTCGCGAACAGACTCGCGAGATTGACAAATAGGGTTACCACCTAAAGTTCAACCTATTTTTTCAATTGTTTTCACGAAGGCGTTCACTTTGTTACAACACAGCATACACTGCGCTCGCGACGGTGGTGGTATACCACACCCAATTCCTCGTGGATTACTGCTCCCTCGCCTGTTCCCGTTTCCCTCCTACCGCCGCGCGCGAC